GAGCCAATACTTGCTTCAAATTGTAAAATGTAGAAATACAGAATGCTGTCGTCCAAGAAGTGGTCTATTTAGATTACTAGACAATAGGTTTCTTCCACCACCTGTAAAAGTAAAATAAACAGTTGATGACTTGGCTTTGGATGAAGGAGGGCAATTTCTTAATCTTCCAGTCAATTAGCTCTACGCTTAAGTGCTTCACTCAAAAGATTTCCTGCAAATGCACTACGATTATTTTTGTCCGACGGTAAAATTGAGGCTATCAAGTCGAACATGCAAAACGTGTGGTCTTTATCATGCTTCCGTCAAGTCACTAAATCGTCACATCGAAAATATCCATAAAAAAGTAGACACGCACACTGATAGGAAAGTTAGACCTGTAAGAGTCGCTGCTCGTCGTGCTAATGAACTGATGTGCATTATCCAAAATTTAGAGCACCATGATGTTGAATGACTCGATGAGAACGACGTAGACATTCCAAACTCCGAGGAAAGCGAGCAAACTCACAACACTGAGCAGCAATCGAAGCAATCCAATGACATCGATAACTTAGAATCATGGATTCGGTTTTCTTCGACTGAAGACTGTTGATTTGAATTTAATATATGTATGTACCAAAAATTTAAAATAAGTTTGTTATGTTAGTAAGATATAATATTTTTGTCCTTTACTCTATGTTGAATACCGTATCAGTAAAATACAATCTTTATCCTAAATCTATTTTCTTATTTTTCAAATTATAATTATAACGTTCTAATTATAATATTAAAAAAAAAATACATTAATTGACAAATGTTTACGTAAGCATGGGGGGGAGGGGTAAGAGCTTAGCTTACTTTTGCTGACAAGGAGGATGGGGGGGTAAATAATTGTAATAAATCTGCTTCCGTAATACTTGAACGGCCCCATAGTTATATATACCCAATTGAAAACTTGCCTTGCAGGGAAGAGATTAATGTCACAGCCGTTGTATGAACGTCCACTGATCATCACCGAAACTAGTATATTTATTATTTTTAAGCAGATGTCATTTATTTTCTTTTGAAAAAGCTTTTTTGGTTCATTGTTTTTTCCTGTCCCAATTAAAAAAATATTTAGTAATAATCCTGTGTTTAAGCTACTGAGGTTGGAAAATCGCCTTTTTCTCATATTCTAGGCCCTGTGTAATAAATTTCCTGTTACTGTAGTTCTCACATTAGAACAAATCGTACAGCCTAAGATAGGCAGGGATATGCTTAGGGAAAAAGAGAGTGATTTATTTGTTTCTCTTAGAACATTACTTCTACTTGTTAGTGCTAACTCAGCATCTTATTGCAATTAATAACACTGCCAAAATCCAACAAAATAGGCATAAAGATCTTTGAGATGTTAATAAAAAAAACTTTTTTAATCTTTGACATCACGTAGCTTGAAAACCAGACTTTTTAGGACACATTTGTATGAAATTTTCTTCTTAAGCTTGGATCAGAAACGCGCTCTTGTAATTGCGGCTTATCATTAAGTAACACCCTAAATATCTATACCTAATCTGATCTCGAACAAAAAACCTCTATGAAAACTAATTTTTGCTACAAGCTGAAGCGAAGTCGCGGGAAGGGAACCGCGGCGAAATCTGCCATTTGCAAGCGTCTAATGGCGACACGGCATCCTTCGCATCGCTCCTGTGTGCGGGGGGCCTTGCTTGCACCACACCTCCCGCTGTACAATTTTCCTATATTGCGCGGTAAGGCCCCGGATTCCATTTGCGACTAGTGTAAGGAAAATTCCGAAAAGGTGCTGATCATACAAAACCTAGAATCCTTTTTGTGTACAAAATCGGATTCCGCTTGCTTTAACCTCTACACTTTGGCATCGTTCTGCTCTACGCTAACACTAACAATATCTTAATACCTACGTTTTGGAAGTACCTACGCTAAAATCCACCAGTGACTATAGCCTATTTCCAGAGTATCCATCACGGTAGAATGACAGCTAGTTATCTAGTACTATTTCAAAATTCATGTCTGCCATATAGGCACAGGACACATAACTCTGACGGATCCGTCAACGCCAGGTAGACAGAGCCAAATTTTGTTTTTTTTTTGTCCGCTACAGATTCATTTTGTACTTGCTAACAGCTCTTTTATTTAGATATGTTTATTTTCACACAAAAAACAAAACGCCACAAACAAGTTTTACTAGGTTTATACCCGATCCATTATTGCCAACGTTGTAGACTAACACATAATGCCACTTGCTGATCAGCTGTTCACCTTCGTAGACGTCAAAGCGTGATGGATACTCGTGAAATAGAGTATATAATCTATACAACAAAACCCGGAATTAACCATGCACATCTACAACAAAAATGAGCTTTACCATAACGTGGACTCCAACCATGATTTAACATAATGTTCGCTGCTGCACGACGCAAATCTAACTGCAATTGCATAGCCGGTGACCAAAGGGCACATCGCCGAAGCAAGGGTGGCGAGGGTATGTTGTATAAACAATGGCGTCGTTGTCATAACAACCGGCTGTCGGCGTCGAATGCGTGCATAGGTTTAACAGGTGTTTTCGTGTTCGATGCAGTTCTCTTGTTTATTTTATGACTATTTATGATTGATATTGATAGGGCGATTATATGGAAGGCATTTTATATTTTTCAAACGAATTTAATATTCACTTATGCATGGATGCCTGTATGGCATTATTAGTAGCAAAGAATAGTTATTTTCATTTTATTATTGAAATTATAAAATATAGAGAAATATTCTAAGTCAGATATTACTACTGGTGTACTGATGTAATATGCATTATGAAAACATAGACATATAAAAATAAAATTTTTTCACAGTAAAACATGTCTGTCTAACCAAAATGTAGTTATACCATAGATTTCAAAAACTACATTTCTAAATCATAACTCCAATAATAGCAAAAATTTATTCAGGTCATTTCAAAATTATACTTTGAGGTATCTAAGAAGTACAGGATGTCGGCTGGAAGAATTCGGATTCAAAATCGAAATTAAAAAAACTACAAAAGGTAAACATTTGTTTCGATAATTATTATAAAGAAGAATAGTGCGGATTTTATTTCTTAAAAAGCATGTCATCTAAATGTTGACCATTACGTCGAGCACATTCTTGAAATTTCGCCTCAGTATTTCGTGCCACTCGTCGCGGAAGAGGTTGTGGGTTAGCATTAACTTGTCGAACTATATTTTCTTTAAGAGCTAAGATGCGGGTTGTTTGCTGAAGATACTGTTGCTCGGAACCTCCGCACCCACGAACCAATCGGTTCTTCACATGGAGCATCATGTTTTCATCGATTATTGTACCGTGAACAAACGTCGACGAGCAGTTGCACACGATTCATTCGCCTTTAAATATGCTTCGATTGCGAACGCGCGTCGTTCTCCCGTCCAATGCGACATCGTGTTTAAATTCCTGCAGGAAGCTAGCGCGGTCCTTTTCTCGCTCCCCTGCCTAACGGTTACAGAAGCATTTGATTTTGAAATCAGAATTCTGCCAACGGACACCCTCTATATTATGAATGACGTAACACCTGGAACATCCTGTTTTCATGCTATTCCACCATATTTGTCAGACTGCTAAATGAAAACAAATATTATGCTTCAACTAGTAACAAGTTTCGGCCACCACAGTGGTCTTTTTCAAGAAGGTACAAATGACAGAATTGTTTCAGCCATCATAAAACCAAAAAAAAATTGAGAAAGCTACCGACAGAAAACTAGAGTTTTGTATTTTTGAGATATTGCTCGCACAGGAACACAAGTTTTAGGTACCGGAATTGATTATTAAGGTAGGAAGTGAGCCTCTCACTCAGTTGCATAAGAAAAAAAACTAATATCAGCTGAAATAAAAATAAGTGTACAGACTTTAAAAGCAGCTGTAATAATTATGAAAAAATAAGGTGTTGGTTACATACAATCTGAAATACTTTACAGGTTAAATTTCAGGTAACTAGGAAATCTATAATTTTTATGGTACTTATATTCCAAATTTGCAAACGTAACGTATTATATGTATGTACATTTCATATACAGGGTGTTTCAGAAATATGTGCCAATATTTCTGGGGTAAGTAGGTCCGAATTAACAAAAACGTTCTCATAAATATTAGTTCAAAGATATTCCCCTACCGAGATAAAGGGTGATGAAGATTTATTTACAAAATTAAGAGCAGGTTAAGATACTGAGTTAACATTTCAGAGATTCAGTGAGCACATCATGAGCAATAAAGGCACAGAATTTCCTGGCCCATAAATGACCTCATAAATTTAGAAATAACCACAAGTTATAATCAAATGTAATGATTATTTTTGTTATGTTTAATTCAGCTTTATTTATTTATTTTGAAATTTCTTTATCTTTTAACAAAAATGAATATGTCTGCAAAACCAGTGGCGTGCCCAGGAAAGGCTTAATGAATCCTAAGACACACATATTTTTCAATTAATGTTGTAATGAATTGTCATAGCTTTCTTCACATGCCATATAATGTTTCCAATATCAAGCTTCAGTTTTAGAATAAGGGAAGCACCTTTCCATAAGAATATTTTACCTCAAATATTAAAAGCTAAATATCTCGGAAACAAGTGATCTGACCATAATGTCCTAAGTGACAACATTTGTGGAACATTGAATGGTATCTTATGAAATTGCACTTCTTTTCTCTCAAAAAGGCCACTGGTATAGAAAATATTTCCTTCTAGGGGTCCAAGTACCCTGGTTTAGTTTGAGCCAGGCAACTTAGTGTGTTTATTGCTCATGGTGTGCTCACTGAATGTTTAAAATCTTAACTTTGTATCTTTACCTGCTCTGTACATATGATTTTTTTTCACTTTTATAAAACAAACTTCATCACTCTATAGTTCTCTACCTTGGTAGGGGAACATCTTTGGATCCTTATTTACAGGAACTTTTTTTGTTATTCTACCCTAGAAATATAGGTATGTCTTTCTGAAACACCCTGTATATTAAGAAGAAACTTGGATATCAGTCAGATTCAGAACTTGATGAATGTCTAGATTTCTTCTTCTTTCTTGATTTTTTGTGTTTATGTTTCTTCTTCTTTGATTTATCGTCACTATCACTCTCACGGGTATCCTCATCGCTAGAATCATCTGAAGATTTGTGCTTCCTTTTCTTCGACTTATTTTTGTGTTTCTTCTTCTTCTTTTTGATCTTCTTCAACTTTTCCTTCAGTTCCTTTTCGCGCAGTTCGGTTAGAGGAGTCAGATAGTCTTGATCTGATTCAGTACTTGTGCTACTCACATCAAGAACGATCTCCTTGTTGGGGTCTATCTTCAAAAAGTTTCTACACTGGTACGTGAGGTGTCCCGCATATCCACATTTTTTACAAGCAGCTCTGGTACTGGCCTCTTTGGCTGGTGGTAATAAACGTGAACCATACTCATTCATCTTCAAAAGTTGTGTGACACTCCCTCAATACACAGAAACCATGAGTTCCTAGTACTTACAACTATACTTAAAAACTCTCAAAAATAAACTAATAAACAGACATACAGACAACTAAAACTAACCTCAAATTAACAAAATGTCAAGGCAGTGTTGCCGGATATACCCTTTTTCACGAGTATCCATCACGATAGAATGACAGCCGATTATCTAGTAAAATCTCACAGTTCCCCATGTCGGCACAGCACACATAATTCTGACGTATCCGTCAATGCCAGGTAGACAGCGCAATAATTTGTTTTGATTTTTTGTGCACTACAAATTCATTTTATTTAGAAAAGTTCATTTGTGTACAAAAAACAAAACGCTTCAAACAAGTTTTACTACGTTTACACCCGATTCATTATTGCCAACGTTGCAGACTAACACAAAAATGTCACTTGCTGATCAGCTCTTCACCTCAGTAGATGTCAAAGTGTAATGGATACGTTGGATACTCGTGAAATAGGGTATAGTCGATCTATTTTCGGTAGATTTGTGTGAAATTTTTCGGTAGACCGTAAACCAAAAACTTGCCGGTAGTTGGATAGGAAAAGTCTCCCATTTTTTTAAAACACGCTTTAAATGATAATCTAAATAAAGTGAAGTACAGCGCTGATTTTTCTTTAATATCTCATAGTGACAAAATTACGCTACCGAAAAGTTTCTTAATTGGACATCTAGAGCGTGTGACTGAATAATGACGTCTCATTGGACCAGCGACCACACTCACAACAAAAAGCGATGCGCACGCCGCGCGACGTTCACGCTACTTACAAACGTTCTGCTCTGCCACATAACACCTACTGCTCTGCATTCACAATTTACGGTAAAAATGGGTCAAGACGAATCTACCATATGCTGAGGTGCAACCAAAAAGCGGTACACATATGAGCACGAATGCGGCAACCCGCACGGGTATTGTGTAAAAAACCTATAAAAGACCTATCACATGTCATCTTGCAGACTAGGTAGTTTTTAGGATAAAGTCATTCCACGTTTGCTCACTAGGATCGTTGTGAGCGTCCATCTATGGAGGAATAACTCAACTACACGTACCCGCATTGTTGGTTGCATATGTTTTGTGAAACCGAGTAGTCTAGTTTCCATCTCTGAGAACAATCTTGGTTATTTGGTTGAATAGCAAGATCGCATCTGGATGATTGTGTGTATTGGTCTGCATGTGAAAAAATCATTAGTGAATATGCTGCCAATGAAGTGTATCTATTAACTGTGACCGACGGGTTATTTATATGTTGTCCTTTCGGAAGACAGGTTATGTTCACAGTGATCAATTACGATTTAATACCTTTTTTTTGTTTTCAAAAACTTTGAGGAGAATTACGGGAAACCACCACCGCGCCCGCGTTGTGTGTAATTACTGTTACATGGATATGACGTAATTCGACAGTGAACAGCAAAGGCGGATTTCGTCTAGGGGGGCGCAAACGATATTTGGGGGTGGTAATTTTTCAAGTTCAGTGGAACTTCTACAATTTATCCTATTATATATATATATATATATATATATATATATATAATATATGTACAGTGATCTTTTAACGAACATATGGTATTTTTATTCAATTGTTTCCTCCTGTCAAGATATAATTGTGATAACGATCGTTTTGGTTTTTCATGCTGTTCTTTTTTAATATACTGGTTAAAATTATAAAATACGCAGCGTGTTCACCATCAGAATCGGCAATATTTTAAAAGCTATTGAAATATAAGAATGCTCGCCACATCCCATGGACAGATGCCGTACAACGCCTCGTGCGTGCACTACTCAGGTACTCAGGAACCCGAACTTCCCGTATTCGAAGCAAATGGTTCATCCTCGGGCCTCATTCGCGTTCGTGCCCATATGCGTACCCGCCTAAATAAATATAGGTTTGAATCACAAAGTAGTATATATTTCGTAATATATATATATAGTAACAATAAAAATATTTTTGTATCACTATAGCATTAATATTTTACATTTTTCGATAAAGAGTGCAGTGCAGCATAAATTAAAATACGTCAGGCAGAAATGGAAAATTTCTATATTGATAAACCAGCTTTCTGACGACACTTCTGCATCAATGCCCTCAGCATGAACTGTTTCCTTGAAAGCGTCCTAACCTGCCTTAGGAAGACATCCAAATCTATGACGCTGCACCTTAGTGCCTCACCCATATAGTAGATGGCGTCTTCTAATGCTGCTTCTTCAGCAAATGCATTGAGAAGTCTAGAAGGAAAAAACATTAAAAAATATATCAAGGATAAGAAGAAGAGGCAATAACGCTATAAAGTAGACGTGTTCGGCACAGCGCCTTCCGCTCAGTAGCCGAACATTGATTTGTGATTTGCAGATGTTATTGTTAGCTGTCAGTTTACACCAATCGCGAGTGCTCCACAACAGTTGTGTTCTAGCGAATGCTTTTAGTCAGCGAAAATCTCGGGGATAAATGTGAAATAAGTTTTAATGGTTATGCCTGGTACACTGAAATGTCATTTAGAAAAGTGAGAAAAATGGCTCTTGATGGATTATAAATTTATTAATCTTCATCAAAACCAAACTATGTAAAGAGCTGTAAACTAGTGATAGGTATATTACAGAGGACCAGTTTTGCTATATTTTTTAGAATGTTTGAGTATACTTACTGTTTGTAAAGAGGTGCTGTGGTTATAACCGCATCATCAACATCTATTGATTCTTGATTATTTAGTCTTTCAATTGCTTTCTGCAACTCTTGTTCTTTGTCTTTTAGTAACGTTATGTTTTTGTCAAGGTCACTCTGAAAATAATTTGGTACAGTCAATGCCAAAATGATGAAAATGATTACCTACAGTATAATGGAAAAATATAGATCGCGGGAAACAGTAAATATAGTAAAATTATGGTATATTCAAAAATGTTAATTTTCTTAGAACACAAGTAAGAGATGTCCTGGACCTCGGTTGGCCGCGTGGGTCAGAGTGTCGTGCTACTGATCAGCCGGCCGGCCGGGCCGCGAGTTCGAATCTCGCCTTCGCCATGGATGTTGTGACGTCGTGTGTTTGTCCATAAAAAAATAGGCAGCAGCGGTGGCTGCAGTAGTAGACTCTTCGGTCTCCTGTTCGGTCGCCGTGCGCTGTGCGGGTTCGAGTCCCGTCCCAGGAGAAATTTTTCTCTTGGCTATGGATGTTGTGATTGTCCGTAGGTGGTACATGGTTTCTGACTGTCGAACGCGGAGGTACCACCCGGCGGTTCTCGTAGGCGGAGCCAGAATGTGTGCATGTTGCATGCACACGTGTTCCCTCGCCAGAGTCCGTGTGGCGTCCCCCCCTTTCCCATGTATCCCCCTATAGCCCCACGGTACCCAATGGGTGCTTAGGCCTTAGGCCTTCGTGGTAGTTGGAGTATAAAAAAAAAGAAGTAAAAAAAATGGTCATGTCATAATGGACCTGCACCATTACTAGATAACTGCAAAATGACAGGGATATCAATCTGATCGCCATAATTGTCACTTTTAAGCTAGCTGTCATTCACTTCATATCCAGATTTGGCTCTGTGATGTGACATCTGCTTTAGAGATGGTACTAATGGAAGCCATTGATAGCTTCTATGGTCAAGCTCTTAAAACAGCAAACACTTTATTTTCGGGTTCTTGTGTCATGTTTAGGCCAAAAGCCAACGTTCATAAATTGACTGAGCATTTCTTGAGATTTTCTTCTCTTCTGGAGTAATTTAAAAATCAAAATCGTGGTCGAATATGTGACGACATATGAGAATAACCTTTTTTCGTTTAACAAAATTCCGTTAAATGCTCACCTTCTCTTTTCCCAACCGACTGATAATCCCCTCCAACTTCGCCCTACCCTGCTTCAATTCCTCCTGGGTGCGCTTCAATGTTTCCAACTCTGCTTGATTCTGCTGGAACTGCTCCTTCATCCTGCGCATCAGCTTTTCTTCAATAGCTGTTAACAGCGATTCCCGAATATGCTCTTCTTTAATGGTTCCAGTGCCCACAGGTGCTGGGTTAGGGGTTCCAAATGAGTTGGTGGGATATGGAGGGTAGGGAGACATTGGGAAAGAAGGAAATCCAGGGAAGGAACTGCTGCTTGTTGGAGGGTAAGGGGGATAACTGGGACCATACCCGCCTGCAGATTGGGGGTAGGATGTGGGTGGATACGGTGGTTGGGGCATGTAGCCAACTGAAGGTTGTGGCATGAACGCTGAAATGGAAAGAGGGCGTCAAAACAACCACCAACATGCTATCGCTAAATTCTCACTTTTCTATTACCCAGTGTACAGAGAACATCAAAAATATGGCAAAATATACAATTTCTACGGCACTTATACGATTTTCAATACAATGGGGTTTTTTGAGTCACTCATTCAAAACTCTCTAACCCCTCTACAAGGGCATTTGAAGGTCATATCAAGGACATTTAAAAAAAGGCCAAAGGTCGCCTAAAGGGCATTCCAAGGTCACTTCAACCACAAATTCAGAATAGGTCCAGCATACAAGTCCAGACGTGTGTCATGTTGTATTTCTTAATAGTTTGCAAAAACTGAGTCTAGGTTTTATCTGGACAGGCACGCAATAAAGGGACAGGAGCAGAAATAGAAGGGTTACTAACTCGAGCGATGTACGTTTCTGCTCATTGGCTTTGGATGTGAAGTGAAAACATATGTCCATTACACACTTCAGTGTTCCCATTTCTGCTTCTGTTCTTTTATTGTGGACAGGCCCACAATTGTTCCTTGTTTGTCATCTAAGTTTCTGCAAGACTTCTTGTCTTTGTAGGTACACAAACATCAATTGTTTCAATTGGGGCAAAGGGGGAACCTTATTAAAAACCCATGTAAATGATACTGATATTATAGTACATAAAAGCAAAAATATTGACACAACTCACAATACCATGGCTGATAAAGAAACTCTCCAATTTTGCTGTTAAAAAGTAGCGTCAAATCATGCACCAAACTTCAAGTTTACTAAAATCTGATATGGTAAAGGTAGTATAAATGTAAGTTCTGATTCTCTGGTCAACTTATTGTTTGAAGTATTAACTTAAAAATAAGTAATGATTTTCATTCATTTTCTATACCAATTTTTATTTGATGATAAATAAGAAAACTGAAAAAGGGGTGAAAATACAAAACTGAAGACCTGTGGATGAAGCAATGGATGCATTTGTCTTCCTCCAAGTTTTTCTGTAAAACAATTCTACATTCAAAGTAGATACTTACAACCTGCTCCATAAGGAATGTCATCATCTTTCGACCTCGCAAACACTGGTGGTTGTTCACCAAATGTCACTATCATTACTTGTATCAATCCAAGGAGATCTGAAGAGCTCTGCAAAAACATTAAATAAACACATAAAAGTGTAGAAACTGCCAAAATCAGAATTACAAACTCTTCTACTTATAAACATCATGTTGGGTAGCAACTAAAATAATGCCCTAAAACTGAGGTACCCAGTTCATATTTCCACAGTGAGTTTTATCAGCCTGAAATTTCCTACAATTTAAAAAGAAAACATATCTTCACAATAGGAGAGCGCTGGCGCTGACACGGGGCAAAGGTAACATTTTAAATAAATTTTTGAAGGAGAGAAAGGAGGATGACAATCAAGGAGGCTATAAACACGCCCTACAATTGTAGGGCGCCTTTATGGCCTCCTTGATTGTCATAGTTTTCTACTTCCCGTGTCAGAACTCTATTTTGAGGTTATGCCACAAACATCTATTTGCATCAAATTGTGCTTGCTTTTGAGTTATATCATGTTTTATCAGCCTGAAATTTCATACAATTTAAAAAGAAAACATATCTTCACAATAGGAGAGCGCTGACGCTGACACGGGACAAGTGTAATCTAGAAATTTTTGAAGGAGAGAAAGCAGTATGACAATCAAGGAGGCCATAAACGCGCCCTACAATTGTAGGGTCGACTGACGATACAGGCCTTAGATAAGGTAATACTTACTGGTACCCAATCATGCAGGTATGGCAAGTAAATCTTGCCATTTTGATCAACAAACATGGAAACCTTGATAGACATATCCTGAGTAGGCTTGACATAACATATTGGGGCATTTGTGGGGTGTGTATCTATCAGCCAAATACATATTGGTATATTGTAGATTGCTCCTCTATATCTCACTGGGATAGTGCCACTTAAGTTTATAAGTTCCATCTGGGTTCCATCATTAAATGCTAGAGAAGATAATGACAAATATATTATAGTCTATATAACATTGATAACAAAGAAGAAGTTTTATAAACCTGTAATGCCGGAATCGCACGCTTGCCAAATCGCCGCAAATCGTCACAAACGCAAACATACGGATAGAGCGTTTGGCTTGGTTTGCGTGGGTTTGCAAGCGCTTGTAGCCGATCCGATCGGGTCTCGGTTTTTTGGTCGCAAATATATATAATAAAAATAGCTTAAGCCAAATGCTACAGCAGACACAAGTTCGACATCCATCATTTCCGTTTGCCTGTTGCCTTTTCAGTGACGCACCCGCAAACGTGTGGACAGCGACGTTTGCTTCTTCAAAAAAAAGGCAAGTGTTTGTAGGGGTTTGGAGTTTGCGGCAAATGGCAAGCGTGCAGTTCCAGCATAAGATATGCTCATGCCGGAACCGCACGCTTGCCAAATCGCAGCAAATCGTCAAAAACGCAAACATGCGGAATGAACGTTTGGCTTGGTTTGCAAGCGCTTGTAGCCGATCCGATGGGGTGTCGGTTTTTTGGTCGCAAATCAAAAGGAGTTTGCCACAAGCGTTTGCGACACATCCATACGGTTGTGATAGGTACTATTTTTGAAACTAAATATCAATTTCATTAAAACAAATACCATTTACCTGGTACGATTCATATGAATATTTAACATCCACCACCTTCTTGGTCGTACTTTTCATTTTATCTGACTTTTTTTTTGTTTCCATCCGTCATGTTTGCCTGTTGCCTTTTCAGTGACGCACCCGCAAACGTGTGGACGGTGACGTTTGCTTCTTCAAAAAAAAGGCAAGCGTTTGTAGGAGTTTGCGGCAAATGGCAAGCGTGCGGTTCCAGCATAAAAAATGTCTGCATTTATATTTGTGTATCAAGAAAGGTAGTAAGTTCTAATTAGGCTTCAAGTCTGTAATGGTAATCAGTTAATGCAAAACAACTTTTGAAGAACCTCTTCTAGTGATAAGATGCATAATAAATGATGACCTGTAGTTGAAAAGAAATGTTCAAGCAAAATAATATTAAGTATTCCTTTAAAAGTGACTTCATTTTTGCCAATGCCTATTTGCACAAAAATATGGAAGATGATGAGTAGCTTTTGAGACATGTCCTGTGATTGCTCTTCTGATTCAATATTTTTTTATCTGCACAGATAAACCCATCTATCAACAGCCGAATAAAGTCATAATTCAAAATTACAAACTTACTGTATATGCCTTGTTCTGGCTTCAGCCCCCTATACTGATTTGTTACACTGAGAATATCTCTATAACACACATCGGAATTCTGGTACTAAAATAAGAAGAACTTTAAGGCTAAAACCATTTCTTTATTTGGATTTGACTTCTTACGTGATCGAGCCACTGCTTCAGTCTATCATTATCCACTGACATCGTAGAAATTTTTTTAGTTATATCTAGGCTTTCAAGTTAATTGCACAATGAACATTAACACAATATTAATACGATATTTACAATTTTTCTTTTGTTAACATTACTGTATTTCAGCTGCAAAGCCTATCCTATAAAACACCTATAAACTTGATTAGTATTAGTAATCTTTTATTTTGGATATTTGTCAATATGTCATCACTTCGACATATATTTGACAGTCGGAGGGTTTTTGACATGTAATAGTAGGGATGTCTAGAATGTCGATATTTACAGAACATCGAATACGATGAAAAACATCGAAGTCTCACTCAATGTTTTTTTAACAAGGCAAGGGAGCCAAGGGAGAACCCAGGGCCGAGTAATGCGGGTCCCACACGATACTTCCAACGTTGTTTACCACGTTGTATACAACGTTCGACACCCCACAATTGGCAAGTGTGTCTCCTACATGATGGGATGAACTTTTTAGTCTCACGCATGGTGGTGCCAACGTCTATTATCGATGTCAGTGTCGCGCTTTCACTTTTACAACTGAAGGAAAAATTATACAAAATAAACGATGAAACAATTTTTTCGAACACCGAAAAATAATTTCAGATCTGTCCTCAGCGATCAAGATTTAAGTCTGTAAGAAGCCTCAAAAATGTCGAAAAACTCCACCAGCTCCACCGCCATTGTACCGATTTTCAAAAACTGCAGAGCTTTTTCATTTTCATAGTAGTAACCTAGGGTCAAAATTTCATCAAAATCGTGATAGTACTTTCAGAGTTATCATTTCTTTAATCTTTTTCGTTAGTTATGAAATGCAAGTCAATATATTTCTCAAATAGTCTTGCATTGCAACAGGGCATTATAATGAAACAACTGTAAGCACTTGATAATATATATTTTACTAAAAAACATATTCTTAGGCCAGCCATAACTCACCTGCGAAACGTACAAAATATTAGCAAAATGAAAAAAGTGCTGTACTTCACCACAATCACAGCAAACAAATAAATAATTTTTGTCGCCGCTACTGGTTCTGACCTAAAACCGTGAAACACATCACATCTCGTGGGGGAGCGTAACGAACCATGCTTCCAACGTTGTAACGTCCTTTGACGCGGGTCAAATTTACCAACAACAGCCCGAACATGCCATGTGACGAACGTTGGACACATGCAATCCGTCAGCGCTCGCTCTCTCACACGATGTGGCGAATTTCCATGTGTCCAACGTTGTAAGGCATTCGCCACATCGTGTGGGAGCGGTTTACAGATTACAAACAACTATTCAAATATACTCTACTAGACTCTAGAAGATTATCCGTAGCTAATTTTTTCTCGAAATCTTTAGTAGAGTATATTTCAATAGTTGTCTTGCTTGGCCATGTTATCTTCACTCGGGCCAACCTACGTTCACCTTAAAAACATCCAGCCATCCAGACACAAATAAAAGAGGTTAGCATTTTTTCTGGATACCAACAGTCTTGTCAGGTTGTGTTCGGCAACACCGCACTGTTTCTCATTCTCCCATGGTATTTCTGTATGATGACACGTGACACTGTTTTGACGTTTTCCCGCCATTTCTGTTGGTTAGAATATAAAGGTTTCGTACCATTGTTTCGTCCTCTCTTTTGTGAAAATATTATGTTTTGCAAATAAGCAAAGGAGTGTAATATTGCAAAACTGCTGGGTCTACTCGAATATCATTCATTAGCTTACAATGTCTAAGAACGAAAGAAGACAAAGCAATACTTTGTTCAATTATTTCCAATCTCCAAAGGTGGAAAAGAATGGAAGTTCTGCTAAACCAACCCCGTCTAAAGTTAGCAAGACAAACGGGGAAACAAAGAAAGATCGCGGTAAGCATAATTCCATTCATGTGACTAAAATATATTAATATTCAGGAAGCCTTATATTAATACAAACATTTCAGTGATTACTCTGTGCCATTCATTTGTTATCCAATAATAATTGATATTTTTTTGTTAAAGACGGTTCAGATAGTGAAAACGAAATCAAACTTACGAAAAAACGCAGCAGAATAATGGTAATGGATTCTTCAGATAGTGAAGATGAAGGTGATACTAAGCAAGGCAAGAAATTCAAGAGAAAAGTTGAGAGTGATGAAGAACAATCTACCCCCAAAAAGCCAAAAGGAAACAAAAAAGTAAAAAAAGTAGTTTATAGTGATGATGAATCTACAGCAAAGAAAAAAACATTATTTGATAAGTTTAAGAGCTCTGGTTCCTTTGGAAATACATCAAATGGCTCAGAGTCACCAGCAATTAAAGGTATGCAGTATGTCATTACAGACTAGGGTATTGAGAATTTTAGATAATAAATTTTGTAAAATGATTCTTAAATGTCTTTCCTAAAGTGGGCAATAATGACCCTTTGTGGGCAGTAAGGGTAACAACGCACGAGCCGCTCACCGCGACGGATGGCGGTCACGCGGATGTTAGGTTGTGTAGGAATAATTGGCAGACAGACAACTCACTGGCAATCACGTAACCACGCGGACTTTCATGACGACTAACCTAGCAACCAGCCATCCGCGACGGTTTCCATAAAGCAATCCGCACTTCCCCGCGGTACCGCTCATCCGCCACCCGCCGCGGTGCGCGGTTCGTGTGTTATTACCCTAAAGAACCTAAAGATAATGGGAGTGGGGATTTGTCCTCCTTCATCCATAGACCTTCACTAATTTTAGTCTCCCAAAAAATCATCAATTTTCAAAGTGGACAGTAGATAAAGTAAGTTTGAGAACCTCTTGTATATATGGATTATGAATTTCATAACAATACATCAAAAGATATACATTTTTTTGCCAGGTATCTTGTTTATTAACTGTCCAAGTTGAAAAAATGATTTAATTAAATATAAATTAAAAAAACTATAAAGTATTGATAAAACTGTTGCAGAAGAAAATTGTAGATAATGAAACTTCAAACTAAGACTTCATATGTTCTAAAAGTGCAGAACAAAAAATAAGGAACAATAGCTAAAACTTAAACCCTTTGTTATGATTAGTTACTATATCTGACCATGAGATTACTTTCATAGACCATTTTAATATAATGTCTAAGGTCATCAATAATGAGGTCAGACCCCCAGCTCACATTGGTCTTTGAGGAACTTACCCTATTTTTAAATGAAAAATTCATGACTAAGTCCATGATTTTCCAATATCTTTCAAGTTCTGACAGATTCTACCTCAGAAGAACCAGCCACTTCTCAGCCAATCATCTCAGATCCAAACTCTAGCTGGGCACATAACACTCTTCCATTTTTAAAACCCGAGAAGATCAAGGATGCAAATAGAAGAAAGCCTAGTGATCCAGACTATGATCCAAGGACACTGTTTGTCCCTGACAGTTTCCTCAAAGACCAAACACCTGCAATGAGGCAGTGGTGGGAGATTAAAAGTAAACACATGGATTGCATTTTATTTTTTAAAGTAGGAAAGTTCTATGAATTGTATCATATGGATGCTGTCACTGGTGTGGTTGAACTGGGCTTCACATATATGAAGGTAGGCCTTTTTGGAAAATTTCAAGGTGTACTTTTTCAGGAGTTTTTTATATTAGGAAGCAACATTACATAATTACATATGGGTGGCCATATGGTATTTGGGTTCTTAGTGTTAAATCAGCTTAGCTTACTTTATTTTCATATTCATTATGTCCCAAGACTATATAATATGTGATATATATTTGACAGGGTCAGATATTTTGATTTTGACAGCTTTTATAGGTATCAGAGGAAAATGTGTGACCACATGAGTGACATTAAAAAAAAATTAAATAGGGCCTAGAACCCATTGAACATGCTTCAACCCCAAAATTAACTTCAACCCTAGTATCACAAGAGCTTAAATGGCCAATAGCTACATTCTGGGTGTGAGGAAGGGCTGCAACCATTCTAATGACTGTTTTTTATGCCATAATGTGCTAGCCTATTCAGAAGAGTATCTTGCTCAACACAGGTGAAAGCCCTGCTGAGGTCACAGAAGACCCCAACAGGGCTCTCTCATGCATTGACAAAGTGAACAACTTGATCATAAAATGTATGGATAGCAGAGTTTGTGGATTTACTTGCCTGAAAGCCATGCTTTTGCTCGTTGATTAGCTTGTAAAATTCTTCTAAAAAAGAAATAAAGTGAAATGTACTGTCCTTGATATGACTAGTAGTGACTATGACATTGGTTTTCTGGATTTTTGCAGTTACATCTCGTGCAGGATTTTTGAAAAATTTATTGAATGAATTGGCTACAGTTTCAGAGCAGTCAGTGATGATATCCATATCATCCAGTTTTACTGACAAATTCTGCTGGGGTTTTGTTTTCCCTGACAATTTTTTAATGATATTCCAAGCACATGAGACCAGATTCATTTATCTTCTGTTGAAAAAATTTGTTTCTTGGATCTTTTATTTACTTTTGGTGCTGTCTTTTTGCATTTACATACAATTCCTTAAATTCCTCGTCGATCCCTGTTAGTTTTTTGTGTCGTTTTAAAATCGGAAAGTAATTTTCGAAATAAAAATTGAAAACGCTCATGGAGTACGAAAATGCAGCATCTATATCTCTTATACCATACAGATATGACCACTCTTTACTTCCAAGAGCTAATTTAAAATCTCTCACTGAATCGGAATTAAAATTTCGAGAATAGAGTAATGTGCATTTATCAAGTACATAAATCATTCTATAACCAAGGTAATATTTTCTGCACAACATTTTTTATTACTATTTTAGGGGGAGTTTGCTCATTCTGGATTCCCAGAAACTGCCTATGCAAAAATGGCAACAATCTTAATTGAAAAGGGATACAAAGTTGCCAGGGTTGAGCAGACTGAAACTCCCGAAATGATGCAAGCAAGAACAAAGAGTGTTAAAGGTCAAAAAGTTGTTAGAAGAGAGATCTGTCAAATTTCATCCAAAAGCACCATGGTATGCACTGCCCAAATGCCTGAAGCTCTGAATGATAGTAGGAATTATTTGTATGCCATATGTATGCAGGTAGGATTGATCATACAGTAATTGTGAGGAATATTGTGAGAGGATTGAAATTCGTGTTTTAGCAAGGGTCCAAAGGCAACAATCGAGTTGGGATTTGTTTCGTTGAGACTACTCTGGGTACTATCATCATGTCTGAATTTGATGATGATAACCATTTTTCAAGGTTGCTAGTTTTGTTTGCCGAGTATCCTCCTACACTGGTAACTATTTCCACATGTTAAATTAACGTATATTTGAGTTTTTTTGCTTTTAGATATTGACAGAAAGAAGCAACATTGCTCCAGCTTTGTCAGAGATTCTCAACACACAGTTCAAAGATGTACAAAAGGAGACACTGTCCCCAAATACTCAGTTTCTTTCTGCATCAGAAACTTTGAATAAAATATCGATGGGTAGCTACTTTTACGATAAAGATGGAAACTTCCATTGGCCTGAATTCTTCAAAAATATCGCTGACGATTGTAAGACATTCAGAATAACTTTCTGTTCCTGTTATCACTTCTGAAGGGCATTATTTATGAGCAGCTGTATGGTATTTTGGATTTCAATGTTCCGCAAAAAATCTTCAGCAAATCGACAAATTTGGAGAAATAAAAAATTCAAATAGTGTAGAATACTTGCTTTACTTGAAACATATGATGAAATTGAAGTAACCATTACAATTTAGGCACAATATCCCCTGGCGTGCTCCTTTCCGACTTTCACTATAAATATCAATACTTCTGTATTCATCACTGGTATAATGATATGCAAATATTGCTGGATATACATTATAACATATTTTCATAAAAAGAGACACTAAACAATTGTTGAACAGCATAAAAAACACGTTTTTAGTTATTGAATTGAATGAATCGTGAAATTAGATGCATTCCGGCCACCATAAGGAGCCAGTGCATAGGCCGCTTAAACGGGCCCTTATGCACCTCTATATTCCTTAGACCTCAAGCCTCGCCTTTCTAGCGAAGTTGAGTATGGCCTTGAGTCCAAGCTCCTTGACGTCCTGAGGGTCCAAAGTAAAGGACCACAGTATAGTCTGCCTATAGTAACTCAGAGTTTCACAGCGACACAGAACGTACGCCAAGGCCTCTTTATCTACCCCGCAGCGCTCACACAAGGGTCACGTGCAGTGGGTGCCTTAACGTGTTATGGCCAGACAATAGTTCCACCAGCAACCTTACGTTGGGTCTATCCAGAGATAAGCAGAAACGTCCATCCATAGCACTAGGCCCTATAATGAGTTCCCGTACCTGACGATGTCTGGAGATGCATCTCCATTTCTGAGAGTGTTGTCTTGCAATCCACGTTTCCATTTTCCTCCTAACTATTTGCGCGGGCACTCCTAAAGCTGGTAAGAACCAACGAGCTTGCTCTTGGCCAGAGCGTCCGCCGTCTCATTGCCCCTTATCCCAGCGTGCTCCGGTACCCAAATTAACTATACCGGATGCCTCGCTGCGAGACAATCCAGAGCCATCCCTGCATTGCAATGCAAGGCTCGAAGTAATCTTACAGACACTTAGAGCCTTCATTGCATTCTGGCTGTTGGATAAGATTCTTCTCCTAGGCCCACCCTCCTCCAAAATGCGAGATACACGAGCCAGAATCGCTAAAATGGAAAATAGTGATGTATCCTCCAAGAGGCAGAGATAGTCTAATTCTAGGCCCGGGGACCCCAACGCCAGAGCCCTCTTCGGTGACCGAGTCGTCCATGTACCAGACCTGCCCACTCACTCCGGAGGCTCTCCGGCTACCGCGGCGTCCCACTCCTTCCTCGTTGGATACTCCACATTAAGCTTGCGGCTGTACGAAGTATGACAAAACCTCAATTTCCAGGTTTGCCAAAGGCTGCGTATGAACTTTCCTTAAGATCTTTGGGAGCCAGCTGGTGGTATCTGAAGGACTCCCTACTAGACGTCCATGTGTTTTCAATGGCCAAATTTGAATGGTACGATCCAGTAGATTGTCTCTCAGAAGAAAAAACTTCCAAAGTAAAAGACCACATGGTCTTAGATGCAGCTGCTTTGAAAAACTTGAACTTACTAGGCCACGAAGGATCGCTTATGAAAGTTTTGGATCACTGTGCAACACCTTTTGGAAGAAGGTGATTTGAGTAAGATTTTCTAAAATTCATATCGTTTATTATTTTTTGTTATTTTGAAGGTTGTTGCAAAGATGGATCTGCAGACCATTGTGCGACGTGGTGAAAATCAAAGAACGGCAAAATGCTGTTCATTATCTTGCTGAAAATGGGACAGTCTTTAAAAATACTCAGACCATTTTACAAAAAATGCCTGATTTGGAAAGAGAGCTGGCAAAGTAAGTAGAGTTACATATTTTTCTATGTGCTTTTCTACAGAATGTTATTTTGACTTCCCACGCCTACCGGCGAGAAATTATTGTGATAGTAGAAAATTTCGAAAATGAGATGTTTTATGAAATGTACACCATGTCACTCTTCTCCCCTGGTCTGCCTGTCTGCCCCCTAATCATTGGCACCTCTATAATTCGGAAAGTATCACTCGGTTTTTGGTGTCATTTTGAACCAAGGTTGCTGCTATGCCAAGGACAACAAATGTGCACTTTTTGATCAGGGTTGGCGGAGAAAAAAATAATAAAAATTGCTCAAACATAAATATTTTTCTAGTAGTCGAAAATTGGGCGTTGTTAGTGTTGCATCTTTTTGGAATATGTTCCAAGACTATGAGAAGCTCTATAAAAGTAATTTGTTTTTTCGGCAATTTTTGAAATAATGTATCCATAGTGAGCCTCAAACTTTAGTTTACTATTAATATATGTAGGTATCTAAATATTTAATTGATTCAACATTTTCAATTATTCCACCATTTATCCTCACTATAGTATTTTCATTTAGGTATTTCCCTTTTAGCATACATTTTGTTTTAGAAGTATTTAATTTTAGTTTATTTACATTTAACCAATTTATGATTTTTGCCAAGTCAGAATTTAGCATCTTAAAGCAGTGTCTATATTTTCATGTGATATGTATATTAATGCTATCAGTGATTCAAAACCGCGACTTGATCACGACTTTCGAATAACAGCGTTGTTACTCTTTACTCATCGGTGCTGTATAGATCTAGTCTTGAAGACACAAACAGAAGGAAAACAAGTAAAACACAAAAATGTTTAGCAAGTAGGCGATAAATATGACGACGGCCACCTACTCATGGTTTGCCAAAGCTGATTCATGAAGCATATCCATAGTTTTGTGGGAAGAACAAAGTGAATCTACTTGATACCATTCTTGTTCTAGGATACATTTGTTTGGTAACAAGTTTTATGCCACGGAACACCCAGATAGTAGAGCAGTGCTTTATGAAGCTGCAACATATTCTAAGAGGAAAATCATGGATCTTGTACGAATGCTGAAAGCTCTTGAGGATGCTCAGGAGATAGCAGAGGTTTTTAGAGGTACGACTTTTTGGTTTCTGATAGTTTTAGTTAACCCTTTGCTGCCAGGTTCACCTTTTTATTATGAAATCGTTCATTTTACATTATCCTAGTCCTAGTGAATATAATTGTATAATGTCGCTCTAATATGAGGTGCAAATTGAACCCTAGGCGGGAACTCAAAGAAATTGATTTGTCTAAGATAGCGGTGTGTGACAGCGACAGTTTCCTTCTAGTATTTGAAAAAAAACTATACAGAACGCTATTTAAGATGCTTCAGTATTGCAAGTTACTCGTGATTTATATGAAGACTCTTTGCTAGATTTCCCGCTCTGGTGCGAAAAAATGAATCTAATTTTAGGAGCAAGCTGCAGTCAGTAGCGTGCAGACGCTATCATGAAATTTTCAACTGTTATTTTTACGTTAAAGTATAGTATTCATGCGTCAATTTTATCGTCTCGAATTTCAGCTTGCTAATTTGACCCATTCAAAAAATAAGTAGGGGGACCTTTCTGAAAAGCACAGTATGACGAAGAGCGGAAGCTTGGCTCAAAATTAGAGAGATTGACGTGCTTAAATATAAGCCTTTTCATATTTTTGTTAAAACCGATTTTGAAACTAACTCTAAAGGGATCAATGATAAAAAAAACATGGCAGACCATCAAACATTCAAGTATAGGCTAATAATATTAGCAAATTTCTCCGAAATAATTGTAAAGTCTGGTTTTATTGGTCCAAGTTGATCAAGGGGGTATTCAAAACATGGGCGCATAAAATGGGTACACGATTTTTTGTTGGAAAGCTTTTTATTTGACAACAAAGAATGAGAAAACGTGTTTTTTTGGGATTCAATCGAAAGTGTTGACAGGAACGAAAAAACTTTTCATATAAGATTTTTAGGTATTTATGAGACCTACAAAATGAGACTACACGTAAAAAGATCCGACTAATAGAAAAAAATGTTATGGCCGAAAAACGAGGCAAAATGCAGGTTTTTGGCACTTTAGAGCATTTTATAGCAAAATACACGTGTTTACCTTGCCGATATGAATCACAAACCATTTTATGCGAAAAACAAAGGTTACATTTTTTCTTCTAAACAAATTTTAACATTTCGTATTTGTGAGTAATTGAACAAATGCGCTGCGATATTCGAAAAACATAGGTTGCTATTCACATTTCAAAACAAAGCGGATGTGTCTATTTTCTTTTGTTGCGAATTACTCACAAGTACGAAATTTTTGAATTTGCTTAGAAGACAAAACGTTACCCATCATTTTTGCATAAAAATCACATTTGTCTTCCGGAATGGTTTGCGATTCATATCGGCAAGGTAAACTAGTGTATTTTGCTATAAAGTGCCCTTTGAACTAACCCTGTATATTGCTCAATAAAATAGTGGTGATAGCCGGAAAACAGGTGTTTTGGGATAAACAATTAGAAATTCTCAAAAACTACTTGACAAATCTACTCCAATTTTGTTGTAGTTATTTAGAAGTACGAATCTTACGAATTTGAAGAATTTAAATATTCGCGAGAAACCATCGTCGCAGTACCAAGTGCCAAAACCTGCAGTTTGCCTCGGTTTTCGGCCATCACTTTTTTGCTATTAGTCGGATCTTTTTACGTGTGGTCTCATTTTGTAGGTTTTATAAATACCTAAAAATCTTATATGAAGAGTTTTTTCGTACCTGCTAACACTTTCGATTGAATCCCAAAAACCTGTTTTCTCATTCTTTATTGTCGAATAAAATGTTTTCCCACAAAAATTGGTGTACCCATTTTATGCGTCCTTGTTTTAAATACCCCCTTGAACAACTTGCAGCAATAAAGCCAGTCTTTACAATTATTTCGCAGACCAGGGGTATTTTCGTCTAATATGATTAGACTATAAGATGCGTGTGTCTATATCTGCTATTTCCACACCTCAGCTATCTTGTTGGCTATCATTTCATTTATGATAAAAATCCTGAATCACCGACAACCAGTAATTTTCATGGTGTAACATCCCAATACCATTAGGAGCCAAGTAACTTGACTGGAATTGGTCGTCATCCCAAAAAACCAGTAGGCCGCAAAGGGTTACATGTATATTAACATAGATCATTTTATCTTTTAAGATTGTGATGATAACTTTTTGAAAAAACTAACACAGTTTGCACCTATTGGAGTGAACATCGATCTGAAAGAAGTATTGAGGTACTTTAAGGTAAGTAAATGGTATTTTTAAAATATTTTCTTTCTCTGTGTAAACTTTCTTCCGACTTCTCACGTTTTGAAATCTTCCAGAATGCGTTTGATCAACAAAAAGCGGAAGCAGACGGTAAAATAATCCCCAAACGAGGGGTTGTCGAGGAATATGACGAGATCGAAAACAAAATCGAAGAAATAAATTCTCAGTTACAAGATTATCTTGACGAGCAGAGTAAATTTTTTGGTTGTAAAGTGAAATATTTTGGAACCGACAAGAAGAGATACCAACTGGAAGTTCCAGAGAACAAAAGTCATCGAGCTACTACTGAATATCAGTTAGAAGGAGCTAAAAAGGGCTCTAGTGCTGTTAAGAGGTACACTACTAAAGTTACAAAGGTTGGTTCTAAAGCACTATCATTCATCAACTTCACGAGCTGCAACCAAGAGACTTCTAGTTTTTCATTCAGTGTTCTTCCAAGAAAATAGATTCTACATGTTTTTGCAAGTTTTGTAAATACATTTTTTTTTCAGTCACTTCTAGCAGACATGATGAATGCTGAAAGTGAAAAGGCAAAGCTTATATTAGATCTGAATCGTAGAATTTTCGAAAAATTGTTTGAGCAGTAAGTATAATTGATTCTTATTCGAGCAGCATTTTGATATTTGAATTCGCCGAGTTGATTGAACCTTTCTTCTTGATTGTAATCAATGTATACCTTCTAGGTTCTATGTATATAAGTGTGAATGTCCAGTCTGTCAGCATTACGCCTGAACCACAAAATGTTTGGATAGATCAAGGTATCTCAAAAATAGTTTCGTAGAGAAAAATGTTGTAGAATAATCCTGTAAGGCTCGATGAGATTAATCCATTGGTGGTTCAGAATGTGATCTTGACTAGGATCTTCAAGGCCATTTGAAGGTCAAGACAGTCTTCTTAAAATGTAACCCCTATTTTTGACACCTGAAATGTAAAGTGCTGGAAATTTTACGTTAGAGCATGTCTTTGTCCATGACCTTGACCATGATCTTCATGGGTATTTGAGGGTGTCCAGAAAGTGCGGAAATGATAAAATATCTCCAAAGATTTCGTGTAATAAAGCTTTACGGTTTGAAAAGATTCATTTAATGGTGAATTTGAATGTGGCCTTGAACATTACCACCAAGATTATTTGAAGGTCAAGACAGTTTTCTTAGATGGATAGCCCCTATCTTTGACACCGGGAATAAAAAGAGCAAGTAACTTTATGTTCAAGTATGTTCATTTGAACATCAAGGTCATTTGTGGTCAAATTAATTTTTAAAGGAAAACATGTTTTTAATTTAAAGTTCAAGTATATCCTTGCGAATGAACCTAAACATGACCTTCAAAGTCATTTATAAGAAAAGATAAGTTTTCAAGTCAACTCCTTACTTTTTTTTCGAGGATATAAAAAAGCGAATCATTGAAATTAATTTATTGTTGCATTAGAATGTTGGATAAAAATGTTCATTGCCAAAGTAACTATTTAATATTCTTCACACTAATGCAAAACAAATGAGCTGTACTTTCCACTACTTCCACGCAAGCGGAGCCGCGGGTCTAGTCTAGCTTTATTCATAGAAAACAAAGGATGACTTGACATATTTAATGCCGTCTTATTTTTTAGTCACGAGAAATTTGACCAAGTGATACAGTGCCTGACAATGTTGGATGTGCTCTGTTCTTTAGCTGAATATGGAAGAACATTTTCTCAAGACATGTGTATGCCAGAAATATCTCCATTCAACGATCAGGTAACATATCACAATAATTAAAAAAAATCATACTGTATTCACTGATCTTTTTCAGCCAGTGTTTGTAGCAGAGAACGGTCGATATCCCTGTGCCCCCAACATTGAAAGCTTTGTACCAAATGATACCAAATTTGGAGTAGATGGTACACCTAATATAATGATTATTACTGGACCAAACATGGGCGGTAAATCCACATTGATGAGGCAGGTGGCAATCATCAGTATCATGGCCCAAATGGTAAGATTTTTTTTTTGTAGTTTGCCCATATTGTCAGAATGTAAAAGTTTTTTTATAGCATTTATAACATACTAGCTTTTTTGAACATCGATTTTACCTTCAGAACGTGGCACCACTAATAAAGAAATCAAACTTCCCAAATATGCAAGTTGGCTGACAATTTACTAATGCCATCAAAGATACAAAGCGTGATCGGAAGTTCATAGCATTACTTGAACAGTTTCAAGCAGGTAACAGCTGGCGCAAGATATGTCTCGATCGCTTAACGGTCACAGGTTGAGTGGTGCGATGAATGACCGCGCTATTGCCGGCTTGCGCTGCCGGTAGAGATCTTGTTTCTTGCCACGACAGTTGATTGCAAAATCGATGATGAGTTGGCAAATAAAACCAACCTAGGGTAGCAATTAGCATGTGTACATTTTTTTCATCTCTCCATATTGTGGTTCAGACGTGCTGCTGCTATTTATATTCAGAGAAGAAGATACACAGCTTTAAAGTTTGCTGGATAACAGATAAATTTATCTTATCAGCCTAGCAGCATTAAAGATTGAATGACGACCCAATAATCCACAGTATTATACGTAGCACTAATTTAATGAAGCAATATGAACAAGCAAAAATGTCGATACTGGGCTGCGGAACAGCCGTCGCTGAAGCATCAAAAACCACTTCATTGCCAAAAAGTCACAGTTTGGGCACGGCCAACGTGAGCATGGGCGTCGTACAGGTAATGCTTCTTGGAAAAGTGATATCGAGGGGAGGTGACATTGATTGGCCGCCACGCAACCCTGACTTGTCCCCACGCGATTTCTTTTTTTGGGGATCTCTCAAGAGCCGAGTCTACAATGCGAATACGAAAACAACAATAGTGACTGATTTCTATTGCACCAAATGGAAGTTCGTTCCCTGTTTATTGTAATCCAATTTTTTGACTACCCTACCATCCATCAAAGGTAGTAAATGCCTCAATGAAAAAGAAATGGACGGTTAAAGTACTGGGTGGATACAATCCTTAATTCCGAGTGGTTGAACATACTTCAAGTACCGGGTAGTTTATAGCAATGACAGTTACAATATCTGTTAGGTCTGATACCAGGCTAAGTCAGGGAGAGCCTTCGCGATTGCTATAAACCGACTATCTTGAACACTGACCACTTTGATTTTTACATTTATATTTTCCAGGGTAGCTATGTTCCAGCGTCTTCCTGCAGTCTCTCCCTAATCGACAGAGTATTCACCCGCCTGGGTGCTCAAGACGACTTGGTTCAAGGTCAGTCCACGTTTTTCGTGGAACTGTCAGAAGCCTCTAGCATCCTAAAACACGCTACCAAACATTCTTTGGTCATAATTGATGAATTAGGCAGAGGCACTTCGACACATGACGGCAATGCTATTGCCACGGCGTATGTCAACAAGTTGACGACTTACGGATGCAGGACGATGTTTTCTACCCACTATCATTCACTTGTTGATAATTTTATTGGAAGGAGTGAAATCCAACTGGCGCATATGGTATGTAAAACCATCGATGAACATATTCCTCCCAATCTATTGTATACTTGGAAAGACAGAAATTTCGGTCATTGTTCATTCAAAAATATACAGGGTGTTCATTTGAAAACTTTCCACACCGGATTTATCGAAAACCTTTGTTTAACAGAAAAAACGACGAGACACGTCAAAAGATTGGTCAAGGAGGACAAATGTTGTGACATGCCTCGGTTTTTTTATTAGTATTTTTCGATAATTCCGTGGTGGGAAGTTTTCAAATGAGCACCCTGTACGTTAGCCGGCATGTGGTTGTATCACCGCAAAATGTAACAACTGACATAAGAGTAATTAATTTATGTTTCTGGTGTGGCGAATTCGGACTTATATTTTGTGACTCGAGAATTTTGATATTTCGATATTTTAGGAGTTAATGAGGTTCAATTGAAATTGTGTAACTTCTGAGTTAACCCCTCAACGTCCTTTCGTATTACAGGTGAATCATGGCCCTCTGAAGAAAAATTCGGGAATTGTTATAACTCGACATTTTTAACGCTTTGAAAATGAAATTCCGGGAATCTTATAGAACATTAGAAAAATCTTTATTCATCTTGATTTGTTCTGATAGTTAACAAAAACTCACAAAAATTTCACTTTTATTTCAATAAGTGTTCAAAATGTTGCCAGTTATTGGCCAAACAATGATATAGGCGATGTTCAGATTCCTGACGGACATTTTCAAAAATATGTTGCGGGATATCATGGATAACACTTTCAAAATAAAATTCCGAGAATCTTGATAGTTTTGAATCTTTCAGAAATTCTAAATATGTTTTCCAGGCGTGCATGGTCGAAAACGAAGACGACCCCACAGAAGAGAGCGTTGTATTCCTCTACAAAGTCGCAGAAGGTAGATGTCCAAAATCGTATGGCTTCAATGCTGCTAAATTAGCGGGATTGGATAGAAGCATTATTGCAAAAGCGCGCCAGTATGCTGCGGCATTAGAACAGGAAGCTAAAAACAGGAAAGCGATCAGAGAAATTTACCATGCGGAGGATATGAAGGTTGTTAGACAGATATTGGGTCGATTGGGGATATAACATCTTTTGAATTGAGAAGATTATCGATAAATGTTATTTTTATTCACTATTTGGATCATTTGAACAGTTTTTGAAAGCTATTGTTTAATGATGTTTTTGTTGATCAGATATAAAAAACTGCAACGCTACTTTTGACAATTACAAGAAATGCAGTTGAAAAGACATTTTTATTTCAATGTTACCATGTTATTGTAATAGATTTGTGATGATCTGACTTGCTTAGTTACTGTGTAACTTATCTTTATTTTCTGTGCTTGTTGATAGACGTGCTTAGGTTAGTCTCATAAATGTTCAAGTTTTTTTATTGCATTATTAAAGTATCAACATTGTACTCGATGCTTGTTGTTCATTGTACGAGGATTTTTATTGAATCTCATAAATAACATTGCTGGTGTTTTTTCTCCTTAATTGTGATGCGGTTGAATCGTCTTCAGGAATGGGAATTGAAATGACTGAAATCGGTTTTACTGCCCACGCCTACTGTTTTTTGGATGTTATATGACCTGTAAATCGCAAAAAAACATGAATAATTTCCGTCTGGCTTTGTGTCCGCTAATCCTATAACTGCCTATAACCTGAAACGTGGATGTAACTCAGAATCTCGTTTTTCTATCTATTTTGCTCTTGGACGTCGAACGGGTAACATCAGTGTAACTTATATTTTTTTCAGGGGTATTATTTTTGTCTTAGAAACTACATACACAGTCTTTCTCAAGACTTCCACTGGACCTGGCAGGCAAAATGTAAGTTACTATAAATTAGCAGATGAAACATTGCATTAAAAATTATTTTTCAGAAATAGGGAACGAAATAACAAGAAAGTTGCTCATAGCCAAGGACGACAAATTATATTCAATGTGTTTGAATATATGAAGCGAGAAAAGGAAACAGGAGAATTAACCATACCTCTGGCTGCGCAACTAATTTCTAGCTTTGTATCTCAAGTGTATTTGAGACAAGAACCCAATGTAATTATCATCAACACATACCACTTACAGCTTAGACCTCCAGTAATGCCATCTCAGAAGCAGATTTTACAACACAGAACCAAAGATTGATAACAAGCCTCATAACGTTTAGGCAACATGTACAACTAAGTGCTAAGCTAACATCTTGTGTTATATCGAGAAATGGTCCTGTCGAATGGCTGCCTAGATCGTATGATTTAATATATCTAGACTTTTTTGTGGGCTACATTAAATCATTGGTCTATGCCAACAAGCCGGCGTCGTTAGAAGGGCCCAGAGCCAATATTGAACGAGAGATAGCGGCCGTTTCTGTCGGAATGTGTGGCCGAGTCATTGAAAATTGGGTTTAACGAATCGATCGCCGCGAACGTGCCCATGGTGGACATATGATCGAGGTCGAATTCCATACATAAATTTTTTGAGTATACTTCAATCCAGTAATAAAATTTCAGAGCTATCTCAAATGGTGGTCGTTTTATTTAAAAAGAAAGTTATCAAGTCCTTAATGGAAAACCCTACAAGTTCGTGCATATCCATAAAAGGAGATCTACAATGAAGGCGGTGTACGATGCTGTTACCAACGATGGTGTAACTCCTAATGGAAAGATCATGTCATTCAGGAAAATAGTACGCAAATTGGACTTCTGTTGGAAAAGAACGGAAGATAACAGGAATGTACTGATTGAAAAGCCTGAGATCAGTGCGAAACGGACAGAATACTTGAGAAGACTGAAAGAGTACAAAGATCTAGGTGTGTACTGCAGGTATTGGAGCAATGAAAATTCTCATGCTTCTGTAGAAGGTCATACCCAGTACACCTAAAAAAATACGGTATGGGCAGGTATTTTAGGAAACAAAGTGATTGGGCCATTTATTAATGCAAATTTGAATGGAGACATTTATTTGGATATGTTGGAAAATACCATCAATCCGCTTATCATTGAGACAACTAAAAACCAAATGGAAGCGGATGGAATGAGGCTGAACTATATTTCCAGCAAAACTCCTTACTATGTTCCTCCGGATCGGCAATGCCTAGACGACGAGCTTCCAGTAGAATGGACAGGGCTAAGAGGACCTATAGAATGGCCTGCTAGGCTAGATCTCCTGATTTGGCGCCAGTAGACTTTTTCTATGGGGACATTTGAGATCTATTGTGTTTACTCCCCAACCTGAACGTTAACGGGCAACATTTTGAACACTTATTGAAATAAAAAGTGACATTTCGTGTGTTTTTGTTTTCTATCTGAACGAATTAAGATAATTAAAGATTTTTCTAATTTTCTCGAAAACGGATCGACTGATTTTAAAAAAATAAACGTCAAAATAAAGAACTTCGGAGGACCTCTCAAACAAGCTATTACTTGATACCTCTTGTCATTGAAAATGTTTAAGGGGATGACCCTAGGGGGCAGACTGTGAAAGGGGGTGAAGTCGCTTTTGGTCAAAAAGTTGTTCCCCTTGACAAATGTATTGACGTGTCTCGGCGTTGTTTCTTTTAATCAGTGGTTTTCGATAAATCCGTGGTGGAAAGTTTTGAAATACCTAAAATGCTGAATTGAGGATTGCAGAATAATAAAATCAATATAATCAATAATCGATAATTTATTATAACGAATGTTTTGTTTTATAAAACCAACGTTTAATGGATAAATCTGCACCTATATTGTCTCTCTGATATAGTTGGTTTCATGAAACTAAACTAGATGTAACTTACAAATAAAAAATATAGCATAATATAGTAAAATCAAGAAATAAAACAAAACAAAATTATCTTCCGTCTATGATTATAATGTACACAGCATAAAAATTCTCATTGAAACATTTCGTATAGTCGATTTGTGAGGTACATCACTCACTTTTTTTTTATCATAATCAGTATCACAGTATCCTTAAATTATAAAAGTTGCAACTTATATTGAACTTGCGCTAAAACCGTTTTTTATTTAAATTAATGAATTCACGCTCGCAATTCGCAAATGATTGTATATTATTTCAGCGCAAATTCATTACAAGTTGAACCATTGACAAAGTCTATCAGTTAAAAAACTACAAATGTCGGTTTATAAAATATATACATCTTATCGGGAATAGTAAGCAAGTCTTAATCTTTGAACAATTTGGTGGCATAGCACCAAATACGGAAGAAGTACTCGTCCTTCTTCAGTAATTCTCCCTTAGAGTAGGAAACAATGTCTGCATCCATGCTGTTGTCTCTTAGCCAAGAAGTAGAGGTTTCAGTGCTATACGATGCAGGTTCTCTTTCTGTTACTTCTCTAAAGTCTTCCTGGTCAGTTTCTGTAAAACGTACATATTGTGAATATAGACGTCCGTGTGTTTGAAATTCTCAGATTGAATAAAAATTCGTTTAAACCACCTCTATTGACCGCTGGAAAAAACACTGCCAATAAAAGGAGGAATTTTGGAAAACACACACATCTGAGGCACTAGAGGCTACGCGATTGAAGTTGGAGCTGATATACTGTCTGGGCGATCTGGAGAACCTTTGCTCATTACTCGTGTTTACACAAAATAATGGGTGATTTTTTTGCTAGTATCTTTTTGGCAACACTGTTTTTGACAGATGACGCGTGAATCGTGTCTTGTGTCATTGTCAAACTTGTTCAGTATGATCTATAATTTAACCATGAATCGACTTCGAACGAACATCGCTTGCAAATTATTGAATTTTACTATCAAAATTCATGCTCGGTTAAGAGAGTGCATCGAGCACTGCTTCCAATTTATGGGCAATTTGGTCGGCCTACAGAGGGAGCTATTCGGAAGCTTGTGACTAAATTTCGAACCCAGTTTACATTATTGGACATTAAACCACCAACACGCAGACGTAGGGTGAGGACTGAAGAAAATATTGCGGCTGTATCCGCCAGTGTTAGTGATGACCGTGAAATGTCGATTCGCCGCCGTTCGCAGCAATTGGGCCTGTGTTACTCCACTACGTGCGACAGGATTTGGGTGAAAACCTTATAAGATACAGCTGGTGCAAGAATTGAAGCCACACGATCTCCCACAACGTTTCCAATTTGGTGAGTGGGCGCTGGCAAAGTTGGAGGAAGATCCACATTTTTATCGAAAAATTATGTTCAGCGACGAAGCTCATTTCTGGTTGAATGGGTATGTTAACAAGCAAAATTGCCGCATCTGGAGTGAAGACCAGCCAGAATCATTGCAAAAGCTACCAATGCATCCCGAAAAAATCACTGTTTGGTGTGGATTATGGGCCGGTGGCATCATCGGGCCGTACTTCTTCAAAGACGACAATGGCCGGAACGTAACTGTGAATGGCGAGCGATACCGTGCGATGATAACACACTTTTGTGCCCAAAATGGAAGAGCTGGACTTGGCTGACATGTGGCTTCAACAAGACGGTGCCACATGCCACACCGCACACGAAACAATGGCCCTATTGAGAGGCGAGTTCGGTGAACAGTTTATCTCACGTTTGGGACCCGTCAATTGGCCGCCTAGATCGTGTGATTTAACGCCGTTGGACTATTTCTTGTGGGACCATGTTAAGGCTAATGTCTACAGGGATAAACCAGCAACGATTGACTCACTGGAAGCCAATATTGAAGCATTTATTCGTGAGATACCGGCCGATATGTTGGACAGAGTATGCCAAAATTGGACCTTGCGCATGGGCCATCTAAAGCGGAGCCGCGGCCAACATTTACATGAAATAATCTTTAAACATTAAATTATATCGACCGTTATATCGACTCAAATAGAGATTTAATCGTTTTTTCAAATTTTTTTTGTTTTTTTTTGAAAATCAAATCCTATACCTCTTAAAAAATCACCCGTTAGTAGTTATACCAAGAGAAGTTAGACAAGGCGAATACATTAGAGAGACAAGAGATGTAACCCAAAACATGGCGTCCACATAACAGCCGATGGTGACTAATCACGTGCTGTTTTTATTTTTGGTCAGAGATAAATGCGGTGTTGCTAGGTAGATAATTTTTTTTAAATCATTTGTATTGAAATCATTTTTGGTTCAAATTTTTGTTTGAACATTTATTCATTGTGGAGATTTTTATCATCCGTTTGCTGCCTACGAAATATATTTCTCATTCGGTAAAGCTATAAATCACACTTACGGAGTATGCTCTCTGCGTCTTGTAAATAGAAGTTATTCTCAAAACTCTAAGTTATCATATAGCTATCTAACTTTTAGGGCCCTACGCGGGATATTACACGATTTAGTTTAGTAACAAAAGAGGAATGTCAGCTTGAAATTCAAATTTTTTCTAAGCTCAAATTGCTTACTTGATCAATCGTCGGACGATATGTTTACCTATTCCTTAAGACTTTTGGACGTAATCACCACAAACCGCGGAAAGAACTGAACTCCATGCAGCTTAGTATAACTGTATCATTTTCTAAACACTGTCTTGGTAAATGCAGTCACCTATGAGCGAAACATGCGGGTTCTTGGCATCCTTCTCTAAAGAGTAATAGCCCAAGAGCCAAAGTTTTGCGGTTACATCACGTACCCATATACAGTGAAATCCATATGCCACTGACGTCATAATGTGTACGACAGAGAAGCAGAAGCCTAGCAACCCGAGTGACGAATCCACGGACGCAGCTGAAGCTTGCCGCGTGGCCATCGGCGCACTTTTTCTTACATATTGCACGCTTATTGTGCTTCTCTCTCATACACATTGCGACGTCAGCCAAATTTGAACCTGACCGTATGTTAAAAACCGCACCGTGGGTAGCTAGACACAGGGCTGTTGCAAAAAGATGGCGCAACACTAATTCATTTACACACAAGAACACGATTACGTACAATAACTTATAGCAGCAGAGTACTGAGACACTTTTTTTTTGGAAATTTGGGCAATATAATAAAGGTACCATTCTTAAAGTATATTAGAAGTACCAAAGTCCTAGAAACGCCCTCTACTTTTTGGAGGTAAAATACTGATATTCTATCGAAAGACACTTACCTGCAGCAGCAGGCACCTTGAACGGCTCATCACTATCCAGCGGGTTACTGAGTCCAATCTCATTCCTAGCGAATATCCTGATGTCATAATCATGATCCTCCTGCAGGTCCCTGATGGTGAACTTCAGCACGCCCTTCAGCGTCTTGCCTATTTCCATCCACATGGTCTTCTTAGTATCTTTGATGGCGATGTTGTAGCCCAGGAGCGGAGCTCCTCCATCCCATTCTGGGACGCCCCATTCGACCACGATTGCATTGGGGCCGATTGTTCGGATTTCGAGGGGACCGGTTGGCGGAGAGGGCACAGCTGTAATAAGGTGGATTTAGTAAATATACAGGGTAACTATGAGTGTTGGGCAGTCCGGGTCTACTAAAGGATTCGGTTCCTCTGGATTCTTTTCCATTGTCGGACCAGTTCCAACGGATCCGTTCCTTTCGTTCCCATTGACATTTTTCTAACACGCGTTGGCCGACGGTGTTAGAAAAATGTAGAGGTTACTATAAAAGATAAAATTTCGACAGAATTTTTTATAGTTAATAAATCTTCAATTCTTCTAAATCCGCTAGTGGTTTTTTGAAAAACATAGCTATGGTATTGCCAATAATTAACGATTTCGTCCTAATTGAACCTCATCGATCCAGCTTTTTGTTCGTTGACTATCTGTTCTCATCCACTGTCGCTTAAGAACAATTTCAGCAACAATCTCGCCGATTTAGTAAGTAATGATAATCCTCCTAATTGTGTGATGTTGCTATTTCCTAATTTTGTTTTTAGCTCCTGATGATGATGGCATAGACCATCGAAAGCTTGAGTTTTGCAATACTTTGCCTTTATCCCAAAGAAATTTCAGGATATTTTCCCCTAACAGTTAAGGGAATCAACTATAAATACTATATATATATATATATACAGGGTGACTTTGAAGTTGAGTCATTAATTTTCAGATAATGATTGTAGAAGGAAGATAAACCAAAATATGTGTGTAAAAATAAAAAAAAAATAAATAAAAAAATTTTACCTTGTTTTATAAAGTATCCTCCCGACAAGTATTTCAGTGCGGACCTGTATTTGATCGTGAGGTCCCCTGTGAGGTCTTAAATCACCTGATTCACGAGCCCGTTGTACTACATTAACAAAGGCACGAGGGGTTGGTTGCACTCGATTGGGAAACCGATCCGCATAAACATGTGCCATTTTTTATTTCGTTTGAGCCACGCAAGAGACACCACTATTCACACGCGTTACCGACTGACACTGACTGTATGTATACAACTGAATAAAATAATTGTAAAAACATCGTTCCAAATTCTTTCGCTTTTTTGTTTCCGATGCGATGAACCGATAAGGCGGATTATATCCGTTGTTGCCAAATACGAGCACATGATATTATTATTGAGACAGGGCGGTACTCAAACTTCCAAAGGGCTATAACTTTGTTACTTTAATTTTACCAGCAAAATGGTAAAGGAAAAAAACATTTCTTTTGATCAGATCTACTCACTGTTAAAATAAATGGTTCAACTTCGAAGTCACCCTGTATATAAAGTAGAAAAATAATGGGCAAAATCCGCAAAAGGAGGAAAGTAGATTCGAGCAGAAAATAGGATAGGTAACCCGAGCTATACGTCTTTCTGCTGATTCGCTTAATCAGGCCCGAAATGAATGCACATATGCAACTACAAAAGTAGATACACTTGCCCACACATCCGGATACGGGTGTCCTGAGGAAACGAAGATGGAGAGGAAAAAAAAGACGACACACGAAGTCCACAACAAGAGCCAACCTACACATTGTAGTATAAAATGGCTAGAATACCTCGTATTTTCAAGGAGACATCTAACCACAACCATGCGGCCGTATATAGCCACTTGCTGTGGTACTTCAATAATATATATATACGTATATATACAGGGTGTTCCATAATTATTGCGACAAAATGATAGGGGTTGTAGAGGGCATAAAAGTATGCAATTTTGCCTTATAAACCCCTGTTCGTAAATATGCCGTTTGAGCACTACCGCTAATTTTACCTTAAGAGCTCATAGGAGAAACAAAAAATTCACCAGCTGCAAAATGTTCGTCTAGCACATTTCATGGTCTCGCCGGTTTGTAAAAAAGTCTGCTGTGTTTACATTTTTGTTATCGTAAATTCTCCACACCGATTCATTTAATTTATCTGAGTGGTGCGTCAAACTAGATAGTAAATAACAGTACCTTAGTGTTAAAATGCAGCGTTCTTCGTATGCGGAACTTGCGGATATGCATTTAATTTACGAAGAAGCTGGTGGTAACGGAAGGCGACCCTCGCGAATCTACGCCTAACGGTTTCCAGAACGTCCTCATCCGCATCACGCCATTTTTGCAAGGATTTATGGAGTTGAGGCAACCAAACTTTGGTCGCTACGTTTTGTTCACTGACGAGTCCTGTTTTACAAAGGACGGTTATTTTAATAGCCGTAACAGTCACATTTGGAATGAAGAAAACCCTCATGCCATAGCCATCCATAGAGACCAACATCAGTTTTCAATTAACATCTGGTGAGGCATTGTGGACAAGCATATCATCGGGCCATATTTGCTTCCACCACGTTTGGATGGGCATGCTTATGGTCGATTCTTACAGCATGTGCTACCGGAACTATTAGAAAATGTGCCACTGAACATAAGAGCCCACATGTGGTTTCAACACGATGGCGCTCCAGCCCACTTTTCTTTACAAGTGCGGCAGTATTTGGACGACAAATTTCCAAATAGGTGGATAGGCCGAGGTGGCCCTGTGCCTTGGCCTGCGCGGTCACCCGACCTGACCCCACTGGATTATTTTCTCTGGGGCCATCTGAAAGCTTTAGTGTACGAAACTCCTGTTCCCAACCAACAAGAGCTACTGGGAAGAGTGATGGCCGCGTCCGCACATGTTCAGGACATACCGGGGGTATGCCACAGAGTTCGCCGATCATTGAACAATCGTGCACAGCTGTGTATTGAGCAAGGTGGAGGACACTTTGAGCAATTACTGTAGGTAACCTGTTTCAAGAAACTGATCTTTTTTTTTTGTTGCAGCCCAAACGGCATATTTCCGAACAGGGGTTTATAAGGCAAAATTGTTTATTTTGATGCCCTCTACAACCCCTATTATTTTGTCGCAATAATTATGGAACACCCTGTATATATAGGGCAAAGTTTTCCATAGGTAAACTCTTTTAACTTAAACTCTAGCTTTCGATCATCATCAGGAGCTAAACAAATTTTGGAAGTAGCAACAATAAGCAATTAGGAGGAATATCATTACGTCGGCAAGATTGTTGCTAAAATTGTTGTTAGACGAAAGTGTATATATTTTTTTTCATACTTACTTGCATGCGTTCTCATTTGTACGTCTTCTGTCGTAGCTGGTGGACCTACACCAATAGCATTTTCCGCGAGCACCCTAAATTTATAATCGCTCTTCTCCTTGAGGTTCTCAAAGGTGTACTCAAGCGTGGCGGCCTCCAGAGTATACACTTTTTCCCATTTGGGCATGTATTCCAGTTTCTTTTCTATGATGTAGCCAGTTATTTCGGTACCGCCGTCTTCTAGAGGTGGTTCCCAGGTGATGGTCGCCGTGCGGTTCGTGAGATCTTTTACTTTGAGGTTTGTTGGAGCCGAAGGGGGTGCTAGAATAGTAGTTTGCTTTGTTAATGTTTTGTAATTATTGCTATGCAAGGTTAGATGCAATAAAGTAGCTGTAATGCAGAAGAAGCAGGCAGGATTGTCTTAGTTCAGATGGATTGCAACGCGAAACTATTACTACTAAATGAAATTTCTTTCATTGTTTGATAAATAAATTAAATAAATTCTTATACAGGATGTTCTGTACTTAAACGGACATAAACAAATGGTGGGTGGTGACCGAGACCTTTTCATGTCTGAAAATAAAAAAGTTCGAAATTCATTTTTAATGAATATTATATCTATCTAACCACGACAAATATTTAATATTATATATCTTAGGGACTATTGAACCGATTTAGTTGAAATTTTGCACGTTAAGGAGTAGCATAAAATGGAGGGCCAGACTCGAGTTTTGCAATTTTGACGAAAATACGGAAAAACCCAATATACAGGTCCGGACTCAGCGTGTTAAGCATATTTACATTTAAGTGGTTCCACCACAACCCCACGATAATTTTAACTTAATTTCAATTCAATTTTAAACAGAACTGATGTATAAAAGCTGTTGAAAAATAGGGCGCCTAACACTAATTTTATTTATATCATTTATTGCACCTTTTCTTGTGAAATAATAAACTCGGAGTATAACTTGGAGGGCGCGGCATTCAATAAAATCAAAAGAAATCAAAAACTGAATCCGGCCCTGAAAATTTGAATTCCTAAAACATCTTCAGTTCAATTTTAATCATTATTGTGGAAAATGTTGATGAAATCAAGTTAGTAGCGCTTTAAATTTTGTTTTCTGTCACATAAACTGATAAACATAAGATACTTGAATAAATGAAAAAATAACTACAAAAACTCAAAAAGGCGCACTCATTCTATTTTGCTAACTGAACTGAACAAAATTTATTGGCCTTTTTTGTACATAGGCAAATATTACACTGTCTGGCTTAAAAGGTGTTGATTTTGATATAGGTACCTAATACGAAAGGTTGAAAAAATCTAGTTTTGTTCTGGATTTGAAAACCGCCCGTCTAGTTTTACGTTACTCATAGGTGAAAAATTTCAGTTCGACAGTGCCTAAGATATGTGATATTAAAGACTTTGCGTGTCCATTTAAACACGGAACACTCTGTATTCTGTTGAAAACCATATAGAACATAATAAATCGATTTAAAGTTCCTAAAGGGTGTTAATCAAGTGCCTGTGGCCAATGTTCAAGGAGTGTTTTCTTGAGAAGAAACACAGAATCGCAAGTTCATAAGAGCTCAGCTTTCAGTATGTTTTCTTAAATTTCATTTTTTTAAATTGTAATGAGTCTTTATTTAATATTTAATTAAATTTTAAAATTTGATGACATATGCATCCAAACACCTTCTGAGCTGATATTGAAAAAAGCCTAATAGCAAATATGATGTGTATTTATCCTGGAGATATCAACGGTAGATGAGACAAGAAACCGATCTCTATTTAAAATTATGTTGAATGATCTGTATTTTATTTACCAACCCAGTCACCAGGTCAATATTATAGTTAGTGCCGCGTATAAACCATTATTACACTTCAACGTTAAGTTTGCACAGACTCAGAACAGTTCAAGTGTATGATTTTGTGGATGAATTGGAAAATGTACAGTGTGTACAGTCTTGTAGATAAACGTCGGAACTACGCATTGTGTCGGACTATCAAAAGAAAGTTAAATTTGCACCGTTTTCTCTATTATGTCAATCATTAACGTATCTTCTGGTTTTGTAAATCAAATCATCAAATATCAGGTTGCCGTGGTTTTAAAAGAATCGTTTGTTCTTAGGAAACTTGTCTCGCTCTCGAAATATCAGTATGCTCCTAATTTTCCGCTCTTAAGGCATCTCTACCAAATTTGATGACGTAGTACTATAAGTACGCATCCATCTGTTACAGCAAATTATTATGTTAGTTGCGATATACTTACATTTGTGCTTAATTTCAGAAGGAGGAAATACACCAAACAGTAAGTAGAATGTCTCGTCATTCTTTTCGAAATGATATTGTATCCCTAAAGCAGAAGCAAAAAGCAAATTTATAAAGCACTAAAAATAGCGGCTAAGCAAAATGCAATTAAAAACTAAACGTTAAGGCATAAAATCTAACTAACGTTTTGAAATTTCGTTTTGCGTCTTATATTATCACTGATGAATGATTATGTTATCTCTGGATATCAATCTCGCAGTAGTTCTAATGAACTTACAACGATGCCAAGATATAATAGAGATATAAACCATCCGTTTTTTGGAATAAATTGCCGAAAATTCAAAATACATATATAACCGACTGAAATGAGTATCAATATCAAAACATACAGAAAATAGGTCAAAACCGATTTGCCTAAAAAATCAGTATGATTTATATATTTTTCACCTTCCTGAACAAAAGTTCACACGGGACCAAAGCAATTCTATAATTTGCTTTCTGAGAAATAGAGGGATGAAATTTTGCCCGATTTATAAAAATTGTATGTCGACTGTAGTTCACAGATCAAAAACTGGTTTACTGAAAGAAGTATTCATTAAAAAACCTTTTGTAGAGAGGTGTTGGAAGGTGTCGTGTTGATCTTGACCATGATCCTTTCGAGATCAATATAAGTGCAATTTGATTTTTACATGTTAATTCTGCACGAGTTGTTCGAGGATTCAGAGAACTCAATAGGACAACAGGGTACGGAAAGGTCGTGGTTGTTTCCTTGTCTGCGATTATGATCTTCACAAGGTCAAATCAAGGTTATGTTCGCTTAGAAGATGGCGACAAAATACATCGTATTTGCGATCATCAAGCAATCTTCGAGTACTGCACTTGAATTTTTCATTAATGCATTTTCTAAGGATCAAGGTCAAGATCAGCGTGGCATCTTCTAACTGCTTCCTGCAAGGTCTTTGGCACATTCAACATTTTTTCATATCGGACAAACTTCATCCCCTATTTTTCAACATCCAATAATATGATTTCTTTGGTCCCAAAAGAACTTTTGTTCAGGAAGGCGAGAAATAGGTATATTATACTGAATTTCTAGGCATATCGACTGAGACCCATTTTCTGTATGTTTTGTGTGGAGGGCTCCTTTGCAAAATCGTGTCAATTGAAGGTACTTTTAAATTTTGAAGATGAAACCCCTGTGCGTTACAGAAAATTTAAGACTGGAACTGTTTGATTTCCAGATTGTTTATATGATAGTTACACCTCCTGTAGCTAGCCTTAACCTCGAGTTCGAAGACTTTAAATTCTAACTTACTCATTCTGGAACCAGCAGTGATAGTTTCTTCGGGGCAGTAAGGGTCGCTGACTCCAATCTCATTCCTAGCCGTTATCTTGAACTTGTAACCATGTCCTTTCTCCAGGTAGTTGATAGACAGGTCAGTTACACCTGCTTTGGTTGCGCCGACTTTCTTGAAGCCCTTCTTCGAGGTCGCCTCTTTCATTTCGACGATGTACTCGATGATAGGTGATCCACCATCAGATTCAGGAGGTTGCCAGCCGATCGTGAATGAGGTGTCGCTCATTCCCGACACTTCTAGAGGGCCTCGAGGTGGAGATGGCTTATCTAGATTGAAAGAAAGAACATTATTTAAAAATGCTGTGAAATATATTTCTAATAAATCGGAGGTCGATAGGGTATTTATTCAAGCTTACTGACAAAACCACGTGTAAATTGCGGCCGATTTATCTTTATACAAGGTAGCCAACGTTGGGGTTTTTCTTTACACAACGTGTAGATCTTGAAAACATAAGCAATTTTTCTTAGTACCTTTTACACCAATGTCTTAAGTTAACCGAGATAAAGAGCTCTGCAGCATCAAAAATATCTGAATACCGTCCTGTAGCCGCGACATCACGGAGTGGTACAATGTCACTGGCTCAACGACAGAACTGGGTCGGGGGTCGGGGTCAGTGTGTCAGGTCAGTATGCAACCTTCAACCGACGGCTACGGTCACGCGAGGTAATCGCGTAGACGAGAATCCCTCAACAAGCACTAGAGAGGTGGCTAGAGAAGTGCAAGTATCAAAAACTAAAGTGTGGCAAACGCTGCGTGAAGAGGGGCTGTACCCGTTTCACGTCCAACGTGTACAAGCCCTTCAACCTGACGATTTTCCAGCAAAAGTGCGGTTTTGTGAGTGGTTGTTGCATCAACATGACAATAATCCGGACTTTTTGAAGTGCATATTGGTGACAGACGAATCTACGTTCACGCGTAATGGGGTGAATAACTTTCGCAACACTCATGTTTGGTCAGTAGAAAATCCGCACGCTGTCCGTCGGGCACATTTTCAACAAACATTTTCGGTGAATGTTTGGGCTGGCATGGTGCGTCTGCTCGGTAGCGCATCAGCTGATTTCATTTTCTGTTGGAGCGGTATGATTTCGGGCAGAGACGTACTTAGCCCTTCTCGTCAACTGGAGAGTGAGTACTTTTTCCTTTATTTTTTTTTTACTTGGTCGCCCTCGTTTCACTACACATTACCTTTGTTATTTCAAGGGTAGTTGTTTCTGAAAAGGAAAACCCCAACTTTGCGGACACCCTGTATAACTGACTGATTTAAATTGCCGCACCATTTTTGATACACGCATTTGTAGGTGGCACCGTAATAGTTATTTAAAGCACATGTGTCCCATTCACCATGGAGCTCTACACGATCCCACAACGCGTCCGTATTGTTAAATCGTTTTACTTAAGTAATGAGTCGATTGTTGCAACGATTCGAAAGCTACGACAAGATTTGGTCGAAATACTGTTCGTAACTCGGAAAATATCGAGAGAGTTCGTGAAAGTGTAGTGGAGCACCCTGAGACGTCTACTAGACATGGGTCTCAAGAACTGGGTATTCGTCGCACGTCATTATGCACTATTTTAAAAAAAGACTTGCATTTGCGTCCATACAAAATCATTAACCCAAGAACTACAGACTAGTGACTATGAAAGTCGCCAACAATACAGTTATACAATATTGCAGCTTAATACCCAAAATAACGATTTTTACCGACAACTGATAATGGCGATGAAACCCACGTCGATAGGTATGAACGGATTTGTTAATAAGCAGAATTGTCGTATTGTGTCATTCATCAACGATCACTACATCCTCGTCGAGAGACAGTTTGGTGCGGTGTTTGATATGGAAGTGTCATTGGACCTTATTTCTTTGAAGACGCTGCAGGTACTACTACCCCCAATTTCTCACCCCTAAATTGTATTTCAAAAATGATCAGAATCCTCTGAAACGTCAAGAAACGAAGTTTGAAAATTTTTTCTTTCTTTCTCCGCCGTCTCTTGACCAGTTTTCGAAAACCACAAAGCGTCTTTGCAAAGTAGTAGCCTTGTGTGAAAATTTTATCCAAATCCAAGCAGTACTTCCCAAGTTATAGAGGGGCCAAGGTTTCGCAGACAAACAGACACATTATTTTCTTACTTCCAATAAAAGAGGAGGATTTAAAATTAGCTCCTTCATTTCGCTTCACACATGTGGAAGAAACAAATAATAATAATTGTGAACTAACCTCCAATCTTCAATTTCGACGAAGTCTTCAGCTGGTACTTCTCGACTGTACAGATGTATTCATATTCATCTTCATGTGTAGTCTTGTGTACGATCAACTTCCTTTCCTTTCGTTCCTCATAGATGCTGTACTTGGCTGATTTCTCAATTCGTTTGTTGTTACACCACCAGGTAACCTCGGCGTCTTCTCTGGATATTTCAACGGTGAATTCAGCATCTGTGTTGATTGGAACCACAGTGTATTCTGGTAAGGGTTTCAGGAAGATGCAAGTCACATCGATCACTGTCAGTTTGGCTTTGGACGATTGCTTTCCAACCTAAAAAATTGTGTTACATTATTAATAACACTGATAAACCCAGGATTTGTGACATGACAATTTTTGGGTGTATCACCCTTGAATCAAATCTAAAAACAGAATTTTTCTATCACCCACGGATATTCGACATCTACTTTTATGAATTACAATACGTAACATCTCATATTGCTGCATTTCTCGCCATTTAGGCGACGACGCACATATATAATGTTAATACCTGTCTAGTCCTGTTTATTATATGCGAGCTCTATGTTTAGAGAGCATATTGCTTTTATTAGTAGACTAATAGCAGCCGAGTCAGTTATGTTTTTTGTGTTGAAGAGTACTGAGATGTCCTGAGTACTGTTAATTTTTGTTAAAACGGTGAGTTGTTTTTAGTTTATTGTGACCGAGACCAGCTTTATGGACAATAGAATTAAATCTGTCAATATCCCAGACAGAACTTTTAGCGTCAAGATTAAAAACGGCGACAAGTCCTCACACACTGTTTCCGTCAAGAAAGGGAGTTGATGTAATGCTCCGATGTCAACAATTTGTTTGACGCGTTAGGACAGAAGCATGATCCAAATGTTCATTGATTCCTCTAAGCTTAGTTTAAAAGCGATATTGGTACACAACGGTAACTATCAGAGCAAAAGCATCATCAGAGATATAATGTCGATTGAAATGTGACCGCACAAGTGTCATCTACAGATTGACTTGATACCTCTGATAAATGATACATTTGCTCTGCTATGGTTCGTTGTCTTACCAAGAGATCTGAGCGTGTTGATGATTGCTGATAATCATAAAACAGCGTTTTTTTGTTCGGACAGACGAAAGCAATTTCGAACGGCGAGGGGTTTTTTATCTATTATATCTTCAGAATAGTTAGCATCCAGCGGTCATAGTGTTGACTTGGCCGTTGACGCAAATTGAGATACCTTCACAGTTTACTTTCGAAGTAGTTAAATCTGATAATAGAGTAGCTTTGATGCCTTACCTCGCAAGAATAGACTCCTTCATCCTCAGGCAGTGTATCATAAATGATCAACTTCTGCCTTTTTCCGTCAATAGATAACTTGATCCTATCCGAGAACTGAATTTCTTTTCCATCCTTGTACCACCTGGCAAGTGCATCGCCCTTAGACAGTTCAATGTTGAACTCCGTCTTCTCGCCCTTGTTGACATTCTGGTCCTGGAGAGGTGTCACTATCTCAGGAGGTAGTTCGATGACAGTCATTTCTGCTTTGCATTCTTCTTCTAGTAAAGTGCAAGTGTACTCGCCTTCATCGTGAATGGAGGTGCAACGAACGAATAGGCGTCTAGTACCGCCGATTTTCTCTTTTTCGAACTTGTCGGAATCTTTGACTAATTTGCCGTCCTTATACCTGGTGGAAAATGAATTACTATAAATATGTGCCTAAATAATAGCAGAAAAGAACATTTTTTTGCATTCGTGCAAAAGTTACAATTAGAAAGAAACAATGCAACGCCACCATCACTTTATAAAGGATTACAAACAAGACACTGAGAAAAAAGTCAGTCAAACATGTCCATCTACATTATTTCCCTGCCCCATCGGCAGTGCATCTGATAACGTCGTCTCTCCCCAATACTTATCCCGGTCAGACGTGGCAGCGCGGTCAGAGCTTAGGAAACACTATGATTGGACGCGGCAGAAATACGTGTTTTATATTTTAGGCTAATGTACAGAGAACTATGATGTGTAAAATATGTCTAATAGGTGTGTCGAATTACCAAGGTCCCATAAATGTACTATCAAAAAATTGAGATAAACCCTCCTCTCCCCCTACAGCCAGCACCCCCAAGTATTTTGCCTCTAATTTTTTTTTCATCCTTGGCATAGCAGTACTTCTCGGTTATAAGATGAGCGGACATACAGACAATACAAATTTTGCGGCTTTGTCACAAATTGGACCAATGAGAAGGCATCTTCGAAGTAATGGTTCTAATGCATTTGGCAGATTTCTTGTAAAATGTGTCTCAAACTAGAGAAAAATTATATGATTTCTGTAAGATAGGATCCTAATTCTGACATTAAATCAAGAAATATGTCATATATCACATGATTGAGCTACAAATAGTTATTTATTATTCAAGGGAAGAAAGTACTAGATTTTAGCTTGAGGTTGTAAAAGACCGAAATCTAGTATTTTTTTATTTTTTTTTCTGTGTCGGGAAGAGGACGATTTAATATTGAAAAATTATATTATTACAATATTTAAGTCAGAAAATTATCGATGTGAAATTTGAATTTTGGAATTAGTAGGCTATGTTGTACTTATAGCGACAATCAGACCTGTGTTGCTAAGGAAAAGTAATCAAATAGCTGTCAATTTAATTTTGTGATTTGATTTAAAAATTGTGACATTAGTGGTTGTCTAGAAGTTATTTTTAGTACTATAAGCTAAAAAATGTCTGATTCCGAGTTTTCTTTGACTCCACCGGAATTAGTAGAAGTATCCAAAGACTGTTGTACCGAATAGTACATTCATGCAATGCACATATAATAATTGTACTTTTGATATAAAGGAAATGTAATTTTATTGTATTATAAAATATTCTAAGATTAAATATCCACCTTTACACACAAGGTTTATGCAATATCCGGGAAAAAAGTACTAATTCCATAAAAAGTGACATTTTGTTACCTGTCAACAGAGAAATGTCAAAGTTTTTTCCCGTCACAGAAAAAACCTATTTTTCATTTGAAAGAAAAAGATTCGACGAACCAAGAAAGAGTTGTGGCCTACTCGAAACATAGATCAAACCTGATACAATAGATTGGCATGACGACATTATTGAGCAATTTATGGAAAATAACAGTATCTTACTACTGCTGTACGCAATTTTGTTTGATAAATGCTTTGAAGACATAAATAATATTGCAGAATGCTTATTCTTTAACAAACATGGAGTAAATGATCAATTTACTTGACTAATGTGCGAAAAACCATGTTCTTCAAGCCAGCCGTGTTGCTTTAAAACATGGAGATGTCGTACACTCTACAGTAGAGAGAGCGAGAGCTCCCTGTTAACAGGGCTGGCTTACGGAACAGGATTTTTTTTGCGGTAGTCAAGTATACTGAATATTCTGTTGTTTGTTAAAGAATGAGCCTTCTGTAATTTTATTTGTCTTCAAATAATTTACCAAGCTGAACTTTATACTGCAACAGTGGGACACTGTTATTTGCGAAGAAATGCTCATATATGTCATATCAATCAAGATGTATCAGATTTGTGTCGATGCTTCGAATCAGGCGCAAATGCTTCTTTTTCATTTGTGCATTTTATGACCATGGTCGCTAATTTGTAGCTAAATCAAGTGATTTATGACATATTTCTTGATTTAATATCGGAATTAGGGGCTTACCTTACACAAACGGTGTAAAATTATTCTCTAGTTTCAGAGACATGTTTCAATAAATCGACCACATTCATTAGATCGATTACTTCAAAGATGCTCTCTCATTGATTGAATTTGTAACCCATGTAATTTTTTGCGCGCCGGCTTAGTAAAATCGAGCATAAAAATCGAAAGGGATACACACGTCATGTATAAATTGTGCGCTTAGATTACGAATTTTCGCTAAGATTTGTCAGTCATATTCCGTTACAAATTTTCAACTATGGAATAGAAAAGCCCCCTTTCTTCACTTACCATACTACGTCAGCTGTATCTGACGTAATTTCAACCTCTAGAATAGCAGTATCCTTTTCTGTAATCTCCAGATCTTGCAGTTTTCTGAGGAACTCCAGCTTACGCTCCTTCACCTTGACTGTGGTTTCTGTCTTCTGGTTCTTTACAGTACACTTGTATTTACCCTCGTCTTTCTTGGAAATGTTCTTGATTACTAGCTTGTGGGTTCTACCGTCTTGTATCACTACACGATGGTCCATGCCACTGATTTCAGTGTCGTTAAACCACCACTTAGTTCTGACTGAATGCGAGGTTTCGCATTCCATTTCTAGTTTTTCACGTTCCAATGATTCGTAAGTTTCTTTCAGCAGTTTGGTGAATTTGACAGTTTCTACTTCGATAGACACCTGTAATGAGATGTGGCCGTCAGTCGATCATTCGTGATGGTAAACTTTTCAAATACAAATACTGATATCAACACCGCAGATCAAAATGACCAAAATCATCGTTAAGCCGTGAACACCTTTGAAAATACTCGTAGATACATCTGTGTAAGAAATAATAAACTTGCTGGCATGAAAATACTAAGTTAATACCAAAATGAGGTGTCATATAAAAAGCCACAGTCACAAAATTCAATGAAGCTCTCCAGTTACATCCGGACTATGAACTTGCAAAGTTTTGCATGTGGTTTTATTGGTCAGACAAGCATGGGGGATTATCGACATGTGAATCATAGGATAAGTTTCACACGTTCACATTAGATAACTGTTCCTCATAAGCGATCCGATTGGTACATACCCTAGCTCCACATATAGCTTTGCCCACATGATTGATGGCTACGCATTTGTAGTTGCCAGTATCCAGTTCAGAGTTGGTTTCAGTGATGGAGAGCTCCACATTTTCACCTTCGTAAATAATCTTGATGCGATCTGATGGTTTGATAGGTTCGTTGTTCTTGAGCCAATAGACTTCAGGTCTAGGGTAGCCAGTGACCATGGCACGCAGCACCAATGGACTTTTTTCTGGCACAATTTGTTCTTCGAAGCGTTTTGTGAATTGCGGTGGTTCCTCATTGTCTGGGAACTCTGTAACAGGTTGTCCATTAGCAACAGTTCATGTCTTGCTTCATATGGTATCATCTACATAAAGAAATACGTTCGAGATGCTTTAAAGTCTTTCACTAGACAACAAAAGGTATTTTATGAAGTAATGAAATAAGGCACTCGGATGCTTCTGGAATCCCCGGCTTTCTTCAGCAACCCTTGAACGATACTACGAGTATATAATTCCACCAATTTTTAACAGATCTCCAAAAAGAACGACAAAAATCTAAAATTTGATTGAGTGATTAGAGAATTTATATGTTGGGTTGCTAATAACACACTTAGTTATAAGAATGACCGTATTTTAGGAATAGCGGAACCACTCTAATGCATCCAATAATAACATTGCTCAGTTCTTTTGAAAGTAACTTGTTGCATTATATTTTATCTGGATTTGATACCATATGATAGAATAAAGATGTAGATATAGTGAACCACAGAAAATACACACATGCAAAATAAAAATATAGAACATAGGCAATAAGCAAGAAAGGAAGCAGAAATAAAAAAAGGCTTGTAAAAATATATTTTATTGTATTAATTGCTAATCTACGTACATAATAGAAAGCATAGTGAAGCAGCCCAAAGTAAAAACGCTGCTAAAGCTGAAAAAAGCTATATTATTGCATTTTTCGACTGCAGAAGCAAGAATAAGCAAATATATTTAGAGTTTCTAAGTCTTTACCTTCTACAGCCAAATTAGCAGTAGTTTCAACCTCTCCAAGGGGATTCTTCGCCCTGACAGTATATTTCGCTGCATTCTCTGGTTTAGTTCTATCAATGGTCAACGTGTAGGTGTCTCCATTCTTCTTAGGTGTTGGTCTACTAAAGGGCTCGCCATCTTTGAGCCATTCAATCGTAGGTGTTGGATTTCCTACAATCGTTGTGCTCAAAGTTATTGGTTGACCTTTTCTAACAGTTAGAGAAGCTAGAGGCTCTACAACCTCAGGAGGTTCTTTGTCCTTAGAGGTGACCTTCAAAGTGAACTCGACTGAAGATTCTCCTTCAGTGTTCTTCGCAACGATTTTGTAACGCCCTTCCTGCTTCTTGGTAGTCTTCTTGATCTTCAAGACAGTCTTGTAGTAAGTGTGTGTTTCAGATGTGGTTGTAATGGTAACATTGTTCTTCGTTGTGATACGTTTACCGTTTTTGTACCATTTAATCTCAGGTTGCGGGGCAGCTGTCAAAACGCTCTCCACAGCAATATCTTCTTCTTCTGGAATGCATTGTGGTTTGGGTTTCCTGGTGAAAGTAGGCGGAATACCTTCTACTATATCACAGGTGGTTGTAGTTCTTGACATTTTCTTTCTTGATATAGATTTAGGACTAAGATCTGTACCATGTTGAGATAGTGGATGTTCGACAATCAGCTCAGTGGTACAAGAAGCAAACCCAACTGAATTCTTGGCCACGCAGGTAAATGATCCAGCATCCTCCGGGAAGACTTCCTTAATGACTAAAGTAGCAACGTTTTCTTCATTGTAGAATATTCGGAAGTCTTTCGACTCTTTGATAATTTGGGTTTGCCTGAACCAGGTGACTTGAGGTCTTGGAAAACCTTCAATACTGCATTCGAACTGAACTGTGTATCCATCGGGAGTGGTGATTGGTTGCAGTTTCTTGGTGAATTTGGGCGCTGAAGTTTTGTCCGACGCTTTAGGTTCTGAAAAAAGCGATAAAAGCATAACAAGTGTGTTGTTGTGGTCCCTAAAATATTACAGGTAATCTCAAATATCAAATGGTGATGCTACTATCAAGAAGGCTGATCTCCCCTTGGATTTTGAACAATAATAGCGCTTCTTTGAGGAACGTTCAAGGGAGGATTCAAGTTTTGCGTTTCACAATAGGAGTATTTTCGCAATTCGCACAATATTCGGCATTTCCAAAATTTTTAGTTATCTAAGGCCTACCTAAAAATCTGAAGTTTTTAAAATTTTAAAATCTGGTAAACGGAAAATTTTAAATGTAATTTTAAAAAATTCAATAGTTTTGAAAACTGAAATTCTTGAAAAGCCTTAAAATCGTAAATTTTTTTAAATATTGAACATTGTGAAAATGTTGAGTGTTTTGAAAATCTTGAAACTTTGATCATTCTGAAAATTGTCAAAATTTTCAAAATTTTGATATCTGTTATAGTCTAATGTGAAATGCAAATATCAAATTCTGCTTTGAACCTTCCCCATGTTATTGTTTGTTTAAAATCGAAGGAGATCATTCCTCAAACAGCACTCAGTCCTCAAGGACCTTCTATAAATGTGACCCTCATTTATGCCTTTATATTCTATCTACTTACTTTCTAGGACAGGTAGCTTATCGATTTTTTCATTAAGCTTCCTTAGAACGTACTGAGTGTACTGTTCTTCAGTCATGAGAATCTTAGATGGCGCATATCCCGTCTCCTCAGTCAAATGCTTCTTGACCAGCCACCATCCCGAGTCATCGGAAGTGTCTATGACGAATACCTTTTCGCCTTCTACTAAATCAATTGCTTGGTCTGCTTCAGCATCATAAATGGTGATGCAGTAGTAAATATCTCCCTCGACTACTTCTTCTTCATGGATGACTTCGATTTCTTCTTCCTTTTCTTGAACTATACTTAGCGATGCAGCCTCTGCAAACGTTATTAGTTGTTATAAAAAGGCAATAACTTCAGTACTATCCAGTAAGTTCCACAAAATGAAATGACAAAGCATTCTGTTTTATGAAAACCTTTAGAGTGACAATTCACTACGCTGCGTCAGCGTACTCTCCAAAGATATTTAATCTAAAACTTTAACTATAGCAGGGTTTCTGAAGTTACATGAAACATCCTACTTACCCTGGTCCACCACTACGGACTCCTTCCTCTTCGGCTTCAACGTGACTACAGCGCTTTCGGCTTCCACTTCTTCAGTTTTCTTCAGTGGCTTGAAGCTGATAGATTCCTCATCTTCTTCAACCACTGAATACTTCCTGGATGGTCTTCGTTTGAAGGCAACATGGAAGCTCTCTGACACATCATCCTCAACAGGCGCTTCATCTGCAGACCCTTCATCGATGATTTCTTCAATAGCAGGACCTTCGTCTTCTACTTCTTGAGTGACCTTAACAGATTCCTCAGCTGTTTCTTCAGAGAATGTTTTTTGTTTCTTAGGCTTGATTTTGACTTTTGTGGATAGGGTGATTTCCTCTTCGGCGTAAGAATCCAAAGATATCTTGAATTCTTGCTCGACATCCTCCTTCTTCTTGGTCTTTTTGGGTCTGAACGTTACAGTTTCAACAACCTCTGGTTCTTCCTTTTCTTCTGGTTCAGATGGCCTTCTAACTGGTTTAAGTCTCTTTACCGTGATTTCATCAGAATCATCTTTAGCTTCAGCTATCTTCTCTGGTTTGGTTTTAATGTCAGCCGAAACATCATCCGGTTTTTCTTTCTTCTTCTTTATTGTAACCTCTGCTTCGATCTCATCTTTCTCTTCACCCTGATCTTCAGGGACAGGTACTATTTTCTTGACTGTTATTTCTGCCTCCGCTTCATCAGCAGGTTTGACCTTCTTCTTAGGTTTCTTGATAGTGACTTCTCCTTCTACTTCTTCATCTGGTGGCTTTATAGTGAATTCACTCTCTTTTTCGTCTTTAGCAACCGGCAGTATCCTTTTTACTGTTAATCCATCTTCTTCTTCATCAACAGGTCTAACCTTCTTCTTCGGCTTCTTGATTGTCACTTCTTCCTCTACCTCTTTTACTGGCGGCTTGACTGTTTCTTCAGTTTCTTCTTCAGATTCGTCCTTTGGAACTGGTACTACCTTTTTGACAGTTATCTCAGCCTCTCCTTCATCTTCGGGTTTAACTTTCTTCTTTGGTTTCTTGACAAGTACCTTTTCTTCTGTTTCTTCTACCGGCAGTTTGATGACTGCTTCAGTTTCTTCTTCTTCATCTTTCTTTGTTTTTGGTACTATCTTCTTGATAGTAACTTCATCCTCTCCTTCATCGTCGTGTTTAGGCTTAGGCTTAGGTATTTTTAAGGTCTCTTCCCCCTCCGTAATTGGAGATTTGAAAGCAACCTCAACTTCTTCATCATCTTCTTGCACAGGGACCACTTTTTTTACCGTTACCTCATCCTTTGCTTCGTCTTTTGGTTTAGGTTTCTTCTTGGTCTTTTTGACAGTTACTACCTCTTCTTCTTCTTCTTCTTTAGGAGACTTTATCACAGCAGCAGTTTCTTCATCAGGTTTTGCTTCTCTTTCAGGTATTTCTTCGATAATTTCTTCGATGGTTACGCCAGATTCTTCATCTGGTTCCTTCTTTATTGTTATTTCAGCCGCAGCAACTTCTTCTACAGCAGGCTTCCTCTTCTTAGGTTTGATGGTGACCTCTGCTTCTTCCACCGTATATTCTGTTTCATCTTCTTTGGGACTGCCCTTCTTTAATGTTATCTCAGCTTCGGGTTCTTCGGTTACCACAGGCTTCTTTTTCTTCTTTTTGATCACAATTTCCTCAGTAACTTCCTCCACCGGTGTCTCAGGTACTTTATCTTTTGGTTTTTCCACAATCGTAAATTCAGCTTCAGTATCAAGTGGTTCAGTGAGTACTTCTGGAGCTTCTTCAGGTTTAATTTTCAAAACAGTATCTACTGATACTTTACTTTCTTCTTGCTCTTTTTTCTTAGGTAATGCCATTTTAGCTTCTACTGTACTTTCAACTTCTTTCTTCGGAACCTTTTTCTTTTTGATGACAACTTGCTGGGGAGTTTCCTCCTCAGCAACTTTCTCCTCTGGTTTAACTTCTAACGGTTTTACTTCTTCGGAAGCAAATTCTTCCAGCTTTGGCGCTTCTACGTCTTGTGGTTTTATCTCTTCAACCGCAGTTTCCACAGGCTTGACTTCCTCCTGTTCTGGCTTCACTTCTTTAGGTTTCCTGATCTTTTTCTTTGTTACTGTTTGGATGGTAACTTCTTCTTCTTCTTCAACCTCTGGTTGCTTCTTGATAGTTAGTTCTTCGACATCCTCTGCCTTAGGTACTGGCTTTTCTTTCCTAAGTACCAGTTCTGCCGCGACTTCTTCGACTTCTTCAGGTTCCAAAGGTCTTGGTTTTTCAAGGACCAGCTTGACTTCTGGAGCTTCTTCTTCTTCTGCAGGTTTTAGAACAGATTTCTTTCGTTTTAAGATCACGGTTGAAGTATCTTCTTCTTCTTCAAGTTTTTCAGGTAACAGCTCTTCGACAGGCTTCTCTTCTACAGGCCTTTCCTCCTCAGTTGGTTTCTCTTCTTCAGGCTTGTCCTTCTTCTTCTTCTTGATTATCTTCTTCACCTTCTTCTCTACCTTTATTTCCTCTTCCTCACTTGACTCATCCCTTGGAATTATCACTACTTTTGTAGTTTGCCATTCTACGAATACAACTTCAGGTTTGAACTCAATCTTTTCATCTTCCTTTTTGAATGGCTTCAAGGTAATTGCTTCAGGTTGTTCTTCAGGCTTATCTTTTTTCGGAATCTTGAATTTAACTTCCGGATGTTCTTCCTCAAATGGAGGTTTAGGCATACCTTTAGTAATTGTCATTGATTCAGTTTCCTGTTCAGGTTTTTCCTTCTTTTTGGGTTTGTATTTGGATTTGTCCTTCTTAGGCTTATCAGTGTCTGGTTCCTCCTGCTCAGGCAGCTCAAGCTCAAGTTTTTCAGATGATTCGCGTTCGAATTTGAAGGGTTCAAATGGAGGACCTTCAATTTTCGCTTTGTCTTCAGTTTCCTTTGTTTCACCAGGTGCAACCTTGATTTTCTTCTCTTTCGCGACATCTTCAGGACTTTCTTCTACTAGTTTTCCTGGTCTTCGCTTGAGTTTGACTTCTTCTTCTTCCTCTGTTTTTTCTGGAGCTTTTCCTTTGCCAATTTTTAGTGGAACAATTACATCTTCAGGAACTTCCGGCTTTTCTTTAGGTTTTCTTTCGTATTTGAACGCTTCGTCAAGTTTTTCTGGTTTTGTCTTCTTGAGTTCCTCAAATTCCAAGTCAAGCTTTTCTAAATCTTCCAAGTCCCTATCTATATCCTTCATCTTCTTTACTTTTTTCTTTTTCAGCTTCTTAGCCTCTTCTATGTTCCTTGATATAATTCCGTTATCACGTACTGCACCTATTTCTGTTATTTGTGGCTTCTGTAATATCTCTGTAATAGGAGGGAAGTCGACATAATTTATACGACTCTTTAGTTTGAACTTAGGTATTTTGACACCTTCTGGCTCTTGCTTCTGAGGTGCCTTAGGTTTCTTCAGCTTTATTTCGGCCAGGTTAACCTTCTCAGGAACGATTTCTACGACTTTGGCCTTATGGACAGTAACATTGACACGAATAACTTCCATTTTGATGGGCTTGGCTTTCTTCTTCTTCTCTGGCTTGGCTTTGAATACATCATCTACCATTTCGATGTCTTTCTTCGCTTCGTCGTATTCCTTATCAAGCTTTTCTAAATCTGGTAGTTTTGGCTTCTTGCGTTTGGGTTTGACCTTTGCTGCTTCCTCAACGTTTCTAGACAGTACACCGTTGTCCCTTACAACTGGTTCCAAAGTACTTACGACCGGTTTGGTTTCTGCTTCAGACAAAGGAGGGAAGTCAACATACTTAATTCTGCTCTTGAGCAAAAATTTTGGCATTTCGCCTTTCTTTTTCTTTTCAACGAGTTTTTGAACTTTCTTTGGCTTCTCCTCCATTTTTTCAGGTACCTCCGCCGGTTTTGTATATTTCGTTTCTGCTGGAGTCACCTCTGCCTCTGCTTCAGGTTTCTTCCTAATTTCTTCAGATGGTTCGCGCTCCTCAATTTCCGTACGCTTAGGTATATCTTCTTGCTCTCCTCCTTGTGGCCAAACAGGAGTTTCTTCTTCAGCGCGTATCTGTTCAGGTTTCTCTTCTTCGGAAGGCAGCTTCTCTTTTTCGGGCTTCTTTTTCTTGATCACTTTCTTCTTCGTTTTATCCGTTATCTCTATCTCAGTGGATTCTTCTTCGTCTGCTTTGATTTCAATAACCTTCTGCGTTGGTTTGTCAATAGCCTCTACTTTTACAGTGAAGGTCTCTTCCTCCTTTCCTGGCTTCTTAAATGGTTTCAACTTAATGTCTTCCACTTCTGGTTCTGGTTTTCCTTTACGTGGCATTTTGGGTGTGACTTCATCTTCCTTTTCCTCGCTTGGCTTCTTTTTAGGTGCCTCATCCACAACCTCTTCTTTTGTGGGTTCAGGTTTCATTTCTTCTTCAGTTACTACTTCAGGAGCTTCTTCCTCTGAAGACGCTCGTTCTTTTTCAGGTTTCTTTTTCTTGACGACCTTTTTCTTAACTTTATCCTTGATCTCAATTGTTATAGTTTCGTTTTCGTCTGGTTTAATTTCTATAACTTTTTGTGTAGGCTTTTCAGGTCCTTCCACTTCCATAGTAATATACTCTTCTTTCTTTTCTGGTTTTTTGATTGGTCTCAACTTGATGTCTTCAACATCCTCTTTAGGTTTGTCTTTACGAGGTATTTTGAAAGTAACTTCATCCTCTTTTTCTTCGTCTGGCTTTTTCGGAACTCCCTTTTTAATAATAAGTTCTGGAGCTTCAGGAGCGGGCTTTTCTTTCTTTTTTCTGACATACTTTGTTTTGTCTTTAGGAATTTTCTCTTTGCTTTCTTCCTCTGGAGAAGCTGTCTCGCGGTCAAGAAGATCAACATCTTCCCGATCGATGTCGAATGGTTCAAATTTAGGTCCTTTAACTGACTCTCCCTCCTCCGGTACTTTCGGTTTTTCTGTTTCCTCTACCTTTGGTTTCGGCTTTTCTTCAGCTATTTCTTCAGTTTCTGTTGGTTTTGGTTTAACCTTTTTCAATTTGATGTCCTCATGCTCATCTTTCTCCTCAGGTATCTTACCTTTACCTATCTTCATAGGCTTGATCTCTTCTTTCAATTCCTCTGGTTTTTCTTTAGGTTTTCTTTGGTATTTAAATGCATCATCTATCTTTTCAAGCTCTTGCTTTTTGAGTTCATCAAATTCAAGATCCAGCTTCTCAAGCTCCGTCAGCTCTTTCTTAGGCTTCTTGATCTTTTTGATTTTGGTCTTCTTGATTTTCTCCGCTTCTTCTACATTTCTAGATAGAATGCCATTATCTCTGACAACATCCATTTCAGTCACATTGAGCTTTTGTAGTACCTCAGACATTGGAGGGAAGTCAACCCAAACGATTCTACTTTTCAGTTTAAATTTAGGTATTTTAACACCTGCATCTTCCTTCTTCGGAGGTGCTTTCGGTTTCTTCAGTTTTATTTCAGCTAAATTAACTTTCTCTGGCTCAATTTCAACTATTTTAGGCTTTTGTGCGACAACTTCTACCCTGACTATTTTCATCAACACAGGTTTCTCCTTTGACTTCTTTTTCGGTCTCTTTCTGAAGGCTTCATCTACTTCTTCTGGCTTCTGTTGCTGCTTAAGTTCCTCGAACTCTTTATCGAGTTTTTCAAGTTCTTTAACGCGTTTTACAAGTTTCTTTTTCTTTGGCTTCACAGTTGCTGCCTCATCAACATTTCTGGACAATATACCGTTATCTCTATACACTGGTTCCAACTCAGTGACGACCGCCTTCTGTTCTTTCTGTGTTTCAGGAGGAAAGCCGAGCAGTTCCATCCTACTTTTAAGCATAACTTTCGGTACTTTTACCTCAGACACCCTTTTCTGTGTCGGAATCTTTGCCTTCTTCAATTTTATTTCAGCAAATTCTGGCTTCACTTCAGTGACCACTGGAATTTGGGGTTTCTTAACTTCAATACGTTGAATCTTCATCAAAATATGCTTTTCTTTTTCAACCTTAGGCTCTTCAATCTCGTCAGGAACCTTCTTTTTAGGTTTCTTAACACTTTTAACTTTTTCTGTTGTAACCTTCTCTACCTCAGGGCTGACTTCTGGCACAATCTCTCTTGGTTTTTCTTCAATAACCTCTTGTTGTTCTTCAATAACGACCTCTGAAATTTCTGCATGCTCCTTTATCTGTGGTGCTTCTTCCTGTTTATTTTCCTTAGGCTTTTTCACTTTTCTTACCTTCTTCGTTACAACTGTCGTTTCTTCAACATCTTCTTCATCTTCTTTGATATAAATAATTTTGGAAGTTTGAGGCTGTATCAGATACTCACTGGGCTTATGAATTTCTTGTTCTTCCTCTTTTTTGAAAGGCTTCAATTCCATTCCTTCTTCTTTTTCTTCTGGTTTGGGTTTCTGTTTATACTTGAGTTGTATATCTGGCGTTTCTTCTTCCTCGGCAGGTTTAGGTACACCTTTTTGTAGCAGAAGCTCTTCGGTATCTGGCTTCGGTTTTTCTTTTGGTTTCTTGACTTTCTTTACCTTCTTTTCAACGCCAGGTTTCTCTTCTTCTGCTTCTGGAGGTGCAGGCTCATATTTATCTAATTCTGGAGACTCCCTGCCAATATCAAAAGGCTCAAATGGTTTTACAGTTGTTTCTGTTTCTTTTTCTTTTGGCTCCTCGATTTCTTCGAATTCAGCAAACTGAGGTTTCTTTTCAACCTCATCAGCTTGTTCCAGTTTCTTCTTAGGAATCTTCTTTAACGTAATCTTTTCTTCTTTTTCTGCCTGTTCGGGAACTTTTCCTTTTCCAATCTTCAGTTTTTTCTCATCTTCTTTCTTTTCAGGTTTCTCTTTAGGTTTCTTGACGTACTTGAACTCGTCGTCTACTTTTTCAAGCTCTTGCTTTTTGATCTCTTCGAACTCCAGGTCTATTTTTTCAAGCTCTTTAATATCTTTTTCGATGTCCTTAACGCGAGGGTGTCGTTTCTTTTTGATAGTTTCGGCTTCTGCCATATTCCTTGACAGTATACCATTATCTCTATAGACAGGAGGAAGTTGCTTGACAGAAGGTAACCGGAATACTTCTTGCTTTGGAGGAAACTCTACATGTACAATTCGGCTCTTGAGCAAGAACTTCGGAAGTTTGACCGATTTTGGCTCGACCTTTCTGGGAACCTTTGGTTTTTTCAGTTTTATGTCCGCAAGTTTCACTGCTTCCTCTGGAGTAGTCACCGACGCTTTTTGCCATTCTATCACTTTATGCTCCACAGTCATCAGAATAGGTTTTTTCTTCTCGAGTAATTTTGGAATCTCTTCTAGCTCTGGCACCAATTTGTCTAACTCCTGCGTGGGAGTTTCTTTATCCTTTGGTTTCTTTTTCTTGATTTTCTTCACGGTTTCAGTTGTCTCCTCAACTACTACTTCTTCCTTTTCAGCCGTTTCAGGTGTCACTAGTTCCGGTTCTGGCATTTCTGGTACAGGCGCTTCTTCATCTTTAGGCTTCTTCTTCTTCATTATTTTCTTTATAGTAGTAGTTTCTTCTACAATTTCACCTTCAAGCACTAGAGCAGTTTCTGCAGGTTTTTCTTCTCCTTCGCCTATCACAAGTTGATCCTCTTCTTCTCCTGGTAATTCTGTTGGTAATTCTTCGTCTGGCTTAGTTTTGACTTTCTTCTTGACAACCTTCTTCTTTTTGATCACCTTATCCGTTTTTTCAACCTCTTCTTCATCTTCCGGAATTAATATGACCGTTGCAGTATGTTTCATCACTGTTTCGATCTCGACCTTGTATAACTTTTCTTCTTTTTCACCTTTGAATGGCTTGAGTTTGATGTCGTCGGGAGTCTCTTCAGGCTTTGGCTTCTGTTTGTATTTGAGAGTAATATCTGGCTGTTCTTCTTCGCCCGCAGGTTTTGGTACTCCCTTGATGATCTCTATTCCTCCTGTTTCTGGTACAGGTTTTGCTTTCTTTTGCTTTATCCTCTTTGGTTTATCTGGACCTGATACATCTTCTGGTGTTCCTTCTTCCTGCAAAGATTCATACTCTTCTTTTTCAGGAGACTCTCTCTCTATATCGAATGGAGTGAATTTGATTTTATCGCCTTCTTCGTCCTCCTTTTTCTTTGGCTTTTTATCCTTGACTGGTTCCTCCTTCTTAACCTTCTTTTCTTCTTCCTCAGCAATCTCTTGAGGTTTCTTTGGTACAGGCTTCAGTTTGACAGTATCTTCCTTATCTTCAGGTTTCGGAATTTTACCTTTTTTGATCTCAAGTTTCTTAGGTTCTTCTTTTGCTTCTGATTTCCTTCTAGCTTGCTTTTCAAACCGGAAGGCATCTTCAACAGCTTCTAGAGGTTTCTTTTTAAGCTCTTCTACTTCCTGATCCAACCTTTCCAATTCTTTCAAATCCAAATCTTTGTCTCTTAGCCTCCTCTTTTTGGTTTTAGGAATCCTTTCTGCTTCCTTTACATTTCTTGACAAAACTCCATTGTCTCGATAAACTGGTTCTAAGAAAGAAATCCTTGGCAGTAGTTCTTTTTCGTTTAATGGTGGGAATTCAACGTAATTGATTCTGCTCTTTAGTAAAAATTTAGGCATCTTGGTTTTCACTTCCTTCTTAGCAGGTGCCTTAGGTTTCCTCAGTTTAATATCTGCAAAAGTAGGAACATCTCTGCTGTCGACTATCTTTGCCTTTTGAGGTTTGATTTCCTTTCTTTCGATAGGCATCAAAACTGACACTTCTCTTCGAAGCTTTTTCGGCTTTTCTTCTTCCAGTGGCTTTTCTTCTTCAGTTGGAATTTCTTCCTCGCTTGGCTTCTCTGGCTTCTGCTTTGGTTTCTTTTTCTTTATAACCTTCTTTTTGGGCACCACTTCCACTTCTTCTATGGTTACAGCCATTTGTGGTTTCTTTCCTTCCTCTTCGATAGTCACAATTTCAATAACCTCATCCTTTGTGCCTTTGGGTTTCTTAATCACTCGTTTTCTTTGTATTTTCCTTGGATGATCTTGCACATCTACTTCAAGAACAGTTACTTCTTCAGGAAGCTCTTCTATGTAAGCTGGCATGCACGTTGGAGTGGAAGGTAGTTCCTCTAGTAATTCGCTGAGAATTTCTCTTTCTTCCACAGTCACGGTGGTAGATGGCATTTTACCTTCTTCTTCAACGGTATATATTTTGATGTCTTCTTGTTTGCTTCCTTTTCGCTTTTTGATGAACTTGGTTTTCACTGTTTGCTTTTTCGGTTTTCCGACCTTTGGAATGATCTCAATTTCTTTAACCTCCTCGGGAAGTTCCTCGATTATTACTGGTTCCTGTAGTTCTTCCAGCTTCTCATCGGGAACGTCTATTTCTTCTATTGTAACAGTACTTTGAGGAGTTTTGCCTTCTTCCTCTACAGTGACAATATGAATCACCTCACTCTTACTTCCTTTCCGTTTCTTCAGTACTTTGTTCTTAATGACGCTCTTACCAACAACTCTAATTTCTTCAGGTTCCTCTACTATAGGCTGTTCAGGTTGCTCAGAAACTATGTCAAGAGGTGCACTTATTTCTTCTATAACTACAGTTGTCTGTGGTTGCTTACCATCCTCTTCTACTGTGGTGAATGTGGTAACTTCCTGCTTGTTACCCTTTTGTTTCTTTATTACCTTCTTTTTAATTGTTTTTTGTTTTGATCCACGAGGCGTCAATTCCTCAATTACTTGAACCTCTTCTGGCAACTCAACGTATGTGGCTTTTCCGTAGACAACCTCTTCTACTATTGGAACTTCTTCTATCACAATTGAGGTTTGCGGATGTTTGCCTGCTATCTCTTCTGACACAACGTAGGTTCTTTCCTCCATACTACCTTTGCGCTTTCGATATACCTTCTTTTTCACGACCTTCTTTTTGGGACCTTCTTTGGTATCTACCATGGTGACTTGAATTTCTTCAGGAGCTTCTTCTATGACTGTGGCAAGAGCTGGTATTTCAGGAGTTTCCTGGATTTCTTCAATAGGTACGTCAACCTCTTCAATTGTCACTGTGCTCTCTGGCGCTTTTCCTTGTTCCTCAACAGTGAGTATTTCAGTGATCTCTTCTTTATCTCCTTTCCTTTTCTTGATTATTTTCTTCTTTATCGTTTTTTTCTTGGGTGTGTCTTCGAATATTTGTATTTGTTCCGGCATTTCTACAATGTAGTCAGGCTGTTCTTCTCTCTCTGGTAGAGCTTTGGCCATCGCTTTCCTAAGCAGTTCCAGTTGAACCATTTCAATAATCCCACCTTCATCTTCTTTTTGGGCAAGTGTTGGTACAAACAGTATACCGTCATCTGACATCAAGGGCTGCTCCTCCTTCTTCTTCTTCGGCTTTTTTGACTTTTTAGGAACTGGCTTGGATGAATCAATTTCTTCAACAGTCACGGTAGTCTGAGGTTGCTTGCCTTCTTCTTCAACAATAAAGATTTCAGTTACTTTTTGTTTATCACCTTCTTTCTTACGTATGACCTTCTTGCGAGTGACCTGTTTTTTTGGACCCTCACTTGTTTCTGTGATAATAACTTTCACCTCTTCAGGTAATTCTTCAGCCACAGTATATTCTTCCGGAACCTCTACTAATTCCTCTGGTATTTCTTCGATAGTGACCGTTGTTTGTGGTTCTTTGCCTTCTTCTTCGACAACACATATCTCTGTGACTTCTTGCTTATCTCCCTTCCTCTTTTTGAGTACCCTTTTCTTGATAGTTTTCAGTTTTGGTCCCTGTTTTGTTTGAACCTCAGTAGAAACCACTTCTTCTGGTAGCTCAATCACAACACTGGGTTTCAAGGTTTTTGTGACATTGATTTCAAATTCTTCCGGAATTTCCTCCTCTACAACAGTAACACTAGAAACAGGCTTTTGACCTTCAACTTCAACTGTCAAAATCTGAGTAGTTTCTTGTTTATCACCTTTTCGTTTTCTGATTATCTTCTTTCTGGTGACTGCCTTTTTCAGACCTTCAGTGGTATGAACCATTTCGGTAGCTACTTCTTCAGGGAGCTCTTCAACCTGTACTGAGTGTTTTCCCATTTCTGGAGTTTCTTCATACGTTACTTCAGCCTCGTGTACAGTAATGGAGGTCTGAGGCATCTTACCCTCCTCTTCAGTAACAATAATTTCTGTAGTTTCCTGTTTACTACCCTTTCGTTTCTTAAGCACTTTCTTTTTGATGGTTTTAGTTTTAGGACCTTCCTTCGTATCTATTCTAGTAACAGTTATTTCTTCAGGTAGCTCCTCTACTACTGTTGGTATTGTAGGTACCACCTCTTCTTCTTCAGGTATCTCAATTTCTTGTATTATCACAGTCGATTGAGGCTCTTTACCTTCTTCAGTAACAGTCAAAATTTCAGTGGTTTCTTGTTTGTTTCCTTTTCTCTTTTTCAATATCCTTTTCTTTTGAATTACTTCTTTAGGTCCTTCTTTTGTCTGAACTGTGGTTACTGTAACCTCGGCAGGCAGTTCTTCTACCAATGTTGCACCTACAGTTTTAGGCTTTTTCGAGGGTATAGCCTTACTTTCTTCTTCCAGAAATTCTATCTCTTCAACTTTCACTGCTACTTGAGGCATTTTACCATCTTCTTCCACCGTTACAATTTCAGTTAGTTCTTGCGTGCCGCCCTTAGTCTTCTTGATCACTCTCTTCTTGATAGTCTTTCTTTTAGGTATTCCTTTCTCGATGGTTTGAACAACTTCAACTTCCTCTGGCAATTCCTCAACAAAAATAGGCTCCCGAACATCTTCTATCGGTTTTTGTGTCTGAATAGCTTCTATCAGTACCGATTCTCTCACATCCTGCACAACTTTACCCTTGGCTTTTATGATGTCTTCGTCAAATGAACCTAAAATATATTATTAAATTAGATGTTATACAAACATAACAGAGCAACTTTATCTTACCCAAAGGTGTTTCCTGTGTGGATTCAGAAGTGTAGGTTTCTGTTATAGTTTTTGATGTCTGTGTTATAACTGTGGGCTTGGCTTTCGATTTTTTTAATGATTTGATTGGTATAGTGGTTTCTTCTTCTGTGTCATCGATGTCAGGTTCTGTGTTGTATATAACTACGCATGTTTGTGATGGTTTACCTTCTTCAGATGTGGTCAGTATTTCAGTGACTTCATGACCTTTATCAGTTTTCTTCTTATAAGTTCTCTTCTTTACTTTCCTTACTGTTGGTATACCTTTCTCATCAACATCGGTTACCTCGGTAACCTCTTCCGGAAGTTCAAAGAGTTCAGTTGCTTCATGAACGTCCACATCTTCTTCATCAATTTTCTGAGTCACTACAACTTCTGGCGCACCCTCTTCACGAGTGATGGTATCGATGGTAGTTTTTTCCTTGACTGGACCACGTTTTGTCTTTATAACTCTTCGCTTAATAACTTTTTTTACAGTTTTTCCTTGAGGAGTCTTTTCAGTGATTTCTATTGTCTCTTCAGGCAATTCAATTACCCTTGATCTTTGTAGCTTCATCAAATCTTTAAGCTCTATTGTTTTATATTCTTCATGTACCTCGTCTTTCTTGAAAGGCTTCAGTCTTATCTCCTCGTCTTCAGTCTCAGGAGGAGGTTTCTGTTTCGGCTTAAATTGTACATCTTCGTTTGATGTAGGTGGCACTTTCTTTCCTTCTCCTATATCTATCTTTGATTCTTCAGTCTCTGGCAGATTTTCCTTTCTAGGTTTTCTAACATATTTGGAGCCTGACTTACGTTCTTCTCTTGTATCACCTGGACCTTCGTCTTTTTCCAAGTCATCTAGGTTTCTTTCGGGCATATCTGCATCAAAAGGTTCAAATTTAGGACCTTCAACATAATCATGATCCTTTTCATCTTTGAGCCTTTTAACTGGTTTTTCCTTCTTCTTCGGTTTTTCAGCATCGGTTTCTTCTTCTCCAGAGGGTCTCGCCGGGATCTTTTTCAGCTGAACCTTTTCAAGCTCTTCCTGGTCTTTTGGAACTTTTCCCTTGCCCAGTTTTATGCCTGTTGACTTTTCTTCTCCTTCCTTCGGCTTTTTGGGCGTTTTCTCATAGGGCTTCTTAGTTTCATCTTTCCCAGGCTTCTCTTCTTCTGGGAACTCAAATTTCTCCAACTGCTCTAATTCTGGTGATGCTCGATCAATGTCCTTAAATTTTTTGTACTTCTTCTTTTTCAAAGCTTGTTTAGCTTCTTCAACGTTGCGAGACAAGACTCCATGGTCTTTGACATAAAGAGGAAGAGTAGTTATTATAGGAGTCTTCTCTTGCTCTAACTCTGGAGGGAAAGGGATATGGCGAATTCTGCTGGCTAAACGTACCTTAGGGAATTTAGCCTCTTTAGGTTTGATTTGCTTAGCTTTTGGCTTCTTCAATTTCATTTGGCTCAACAGAGGAAGCTCATCTTTTTCAATTACAACAGCTTTACTTGGTTTGACTTCCACTAACTTAGCAATATGCTTTTTAGGCACCTTCTGTTTGACATCTTTGGGCTTAGCAGTCACTCCATCCACATCAGTGATATACACTACTACACTTGTTTGTGGCGGATTGCCTTCTTCGCACGTTGTAAGTATCTCTGTAACCTCTTGACCTTTATCAGTTTGCTTCTTATATACCCTCTTCTTTAATTTCTTAGATTTTGCTACACCGTTCTCATCGATATCAGTTACGTCTATAACTTCTTCTGGAATCTCTGTGAGTTCTATTGCATCATGCACCTCTACATCTTCTTCGTCAGCTTCAAAGGTTACAATTATTTCTGGGATACCTCCTTCAGGCGTGATGGTGTCAATCGTAGTTTTTTCCTTAACTGGACCACGTTTTTTCTTTATAACCCTTCGTTTAATAACTTTCTTTACTGTTTTGCCTTCAGGCGTCTTCTCAGTAAGTTCGATTACCTCTTCTGGTAATTCAATCACCTTTACCTTTTGTAACTTCATCAAGCCTTTAATCTCTTCTATTTTGTATTCATCGTGATCCTCATCGTTCTTCTTCAATGGCTTCAGTTTGGTCTTCTCTTCATCTGACTCGAGATGAGGTTTTTGCTTTGGTTTGAATTCTACTTCCTCATCCGACATAGGTGGCACTTTCGCACCTTTACCTAGCTTAATCTTTGATACCTCTGACTCTGGTAGTTTCTCCCTTTTCGGCTTACGAATACGTTTGCTACCTGGTTTATGTTTCTCTGTTGTATCTTCTGGACTCTCATATTTCTCTGACTCATCTTGATCTCTTTCTGGCATATCCATATCATATGGCTCGAATTCAAGACCTCCGACATCATCATAGTCCTTTTTAAATCTAGGGGTTTCAACTGATTTGCCATCCTTTATTGGTTTTTCAGCATCTGTCTCTTCTTCATCAGATGGTTTTTTCGATGTCTTCTTCAGCTGCACTTTTTCAAGCTCTTCCTGATCATTTGGAACTTTTCCCTTTCCTAATTTGATACCCACCCCCTCTTCTTTCCCTTCCTTCGTCTGTTTAGACTTTTTCTCATAGGGCTTACTGGTTTCAACTTCTTCAGGCCTTTCTTCTGCTGGGAATTCGAATTTCTCTAGCTTCTCTAGTTCGGGCGACTCTCGATCAATGTCCTTGAATTTCTTATACTTTTTCTTCTTCAAGACTTGTTTGGCTTCTTCAACATTGCGAGATAGAACTCCTTGGTCCCTGACATAAAGAGGAAGGTGAGTTATTGAAGGTTTGCGCTCTTGCTCAGACTCTGTAGGGAAAGTAATATGGCGGATTCTACTTGCTAAGCGTACCTTAGGGAACTTGACCTCCTTAGGCTTGCTAGGCTTCGCTTTAGGCTTCCTCAACTTCATTTGACTGAGCAAGGGAAGTTGGTCTTTTTCAATCACGTCAGGCTTGTTCGGTGTGACTTCTATGACCTCGGCGAAGTGCTTTTTAAGTACTTTCTTTTTAGGTTTGTCTTCTGGATACATCTTGATTTTTACTGTTGTCGTAGGCTCTTTGCCATCGTCTGTTGTCGTAATTATTTCAATTACTTCAACTTTTGAACCAACTGGTTTGAGAAGAGTCCTTCGTTTTACGACCTTCTTTGTGGGAGTTTTCGTAGCAGTACTCACTACTATATCGGTATCTTCTGGCAATTCAATCAAAGTCGCTGTAGGTCGATCAACAATATTAATGACTTTACTGATCTCATCTATTGAGATGGAGTGCTCCGGCTTTTCACCTGGCTTTTCGGAAGCTGTAATATGGATAAGTTCGTTTTTGTTGCCCTTCTCCTTTTTTAACTTCCTTTTCTTTATTAATTCCAGCTTCCCACCCGGAAGTTTACGTGTTTCAGACTCTTCTGGATATTCAGTGATAATTCCACATTGACTCAATGGTAAGTCCAGCGAATATGGCAAATCTGGTAGCGCATGCGATAAAATTTTTCTTATGATCTCGATCTTTAGCAGCTTTAAAATATCCTCTTCTGTGGGAATTTTCTCTTTTTCAGCTAAAGAGGGAACAAACAAAAACTTTTCTTCTTCGAGCGGTTCCTCAATATGTTTTTCATCTTCCATCGGTTTTTTCATTTTCTTTCTCTTCGACCCAGGCATCTCAACCTCCTCTACAGTCACAGTAATTTGTGGCTTTTTGCCTTCCTCCTCAACAGTTACAATTTCAGTATTTTCTTGCTTATCACCTTTCTGTTTCTTGATAACCCTCTTCCTAGTAACTTTCTTTTTCTTCCCTTCTGGTGTTGTGACCTCAGTTACCTCCACTTCTTCGGGAAGCTCCTCTACCGTATACGCTGGCATGAGGTATTCAAGCTCTTTTTGCTTTTTAATTTCTTCGACAGTGACTATAGTCTCTGGCTCTTTGCCTTCTTCCTCGATAGTTAAAATTTCAGTTTTTTCTTGCTTTTCTCCTTTCTGTGTCTTGATAACCCTCTTCTTAACAACTTTCTTCTTATGTTTGCCTTCTGGAGTTGTGACTTCAATTAACTCCACCTCTTCAGGAAGTTCCTCTACAGCATAAGCTGGCATGAGGTATCCAAGCTCTTCAGGCTTTTCGATTTCTTTGACAGTGACAGTAGTTTGTGGTTTTTTGCCGTCCTCCTCGACAGTTACAATTTCAGTTTTCTCTTGCTTGTCACCCTTTTGTTTCTTGATTACTCTCCTCTTAACTACCTTCTTCTTCTTTTTGCCTTGCGGTGTTGTAACTTCAATTACTTCTACTTCTTCAGGAAGTTCCTCTACAGCATAAGCTGGCATAGGATACCCAAGCTCTTCAGGCTTTTCAAATTCTTCGACAGTGACAGTAGTTTGTGGTCCTTTACCTTCCTCCTCGACAGTTACGATTTCAGTTTTCTCTTGCTTGTCACCTTTCTGTTTCTTGATTATCCTCTTCTTAACAACTTTCCTTTTCTTTTTGCCTTCCGGTGTTATAATTTCAGTTACCTCCACCTCTTCAGGAAGTTCCTCTACAGCATAAGCTGGCATGAGGTATCCAAGTTCTTCAGGCTTTTCGATTTCTTTGACAGTGACAGTAGTTTGTGGTCCTTTGCCTTCCTCCTCGACAGTTACAATTTCAGTTTTCTCTTGCTTGTCACCCTTCTGCTTCTTGATTACTCTCCTCTTAACTACCTTCTTCTTCTTTTTGCCTTGCGGTGTTGTAACTTCAATTACCTCTACCTCTTCAGGAAGTTCCTCTACAGCATAAGCTGGCATAGGATACCCCAGCTCTTCAGGTTTTTCGATTTCTTCGACAGTGACAGTAGTTTGTGGTCCTTTGCCTTCCTCCTCGACGGTTACGATTTCAGTTTTCTCTTGCTTGTCACCTTTCTGTTTCTTGATTATCCTCTTCTTAACAACTTTCCTTTTCTTTTTGCCTTCCGGTGTTATCATTTCAATTACCTCTACTTCTTCAGGAAGTTCCTCTACAGCATAAGCTGGCATAGGATACCCAAGCTCTTCAGGCTTTTCGATTTCTTTGACAGTGACAGTAGTTTGTGGTTTTTTGCCTTCCTCCTCGACAGTTACAATTTCAGTTTTCTCTTGCTTGTCACCTTTCTGTTTCTTGATTACTCTCCTCTTAACTACTTTCTTCTTCTTTTTGCCTTCCGGTGTTGTAACTTCAGTTACTTCTATCTCTTCAGGAAGTTCCTCTACAGCATAAGCTGGCATAGGATACCCAAGCTCTTCAGGCTTTTCGATTTCTTCGACAGTGACAGTAGTTTGTGGTCCTTTGCCTTCCTCCTCGACGGTTACGATTTCAGTTTTCTCTTGCTTGTCACCTTTCTGTTTCTTGATTATCCTCTTCTTAACAACTTTCCTTTTCTTTTTGCCTTCCGGTGTTATAATTTCAGTTACCTCCACCTCTTCAGGAAGTTCCTCTACAGCATAAGCTGGCATAGGATACCCAAGCTCTTCAGGCTTTTCGATTTCTTCGACAGTGACAGTAGTTTGTGGTCCTTTGCCTTCCTCCTCGACAGTTACAATTTCAGTTTTCTCTTGCTTGTCACCCTTCTGTTTCTTGATTACTCTCCTCTTAACTACCGTCTTCTTCTTTTTGCCTTCCGGTGTTGTAACTTCAGTTACTTCTACCTCTTCAGGAAGTTCCTCTACAGCATAAGCTGGCATAGGATACCCAAGCTCTTCAGGCTTTTCAATTTCTTCGACAGTGACAGTAGTTTGTGGTCCTTTGCCTTCCTCCTCGACAGTTACAATTTCAGTTTTCTCTTGCTTGTCACCCTTCTGTTTCTTGATTACTCTCCTCTTAACTACCGTCTTCTTCTTTTTGCCTTCCGGTGTGGTAACTTCAGTTACTTCTACCTCTACAGGAAGTTCCTCTACAGCATATGCTGGCATAGGATACCCAAGCTCTTCAGGCTTTTCGATTTCTTCGACAGTGACAGTAGTTTGTGGTCCTTTGCCTTTCTCCTCGACAGTTACAATTTCAGTTTTCTCTTGCTTGTCACCTTTCTGTTTCTTGATTACTCTCCTCTTAACTACTTTCTTCTTTTTGCCTTCCGGTGTGGTAACTTCAGTTACTTCTACCTCTACAGGAAGTTCCTCTACCGCATATGCTGGCATAGGATACCCAAGCTCTTCAGGCTTTTCGATTTCTTCGACAGTGACAGTAGTTTGTGGTCCTTTGCCTTCCTCCTCGACAGTGACAATTTCAGTTTTCTCTTGCTTTTCACCCTTCTGTTTCTTGATTACTCTCCTCTTAACTACCGTCTTCTTCTTTTTGCCTTCCGGTGTTGTAACTTCAGTTACTTCTACCTCTTCAGGAAGTTCCTCTACAGCATACGCTGGCATAGGATACCCAAGCTCTTCGGGCTTTTCGATTTCTTCGACAGTGACAGTAGTTTGTGATCCTTTGCCTTCCTCCTCGACAGTTACAATTTCAGTTTTCTCTTGCTTGTCACCCTTCTGTTTCTTGATTACTCTCCTCTTAACTACCGTCTTCTTCTTTTTGCCTTCCGGTGTTGTAACTTCAGTTACTTCTACCTCTTCAGGAAGTTCCTCTACAGCATAAGCTGGCATAGGATACCCAAGCTCTTCAGGCCTTTCGATTTCTTCGACAGTGACAGTAGTTTGTGGTCCTTTGCCTTCCTCCTCGACAGTTACAATTTCAGTTTTCTCTTGCTTGTCACCCTTCTGTTTCTTGATTACTCTCCTCTTAACTACCGTCTTCTTCTTTTTGCCTTCCGGTGTTGTAACTTCAGTTACTTCTACCTCTTCAGGAAGTTCCTCTACAGCATACGCTGGCATAGGATACCCAAGCTCTTCAGGCTTTTCGATTTCTTCAACAGTGACAGTAGTTTGTGGTCCTTTGCCTTCCTCCTCGACAGTGACAATTTCAGTTTTCTCTTGCTTTTCACCCTTCTGTTTCTTGATTACTCTCCTCTTAACTACCGTTTTCTTCTTTTTGCCTTCCGGTGTTGTAACTTCAGTTACTTCTACCTCTTCAGGAAGTTCCTCTACAGCATACGCTGGTATAGGATACCCAAGCTCTTCGGGCTTTTCGATTTCTTCGACAGTGACAGTAGTTTGTGGTCCTTTGCCTTCCTCCTCGACAGTTACAATTTCAGTTTTCTCTTGCTTGTCACCCTTCTGTTTCTTGATTACTCCCCTCTTAACTACCGTCTTCTTCTTTTTGCCTTCCGGTGTTGTAACTTCAGTTACTTCTACCTCTTCAGGAAGTTCTTCTACAGCATACGCTGGCATAGGATATACAAGCTCTTCAGGCTTTTCGATTTCTTCGACAGTGACAGTAGTTTGTGGTCCTATGCCTTCCTCCTCGACAGTTACAATTTCAGTTTTCTCTTGCTTGCCACCTTTCTGTTTCTTGATTACTCTCCTCTTAACTACTTTCTTCTTTTTTTTGCCTTCCGGTGTGGTAACCTCAGTTACCTCTACTTCTTCAGGAAGCTCTTCTACTTCGAAGGTAGGTATTGTGTATTCTAGCTGTTCAGGCTTTTGAATCTCCACTATGGTTACTGTAGCTTCTAGTTGTTTACCTTCCTCTTCTACCGTGACTATCTCCGTATTTTCCTGTTTGTCACCTTTTTGCTTCTTAATTACGCGTTTTCTAACAGTTTTCTTCCTTTTGGCGCCAGTCTTGGTCGTGTATTCCTCTTCTGTGATTTCCTCTGGCAATTCTACTACAGCCTGTGTTGGCTTTGGATATTCTACTTCATCAGCTTTTTCGACAGTCACAGTTGTTTGGGGAACTTTTCCCTCTTCCTCTACAGTCACTATCTCTGTCTTCTCTTGCTTGCCGTCCTTTTGCTTTTTGATTACTCTTCTCTTTATAACTTTTTTCTTCCGTCTTCCTTCTGGCGTTATTACCTCTTCCACTTTTACTTCCTCGGGAAGCTCCTCTACTTCGTAAGTGGGCATATTGTATTCTAATTCCTCAGGTTTCTGGATCTCCTCTACGGTCACTGTCGTCTCTGGTTGCTTTCCTTCTTCTTCTACCGTGACGATTTCCGTTTTTTCCTGTTTGTCTCCCTTTTGCTTTTTAATCACACGTTTCTTCACGATTCTCTTTTTCTTGGAGCCTGTCTTGGTAATGAATTCTTCTTCTTCTACTACTTCTGGCAATTCTACTATAGAATATGTTGGCTTCGGATATTCGATTTCGTCAGCCTTTTCCACAGTCACAGTTGTTTGGGGAACTTTGCCCTCTTCCTCTACAGTCACTATCTCTGTCTTCTCTTGCTTGCCGTCCTTTTGCTTTTTGATTACTCTTCTCTTTATAACTTTTTTCTTCCGTCTTCCTTCTGGCGTGATTACCTCTTCCACTTTTACTTCCTCGGGAAGCTCCTCTACTTCGTAAGTGGGCATATTGTATTCTAATTCCTCAGGTTTCTGGATTTCCTCTATGGTCACTGTCGTCGCTGGTTGCTTTCCTTCTTCTTCTACTGTGACGATTTCCGTTTTTTCCTGTTTGTCTCCCTTTTGCTTTTTAATCACACGTTTCTTCACGATTCTCTTTTTCTTGGAGCCTGTCTTGGTAATGTATTCTTCTTCTTCTACTACTTCTGGCAATTCTACTACAGCCTGCGTTGGCTTTGGATATTCTACTTCATCAGCTTTTTCTACAGTCACAGTTGTTTGGGGAACTTTTCCCTCTTCCTCTACAGTCACTATCTCTGTCTTCTCTTGCTTGCCGTCCTTTTGCTTTTTGATTACTCTTCTCTTTATAACTTTTTTCTTCCTTCTTCCTTCTGGCGTTATTACCTCTTCCACTTTTACTTCCTCGGGAAGCTCCTCTACTTCGTAAGTCGGCGTACTGTATTCGAATTCCTCAGGTTTCTGGATCTCCTCTACGGTCACTGTCGTCTCTGGTTGCTTTCCTTCTTCTTCTACCGTGACGATTTCCGTTTTTTCCTGTTTGTCTCCCTTTTGCTTTTTAATCACACGTTTCTTCACGATTCTCTTTTTCTTGGAGCCTGTCTTGGTAATGTATTCTTCTTCTTCTACTACTTCTGGCAATTCTACTATAGAATATGTTGGCTTCGGATATTCGATTTCGTCAGCCTTTTCCACAGTCACAGTTGTTTGGGGAACTTTGCCCTCTTCCTCTACAGTCACTATCTCTGTCTTCTCTTGCTTGCCGTCCTTTTGCTTTTTGATTACTCTTCTCTTTATAACTTTTTTCTTCCGTCTTCCTTCTGGCGTGATTACCTCTTCCACTTTTACTTCCTCGGGAAGCTCCTCTACTTCGTAAGTGGGCATATTGTATTCTAATTCCTCAGGTTTCTGGATTTCCTCTATGGTCACTGTCGTCGCTGGTTGCTTTCCTTCTTCTTCTACTGTGACGATTTCCGTTTTTTCCTGTTTGTCTCCCTTTTGCTTTTTAATCACACGTTTCTTCACGATTCTCTTTTTCTTGGAGCCTGTCTTGGTAATGTATTCTTCTTCTTTTACTACTTCTGGCAATTCTACTACAGCCTGCGTTGGCTTTGGATATTCTACTTCATCAGCTTTTTCTACAGTCACAGTTGTTTGGGGAACTTTTCCCTCTTCCTCTACAGTCACTATCTCTGTCTTCTCTTGCTTGCCGTCCTTTTGCTTTTTGATTACTCTTCTCTTTATAACTTTTTTCTTCCTTCTTCCTTCTGGCGTTATTACCTCTTCCACTTTTACTTCCTCGGGAAGCTCCTCTACTTCGTAAGTCGGCATACTGTATTCGAATTCCTCAGGTTTCTGGATCTCCTCTACGGTCACTGTCGTCTCTGGTTGCTTTCCTTCTTCTTCTACCGTGACGATTTCCGTTTTTTCCTGTTTGTCTCCCTTTTGCTTTTTAATCACACGTTTCTTCACGATTCTCTTTTTCTTGGAGCCTGTCTTGGTAATGTATTCTTCTTCTTCTACTACTTCTGGCAATTCTACTATAGAATATGTTGGCTTCGGATATTCGATTTCGTCAGCCTTTTCCACAGTCACAGTTGTTTGGGGAACTTTGCCCTCTTCCTCTACAGTCACTACCTCTGTCTTCTCTTGCTTGCCGTCCTTTTGTTTTTTTATTACTCTTCTCTTTATAACTTTTTTCTTCATTCTTCCCTCTGGCGTTATTACCTCTTCCACTTTTACTTCCTCGGGAAGCTCCTCTACTTCGAAAGTGGGCATATTGTATTCTAATTCCTCAGGTTTCTGGATCTCCTCTACGGTCACTGTCGTCTCTGGTTGCTTTCCTTCTTCTTCTACCGTGACGATTTCCGTTTTTTCCTGTTTGTCTCCCTTTTGCTTCTTAATCACACGTTTCTTCACGGTTCTCTTTTTCTTGGAGCCTGTCTTGGTAATGTATTCTTCTTCTTCTACTACTTCTGGCAATTCTACTATAGAATACGTTGGCTTCGGATATTCGATTTCGTCAGCCTTTTCTACAGTCACAGTTGTTTGGGGAACTTTGCCCTCTTCCTCTACAGTCACTATCTCTGTCTTCTCTTGCTTGCCGTCCTTTTGTTTTTTGATTACTCTTCTCTTTATAACTTTTTTCTTCATTGTTCCTTCTGGCGTTATTACCTCTTCCACTTTTACTTCCTCGGGAAGCTCCTCTACTTCGAAAGTGGGCATATTGTATTCTAATTCCTCAGGTTTCTGGATCTCCTCTACGGTCACTGTCGTCTCTGGTTGCTTTCCTTCTTCTTCTACCGTGACGATTTCCGTTTTTTCCTGTTTGTCTCCCTTTTGCTTCTTAATCACACGTTTCTTCACGATTCTCTTTTTCTTGGAGCCTGTCTTGGTAATGTATTCTTCTTCTTCTACTACTTCTGGCAATTCTACTATAGAATATGTTGGCTTCGGATATTCGATTTCGTCAGCCTTTTCTACAGTCACAGTTGTTTGGGGAACTTTGCCCTCTTCCTCTACAGTCACTATCTCTGTCTTCTCTTGCTTGCCGTCCTTTTGCTTTTTGATTACTCTTCTCTTTATAACTTTTTTCTTCCTTCTTCCTTCTGGCGTTATTACCTCTTCCACTTTTACTTCCTCGGGAAGCTCCTCTACTTCGTAAGTGGGCATATTGTATTCTAATTCCTCAGGTTTCTGGATCTCCTCTACGGTCACTGTCGTCTCTGGTTGCTTTCCTTCTTCTTCTACCGTGACGATTTCCGTTTTTTCCCGTTTGTCTCCCTTTTGCTTCTTAATCACACGTTTCTTCACGATTCTCTTTTTCTTGGAGCCTGTCTTGGTAATGTATTCTTCTTCTTCTACTACTTCTGGCAATTCTACTACAGCCTGCGTTGGCTTTGGATATTCTACTTCATCAGCTTTTTCTACAGTCACAGTTGTTTGGGGAACTTTGCCTTCTTCCTCTACAGTCACTATCTCTGTCTTCTCTTGCTTGCCGTCCTTTTGCTTTTTGATTACTCTTCTCTTTATAACTTTTTTCTTCCTTCTTCCTTCTGGCGTTATTACCTCTTCCACCTGTACTTCCTCGGGAAGCTCCTCTACTTCGTAAGTCGGCATACTGTATTCGAATTCCTCAGGTTTCTGGATCTCCTCTACGGTCACTGTCGTCTCTGGTTGCTTTCCTTCTTCTTCTACCGTGACGATTTCCGTTTTTTCCTGTTTGTCTCCTTTTTGCTTCTTAATCACACGTTTCTTCACGATTCTCTTTTTCTTGGAGCCTGTCTTGGTAATGTATTCTTCTTCTTCTACTACTTCTGGCAATTCTACTATAGAATATGTTGGCTTCGGATATTCGATTTCGTCAGCCTTTTCTACAGTCACAGTTGTTTGGGGAACTTTGCCCTCTTCCTCTACAGTCACTATCTCTGTCTTCTCTTGCTTGCCGTCCTTTTGCTTTTTGATTACTCTTCTCTTTATAACTTTTTTCTTCCTTCTTCCTTCTGGCGTTATTACCTCTTCCACTTTTACTTCCTCGGGAAGCTCCTCTACTTCGTAAGTGGGCATATTGTATTCTAATTCCTCAGGTTTCTGGATCTCCTCTATGGTCACTGTCGTCTCTGGTTGCTTTCCTTCTTCTTCTACCGTGACGATTTCCGTTTTTTCCTGTTTGTCTCCCTTTTGCTTCTTAATCACACGTTTCTTCACGATTCTCTTTTTCTTGGAGCCTGTCTTGGTAATGTATTCTTCTTCTTCTACTACTTCTGGAAATTCTACTACAGCCTGCGTTGGCTTTGGATATTCTACTTCATCAGCTTTTTCTACAGTCACAGTTGTTTGGGGAACTTTGCCTTCTTCCTCTACAGTCACTATCTCTGTCTTCTCTTGCTTGCCGTCCTTTTGCTTTTTGATTACTCTTCTCTTTATAACTTTTTTCTTCCTTCTTCCTTCTGGCGTTATTACCTCTTCCACTTTTACTTCCTCGGGAAGCTCCTCTACTTCGTAAGTCGGCATACTGTATTCGAATTCCTCAGGTTTCTGGATCTCCTCTACGGTCACTGTCATCTCTGGTTGCTTTCCTTCTTCTTCTACCGTGACGATTTCCGTTTTTTCCTGTTTGTCTCCTTTTTGCTTCTTAATCACACGTTTCTTCACGATTCTCTTTTTCTTGGAGCCTGTCTTGGTAATGTATTCTTCTTCTTCTACTACTTCTGGCAATTCTACTATAGAATATGTTGGCTTCGGATATTCGATTTCGTCAGCCTTTTCCACAGTCACAGTTGTTTGGGGAACTTTGCCCTCTTCCTCTACAGTCACTATCTCTGTCTTCTCTTGCTTGCCGTCCTTTTGTTTTTTGATTACTCTTCTCTTTATAACTTTTTTCTTCATTCTTCCCTCTGGCGTTATTACCTCTTCCACTTTTACTTCCTCGGGAAGCTCCTCTACTTCGAAAGTGGGCATATTGTATTCTAATTCCTCAGGTTTCTGGATCTCCTCTACGGTCACTGTCGTTTCTGGTTGCTTTCCTTCTTCTTCTACCGTGACGATTTCCGTTTTTTCCTGTTTGTCTCCCTTTTGCTTCTTAATCACACGTTTCTTCACGATTCTCTTTTTCTTGGAGCCTGTCTTGGTAATGTATTCTTCTTCTTCTACTACTTCTGGCAATTCTACTATAGAATATGTTGGCTTCGGATATTCGATTTCGTCAGCCTTTTCTACAGTCACTGTTGTTTGCGGAGCTTTACCTTCTTCCTCTACAGTCACGATCACAGTCTTTTCTTGTTTACCGTGCTTCTCCTTTTTGATAATCCTCTTCTTTATCACCCTTTTCTTCCTTATACCTTCTGGTGTTGTTATTTCCTCGACATGCACCACTTCAGGCAGTTCTTCTACCTCGTGTAATGCTATGGGGTGTTCGATTTCTTCAGGTTCTTGTACCTCTTGTACAGTCATTATTGTCTCTGGTTGCTTACCCTCCTCCTTGTCAGTCAATATTTCTGTTTGCTCCTGTGTGTCACCTTTTTGTTTCTTTACCACACGTTTCTTAACTACTTTTTTCTTCTTCTCACCTTCTGGTGTTATTAGCTCAGTCACTTCAACCTCTTCTGGAAGTTCCTGAACAGTGTAAGTTGGTTGACTGTATTCTTCTTCTGTTTCCAGTTCTACTTTATCTATTTCCTTTCTTGAAACGCGTTTCTTTATCTTTGTCCTCAGTTTGATCTCAGTTGTTTCTTCTGGAAGCTCTTCAACCAAGCAAGTCTGCTCTTCTTCAGTCTTTGGTCGCTTTTGGTCGTCTTCAATTTCTGATATTTCCACAGTGTGTGTAGTTTGTTTTTCAGGTGTAGACTCGTCAATGAGCTCCTCTATCACCATGTTTCCTCCTTCTTCTTGGTGTTTGCTTTTGACGATGGTCCGCTTTGTTGTAACGCTGGTAGTTTCCTCACTATCAGGTGTCGATTTGAATCTAGTTACGAATTCGTGTATTTCTTCTGTATCAGTGTCCTGTTGGATATCTGTACTATGTTGTTCGGCAACGGTCATCTGTGTGGTGGTTTGTGTTACTATGGCTCGTGTTTGGTGTGCTGGTGTTTCTTCCATTGGGCCTGGAATTGTATCATGTGAATGTCAGAACTTGTTGGTTATTTGATTCAGGTTATGTGTCTTGCGTATGTGTATATTTGTATGTGATGATAAACGTGAGAGACGCTTCTCCTACTTTTATTTTAGCTGAGTCTGTACACACAGTGTGTTCTTAAGGCATGGAAAACATTGTTTATAACAAATAAATATTACGCAAAAACCATCTGCATTACTGTATGCGGACAAGGTACTGTTACTGTAAGTAAAGTTATTTGAAATACTATTTGCTGTAGTAACTAAGCTCTATTTTGATCCAGTTCGATGAAGCATGTAATACTGACGCCAATATGTCTCTGTGCAGTTGTGTAATTCCAGTGACAAACGTCAAAGAAGAAGAAGAAATGATAATTCAGATAGCTAAGGTTGACTTTGTGGAAGATATTTTCTATACATTGAAAAACCAACTACAAGTGAAATGAGTAGAATTTTTAGCTATGATTTTAAATGTTTATTTTAGACTTTGGAGTGAAATTTATGATATTCAGTTCCAATATTCAAATAGCAGTGCTTTGGTCTTTGCGAAATATCACTATTTACTGAAATAATGCAATTCCATACTTTAAGTACATACTGCATCTTCCAAAGTAGTATTCATTGTAAATATCTGTGGATAGAAAATAGTGAAACAAGGAACGATCAAGTAAAAGTTTGTCATAAAGAAAATAATGGGAATGAGAATTTTCATTACCTAACGAATATTCTAGGAGATATTATAAATACTACGGAAATACGGCAAGAACCCAAATAAATCTAGGGACATCAAAATGTAAAATGTTTTTAGGTCATAGTATTTTCTTCTAATGTATGTTGAAACTATGTTATTTTGATTCGAGAATCTCCGTGTTTACGGTACCTTTTTTCAAGTGCAACATGTTGTTATCTGAAATATCCATCCAAGGTTTCTCTATTTTTGTCCACCAGGTCTTCTACAATAAACTGTACCGAAAGACAGACATCGCATTTGAATAGACGGTACTGTATAACCTTGATCAACTTACCTTCGGCCTCATGTGACACTACTTCGCTAATTTGCAAGCTGGGTGTGATTTCGCCCAGTACCACTTTTCCAGTTTTGGTAACTGGTTTATCTTCTTTCAAGAGTGCTAGAGAGCCCGTTGACTCTTGCTCAGTGACTATCAGGCTTTGATGAGGAGTGCTACTATATTCTGGTTTGATTTTATTAATTAGAAGTTTCTCTGGTGCGAAAACATCGAGAGTATCTAGCGTGGTGATTTCTTCATTAACCACTGTTGGTCTTTTCTCCACTTCTTTTTGAGCAGATGTTTCGCTAGCTGCTGCTTCTACTACATGATCGCCTGTTTGACCTTGAACTTCGACTTCAGTTACCGTTAAGCTCTCGTGCGTGCTGAGTTTGACTGTTGCTGTTTTCCCAGACGGAGTTTCAAATTGCACGTCTTTAGCGTCACCTTGGACGATAACGTCAGTTGCAATAATGCTTTCGAATGAATCCTTTTGTGATGTGGCTTTATGGAAAAGCTCCATTTTCCTTGCTTTGAAGTCTGGTGCTGTTTCCTCTGTTCTCACATCTTGTTCTTGGACGGTTTTGTATTCTGTGAACGATTGAGTGGCGGTTCCAGTTTGCGGCCTCTCTTGGGTAAGAGTTTCTTCTGTTGTACTTGCCAATACTTCGCTTATCGAGGCTATTGAGCCTGGGGCTTCCAATGTTACATCAGCAGACGTTTTGTCTGGCTTTACCTTCTCACTCAGCAGTGTTTCCTTTTCAGTTGTCACTGTTTCAGTAATGCTAACAGATTTATGAGGTATATTCTCAGAAGTAGCTTTTGTGAGATCTGGAGTTTCCCTTTTGAGCTCAATGATGTCTTGATCGGTTGTGGTTTCTGTTATCTCAGCCACTGTTTGTGGTATGACTGATGTTTCAGCAGTAGATGTTTTGACTTCTTCTGGTTTGATAAACATCGATTCTCGCTCAGACGTGACTGTTTCAGTGATGTTCACATGTTCTTCGGGAAGAAGCATGACGTCAACCGTTTTTCTTTCCACTGGAGCTCTTACAAATGGGGCTTCGCTTTCTTGGATATCTCTCTCTGAGACAACCACACTGTCATGACTCGTCTGTGTAACACTAGCTTGTTCAGAGGTAGGTACTTCCGTTTTTAGATTGTCAAAACTATCTTGAGAAACCACCATGGACTGACCCAGAGGCACGTTCGGTATAAATTCAGCAGTAGATGTTTCTTCTTTTGGCTTTACTGACTGCAATGTGTCCTCCTTTTGCTGAATAGTTACCTCCGAAACGTGCAGTGATGACATTTGATCGAATATGGTTTCAGCCTTTTTGGTTTCAACTGGTGCTTTCAGATCAAGCTCCTTCTCTGTTTCGTGTACAATGTTTTCAGACTTCTCCACGAGCTCAAGAGCATCGGGTGCCTTGACCTGAGCTTTAACATCATCCCCCTTGTCAACTTGCAGTGTAGTAACATCTTCTGTGACTAAAACTTGAGAAGTTTGTATAGCTTTGGTGGCATCCAGTTGAGGTGATGCAGTTTCTGTTTTGCTTGGTGTTTCTTTGAATTCTTCTGGTCTTGCCTCCGTGTAAGTTTCACTAACATTCAGGCTAGAGAGTATATCGTATTTTGCTTCCGCTATCAAAGTTTGAGGCTTAGCATCCTTGTCGAATAGTTTTGTATCTTCTACCACTACCTGTACGGTCTGTGTGATAGATTCCAAAGTATCATGTTCTGATACAGCTGATGCAGCTTTACTTTTTTCTATCTCTAGTTCTGATACATTTGCGCTAGTCAACACTTCTGTTGTTTGTGAACTGATATTTGGAGAAATTATAACTTCGGCTGAAGTGGTTTGCGGGTTCTTATCAGCAACGAATCCTGATTCTATTTCAGCAGGAATTATTTCAGTAGTGCATACAACCGTGCTGACTTCTATCTCAGTTTCTGCGGTTTTTGCTGTGAGATCCAAAGTTTGTTTGAATTCACCTTCCTTTTCTTGTACGTCAGGTTGTGTAGCTACAAGCTCATGTAATGGACTGTGCGTTACGTCAGCGGTGGTTGTATCCATCGAGAAAGGTACTCTGTCCTTGAGAGTATCCTGTAAAATGACTTCAGTTTGGGATGGAATCGTCATTACGTCAATATCAGTAACAGCAGTGACTTGTTGTGGAGCTTGTTGTTCTTTGACGTCTCCTTCCTTGTCTTGGAATTGGACTTCTGTGACTTGAATTTCTTGCTTAGATCCTTCAAGCGCAAGGTCTGCATGACCTGTCATTGGTTCAAACTTGTCTTCAAACATTGCTTCACGTTCTTGCGATATATTTTCTGTGACTGTCAAGCCGATCAACGCATCTTCAGTCTTCTCTGCTTTGTAACTTTCTGGTTGTAAAGTCTTACAGGTCTCTACTCTTTCAGATGTTTCGGTTATGTTCGACTCTGCTACTTTACCTGTAATATCAAGTGCTGTTGTTGCTGTTTGACTGTCTGGGAGTTTAAATTCATCCAGTGAAATTTCTTTATGCGCCAGCACTGCTTCAGTGGTAGTTATACCTTCAACAGGCTCTATGCCTAGCAAAGCGCTTATTTGAGTCTGTTTAACAGCTTCTGGTAGATCTATTTCCCTGTCTACAAGTACTTGTTGGGTTATTACTGCAGAGTCGAATGGCACTGCAGATTTTTCTGCACTCTGCTCGGTAGGCTTAGAGATATCTAGAGGAGAAATCGCGAAACTGACTAATGATTCCATCTGTGAAGCAACATTCTTGGTATCTGTGAGTGACGTTTCTGCAAAAGCTTTCTCTGATGGTTTATCCGTGAATTGCTTTTCAGCTTCGTGAGTCAAGACAGATTCTACAATAACACTTTCATTATCATTGAATGAAACTGTGACGCTCTTATGATCAGGTTTTTCCTCTGCTGGTCTGGTAATTCCTATTTCTGATATAAGGGTTTCTTGTTGCAGAGGTGCTGAAAGAGGGGTAATCTCTAGATTGGCCGACTCTTCACATGGTTTTTCTAATTCTATTTGTTGTATGTTGTCAGAAAACTTGACTTCTGTTTGAACACTCGTTCCTAATGCCTCAATTTCTATTGTAGCTAGCTTATCTGAAGGTATCTCCATTGCACTTAAAGGTGCCCCAGTTTCACTACTCGTGACTTGAGTAACCGTAACGCCTTGGTCTTCAATGATGTCAGTAGAAGCTGTATGTTTTTCGACACCATGTTCTTCGAAATACTTTTCGCTTTCTTGTACGAAAGGCTTAGATTGAAGAGAAGTTTCTATGACCGTGTGATCTACTTGGGCATGTGCTTCAAATGGTGACTCTTTGGATACGTCTCTTGTCGTGTCTTGTATATAAGTTACAATAGTTTCTGCGACTGGTTGAGCAATATAGTCTGGAAGAGCAGTTTTGGCCTCCACTATGTCCTGTTTTTCATAGAGGGTTTCACTCTCCGATGCCACTGTTTGTGTTACCTCAATTGAGGTAATGTTCTCGAATTCAATACCAGCTTTCTGACTAGCAGGCTGTTCTGAATCATGCAATGTTATTTCAGACTCTCCTACCACTGCTTCTGTTTGAATGACTCCTTGAAGTTCAGATTGACTGGCTATTGCTAGTGCTTCGACTGGAGCTACTTCATGATGGGCTGACAGTATATCTTGTACAATAGTTTCCTGTACTTGAAGGTTCTCTTGAGGTATCAAGCTACTCTCTGCTGTCTTACTCTCTGGTTTGTCACTTGTCAAGTCTTGTTCTTTAACAGCTGCTGTAACGGTTGTGACTGATATACCTGTAGCTTCCGTATATTCGCTCTGTGCAACCTTCTCAGTAGGCTTAACTTCTGATAGTTTATCTTCACTTTCGAATACTGTTGATTGTGAAGATATTACGTTTTCTATCGGAATGTATTCTGGTGCAGCATTTTGTGTGCTGAATTCCAACTTCTCGTATTCTCCTACTGAGTGATCTGCAGAAACTTCTTCAGTGACTGCTGACGTTTGTGGTAGTATAGATGTAGTACCGGTTACCATTTCAGGAAGTACCATTCCAGGAAGGGTACTTTCCTTATCATCCACAGTGACTTCAGTGACACTAACGCCTTCAGTAGACGTGAAGCATACACCCGCCTGTTTTTGATCTGGTTTAACGTCTTCTGGTTTATCAGATTCTGTTTCACACAAAGTGAACTCCAGTTGTTGGAGAGGCAGCGATACATCTTGCTGAGCATGAGCCGTCTGCTTTTCAGGAGACTCTCTCTTCAAATCTCCTGTCAACGCATTAGCTACTGTCTGCTCTTGTAATGCAACTTGTTGTTCATCGATGTTGATACTAGCTAGTGTCGACTCTACTTCCGGTATGTCTAACTTCGCTTCTTTATCATCGGTTACTGTTTCGGTTATTGATAAAGCTTGACCAGGCAATATATCTATATGTGCCTGTTTTGAGTAAGGTAAGACATCAGGAGCTAAGTTCTTTTCTACTTCAACCACATTTGTCTCAGTAATCTCTAATTCTGTAAACGGTCTAGAATACTTGAAAGCTCTTCCGGTTTGTGGCGCTTCTTCTTCAAGATTATCAGCATGCACGACTGTTTCAATCTCTGACTTTACAATCACTTCTTGAGTTGTTAAATCGAACGTAGCTGATGCTTCATTTGGCTTTGGCTGTTCTTCATATAGCTCTTCTTTCTCACTAGTAATTACTTGTGAGACATTCGGACCAGTTAAGCTATCTTCTAATTCGAGGGCTGCTATCTTCATCTCTGGTTTGACCTCTAGATGTTCAGTTTCTTTTTCTGCAATGATTTGTTGTGTGACTTCGATAGTTTCTAGAGCATCTTGCTCAGAAACAGCAGTAGCTTCTGACGGCTTAGTTACTTCTAGATTTTCTGGAGCGTAACTACTCTCTGTAAAACTTTTACATGCTACTGTCTGAGACAATATATCCAAGGTCGCTTGCTTCCCAGGAGCTAGTTCTTCAGGAATGTAGGGTTTCCCAGTATCATCTAGTACTACTTCGGTGACATTGATAGCCTCTTGAGGAGGAAATACTGAAGTAGCTTGTTTGTTCTCCGCCACTTGTTGGTCAATACTTGTAAAACCTTCTCCAGGTACTGTTTCAGATGTCACAACTTCACTTTCTATCCTGTGCATAACGCTGGCTATGCCTTCTTCAACTTTTTCTTGTTTCAAATAATCTGTGCTAAGTGCAGCCAGCGTTTCTTCAACCATGCTAGTAGGTAACATAGTTTCATTTACAGATTTGCCTTTTTGGGATTCTGGTAACTCGAAGCTCTGTAAACTCTTTTCCTTCTCCAATATTTGGGATTGTTCAATCTCTATTTGTTCTTGAGGCTTTGTCAGTACGCTTTCAACGTTTTTAAATTCTGGCTGAACCTCTTCGTACATGGTTTCCGATTCTCCAGCCTGTGTCTCTGTGACTGTCGCCGCTTCTTGTGTCTCTAAGCTTGGTGATGCAGTATCTGTCACCATCGTAGGGTAGTCCTTAAATTGCTCTGGAATGTCGCCTGTCTGTACCTGCTCCACAGTTATAGACTCCTTTGGAGAGTAACTGGATTCAGCCAAAACCTTGGTAGGCACTGCACCTGGTTGCAAAATCTCTACGGAATCTTGTACAGTAACCTGTGACTGGCTTGTGGTTTGAAGGCATGTTATGTCAGCCTCAGCACTTTTCATCTCAGTTGGTACTTTCTCGTAAACGCCTTCTGATTCTGAGATCAGCGTCGTCTGAGAGACGATAGACTCCTTTGGTAGGAAGTCCACCTGAGCTGTTTGTTTTTCAACATCCTCAGCTTTGACCTCTGTTTGTGGCTGTTGAGTATCAGTAACCGATACAGTTACTCCTTCGGACAGAACAAAATCAGTCTCTGCAGTTACAGATACTATTTGAGGAGCTGATTCGAATTTCTCTTCCTTTTCTGAAGTGGTAGTCTCAGATACAATAACTCCTTCTCCAGTTAAGATTCTTACATCTGCGGATTGGGAAGGAGGCAGTCTTCCAGGTATAAATTCCCCTTCTAGTTCAGGAGCTACAGTCTGTTGCTGGTTGACTGATTTTTGAGGTATGACAGCTTTAGTCGCCACTTCAGTTGGAACAAATGCCTCGGGTAAATATTTTCCTGGTTTGATGTTAGGCAGTATCTCTTCTACTGTGAGTGGCTCCTTTGATTCAAATTTCACTTTCGACTTATGAGCAACAGGTGCTGGTGTTTCTAAGTTTTCTTCTGAGAAGCCTTGATACACTTCTTCAACATTGACACTCTCTTTTGTTGTGAACGAACCTGTAGCAGTAACGCCTTTAGCTGAAGTAAACTCATCAAGATGTTGCTCTTTGTCTGATGCTTGTACTTGTGTTATGTGCTTCGCTTCTTGAGGAATTAATAATACAGATGCTGAGTCAGTAACTTGAGTTTCTTTTGGAAGATCTGAAGGGAAGCTTCCAGATGTAACTTCTTCGACAATAATTCCTTCTTGAGGGACATACTCCTCTGAAGCTGTCATAGAGGTGACTTTGAATTCACCTTCGAAATACTTGGGAACATCGTGAACGGTAGGTTGTGAAGTTTGGTATGCTTCAATGGTATCAAATGTTTTATCAGCTTCAGCGGTAGTAGGTCTCACGCTGTCACTCGTGGTTTCTTTCTCCTCAGCTTGTGTTTGAGATTCCAAAATAGCTGTGTGTGGGATAACGCCCACATCTGCTCTTCCTTCTTCTGATGTCTTATGCATATGAGTTACTTCTGCTGTGGAAATTGCTTCAGAATATGAACCACCCATACTTATCGTAAGAGGTTTTGTTGAAGTGACGTCTGGAGAAATAAACTCCTCCTCTCTCATTGATACCTGTGTTTCAGATACAGATTTCGCCTCCTGTGGAAAAACTGAAAGGATAGCCTTGTTTTCTATCGCTTGTTGTTCTTGAAACTCACTAGGTGTGTCGCCCAAAGTTATTTCTTGGATTGTAATGCTTTCTCGTGATTCAAAGACTTTTGTGGCGCTAGATGCAGTGGGTTTGAAGGTTGTGTCAAACTTCCCTGGTATATCATGTACCTGTTGCTCTGAAATTTGGACAGCATCTAGCTTATCAAGAGTAGGGGTTGCTGTAGCAGTTGTAAATTGTATTTTTTCTCGAGAAATTCCAGTTTCATGCGTTTGTTGATGCTCTGCTATCAGCGCGGTATGTGGAAGAACTTCCATGGTAGCCTTTACCTTTTCTGATTCTTGGTCTATCTGGACTACCTCTCCTGTACATAGAGCTTCAGAAATGGTAGTAGGAGTTAATACAGGCATACCTTTCTGTGTAGATAGTTCGAATGGTTTGATGTCTTCAACATCTTCCTCGTCTATTTCGTACTCACCAGTTTTTGGTCTCCTTGCAGTTAGTTGCTTTTTGCGAATGACTTCTTCTTCCTCCTCTTCTACAATTTCTATTTCCTCCTTCTCTTTTATACGTTTGTCTTTTTGTTTTCTTTCAGGCTTTTTCTTCTTTGTCACTCCTTCAGTTTCCTCAACTATTTCCTCAATTTCTACTTCTTGCTTCTCTTTCGTTAATTTTTCCTCTTTCTTTATGACCTCCTCCTCTACGATCTCCTTGATGTCTACTTCCTCTTTATCATTCCTTCGTTTTTTTACCAGTTTCTTCTTTTCTATTTCCTCCACAGTATAAGTTGGTTTGGGATATGTTAATTCGTCAGGTTTGAATGTTTGAACGGTTACGCTTGTTTGAGGAACTTTTCCCTCCTCTTCCACTGTGATGATTTCAGTATTTTCTTCTCCGCCATCTTTCCGTTTTCTGATGACCCTTTTCTTTATTATCTTTTTTTTCTTTTGACCTTCAGATGTTACAATCTCTTCTACTTTCACCTCTTCAGGAAGCTCTTCCACTTCGTAAACTGGCATTGGGTATTCAATTTCTTCAGGTTTGAACATTTCTTGTACTGTCACAGTCACTACAGGTTGTCTATCTTCTTCTTCCACAGTGACTATTTCAGTTTTTTCTTGTTTGTCACCTACTTGCTTTTTAATAACCCGCTTTTTCACGACTCTCTTCTTCTTAGCACCCCACCTGGTTACGACTTCCTCTTCTTTGACTTCTTCAGGTAACTCCACTATAGAGTACATTGGTTTAGGATATTCTATTTCATCGGCTTTATACACAGTCACTGTTGTTTGAGGCATCTTGCCTTCTTCTACCACAGTCACAATTTCAGTTTTTTCTTCTCTTCCATCTTTTTTCTTCTTTATAACCCGTTTCTTTACAACTTGTCTCTTTTTCTTGCCCTCAGGTGTTACAACTTCCTCAATCTTTACTTCTTCTGGAAGTTCCTCTACTTGGTATACAGGCATTGGATACTCTATTTCTTCGGGCTGGAATATCTCCTGAACAGTTACGGTTGTCTCTGGTTTCTTACCTTCCTCTTCTATGGTCACTATTTCCGTCTTTTCTTGCTTGTCACCTTCTTGTTTTTTGATGACTCTCTTCTTAACGACCCTCTTCTTTTTAGCACCCCATCTTGTCACTACTTCCTCCTCCTTTACTTCTTCTGGTAGCTCTACTATGGAGTACGTTGGCTTAGGATATTCTATTTCATCGGCTTTATACACAGTCACTGTTGTTTGAGGCATCTTGCCTTCTTCTTCCACAGTCACAATTTCAGTTTTTTCTTCTCTTCCATCTTTTTTCTTCTTTATAACCCGTTTCTTTACAACTTGTCTCTTTTTCTTGCCCTCAGGTGTTACAACTTCCTCAATCTTTACTTCTTCTGGAAGTTCCTCTACTTGGTATACCGGCATTGCATACTCTATTTCTTCGGGCTGGAATATCTCCTGAACAGTTACGGTTGTCTCTGGTTTCTTACCTTCCTCTTCTATGGTCACTATTTCAGTCTTTTCTTGCTTGTCACCTTCTTGTTTTTTGATGACTCTCTTCTTAACGACCCTCTTCTTTTTAGCACCCCATCTTGTCACTACTTCCTCCTCCTTTACTTCTTCTGGTAGCTCTACTATGGAGTACGTTGGCTTAGGATATTCTATTTCATCGGCTTTATACACAGTCACTGTTGTTTGAGGCATCTTGCCTTCTTCTTCCACAGTCACAATTTCAGTTTTTTCTTCTCTTCCATCTTTTTTCTTCTTTATAACCCGTTTCTTTACAACTTGTCTCTTTTTCTTGCCCTCAGGTGTTACAACTTCCTCAATCTTTACTTCTTCTGGAAGTTCCTCTACTTGGTATACCGGCATTGCATACTCTATTTCTTCGGGCTGGAATATCTCCTGAACAGTTACGGTTGTCTCTGGTTTCTTACCTTCCTCTTCTATGGTCACTATTTCAGTCTTTTCTTGCTTGTCACCTTCTTGTTTTTTGATGACTCTCTTCTTAACGACCCTCTTCTTTTTAGCACCCCATCTTGTCACTACTTCCTCCTCCTTTACTTCTTCTGGTAGCTCTACTATGGAGTACGTTGGCTTAGGATATTCTATTTCATCGGCTTTATATACAGTAACTGTTGTTTGAGGCATCTTGCCTTCTTCTTCTACAGTCACAATTTCAGTTTTTTCTTCTCCTCCATCCTTTTTCTTCTTTATAACTCGTTTCTTTACAACTAGTTTCTTTTTCTTACCCTCAGGTGTTACAACTTCCTCAATCTTTACTTCCTCTGGAAGTTCCTCTACTTGGTATACAGGCATTGGATACTCTATTTCTTCAGGTTGGAATATCTCCTGAACAATTACTGTTGTCTGTGGCCTCTTACCTTCCTCTTCTATGGTCACTATTTCTGTATTTTCTTGCTTGTCACCTTCTTGTTTTTTGATGACCCTCTTCTTTACGATCCTCTTCTTTTTGGCACCCCATCTTGTCACTACTTCCTCTTCCTTTACTTCTTCTGGCAATTCTACTACGGAGTAGGTTGGCTTAGGGTATTCTATTTCATCAGCTTTATATATAGACACTGTTGTTTGAGGCTTCTTTCCTTCTTCTTCAACAGTCACTATTTCGGTTTTTTCTTCTCTTCCATCCTTTTTCTTTTTGATGACACGCTTGGTTATTACTTGTTTCTTCTTTTTACCCTCGGATGTCAAAATTTCTTCAACCTTCACTTCTCGTGGAAGTTCTTCTACTTGGTATACGGGAATTGGATACAATATTTCTTCAGGTTGGAATATTTCTTGTATGGTTACTGTTGTTTCTGGCTTCTTACCCTCTTCCTCTACGGTAACTATTTCTGTTCTTTCTTGCTTATCACCTTCTTGCTTTTTAATAACTCTCTTTTTGACAACCCTCTTCCTTTTAGTACCCCATCTTGTTACTACTTCTTCTTCTTTAACTTCTTCAGGTAATTCAACTATGCTGTAAGTTGGTTTAGGGTATTTTATCTCATCGGCCGTATAAACAACAACTGATGTTTGAGGTATTTTTCCCTCCTCCTCTATAGTGACTATCTCTGTTTTTTCCTCTTTTCCACCCTTTTGCGTTTTGATTACCTTCTTCTTCACTACTCGTTTTTTCTTTGTACCTTCTGGCGTCGTCATCTCTTCTACTTTTACTTCCTCTGGAAGCATCTCAACCTCATAGACAGGCATAGTGTACTCAATTTCTTCAGGTTTGTATATCTCCTGAACAACAACTGTCGTTTCTGGTTTTTTGCCTTCTTCCTCGACGGTAACTATTTCAGTTTTCTCCTGCTTATCACCCTCTTGTTTCTTGATTACTCTCTTCGTCAAAATTCTTTTCTTTTTCGCACCAGTTTTGGTTACAATTTCCTCTACTCTGACCTCCTCAGGCAGTTCAATAACTTTGTAAGTTGGTTTCGGATATTCTATTTCTCCGGCAATAGACTCTGTAATCACTTTGTCAACGGGCAACTCGGGTACTTCTGTAATTTCCGTTATTTGAACGGAATGAAGTTTTGTAGCTTGCTTCTCTCCTTGGATCTTACGTTCAGTTTCTTCCTCAACGTCAATGGTTTCTGTGGAAGTGTATGTATGATAGTTTTGTGTGATGTATACATCATAAAAATTGTTTGTAAATAGGCTCAACTAGAAGACTAAAAGTTTGCGTAAGCCTGAAAATTGTGTTTTCAGTAGGTAAAGAAGCGCTAAGATTCATAGTTTGTGAGTAGGATGTAAGTGTGAGCAATAGTGATAGAGTATGTATGACATGTATTAGATAGTTGAGTCGATAAGTGAAAATAGTAAATAAAATTAAATAAAAACTATAACTCACCTTGAAAGCTTAGAGCGTAAGCCATGCTTGCTGGGAGACACTGATTCGTGAGTGAAGACAGTTAAAGCGTAAGAAGCGTTTTCGCTGCGACTTGTTAAAATTGCGATAACCGGCAGTAGGTATAAAAAATATTCAAAAAGATTGACAATTTTTATAGAAATATAAACTAAAAAAGCAAAAAATTATTTGCATCGAAACAATCCAAATGGAATACTTTAAAAGTTTGTATCAAGCTTCATAGTTATCGAACTCTTTGTAAACCACGCCGTTAATATTCCTATAAAAATGATATTGTCGAAAATTGTATATATGTATATGAAAAAAAAAAATAGAAATGAATCCCAACTCCACAACCATATATTTTTTAGGTGTTTATTTCAATTCAAAGCTGCATTTGGGTGCAATGACGCGTTTGAACATTTGACTTGACGTCGGAAGTACAGTGAACAGATGTAGTTTTTTGGTTGGGGAGTGAGATTTTGTATAAAAAAATGTTCATATTGAAAAAATAAGGGATATTACTCAGGACATCAAAATTAATAAATCTTGTGGATCAACATGCCATATTAATTTTCGGGATTGAAAAAATATGTATTCACAATGAATTTCGGACAAATACAAATGGGTTTGGCTTTTAAATGATCCAAGGGTAGTCTTAAATCGAAGTTACTCAACGCTTGATAATTCTTAATTTGACTAGACGATGGAAGCTCTTTTTTTATTGTATTTTAAATATTACTTTTCCTCATAATGGTCATTCAATGCGTTTTTTGTAGTTGTTCAACTATCACTACATTTCTTTTATTCAATCTTTGCTTGATGGTCATACTAATGTTTATTATTCAACTGCTGAATGCTTAGCTATAAGTCCTTTATTAAAGTCTTTTTTTGCTTTCGGTGTGTAAATTATTATTCAGCATATTGGCCATTCTTCAATATGTTTGTTGCAGCTTGCACTACATTTCATTCGTTCAATCTTATCTTGATGGCCATCCTATTATTTATTATTAAACTCTTCAACGATTAGCTATGAGTCATCCATTAAAATCTTTTTTTGCTTTAGGTGTAATGCTCTGACAGTAACTTCCATTTAAGTACGGAACATTGTGTGTGAAATAAAATATTTTGTTTTGGGTGAATTACAAACATCCAAAACAAATAACAGATAAAACGTCCACATTCATTATTAGTATAATCACACACCATTTGCTTACCCTCTAAATCTCCTTTCTTTGTGACTTTTTTGGTGATAACTTTTCCAGAATCTACAGAAAACAAAACAAAAATTTAATGCCACAACTTTATTGGATAAATAATTTATTAGGTTTATAAATATGGTATATTTACAGGAAAAACATAATGTATACAAAAATAACAAATATTTACAAAATAATTGTTTGAAATAAGACACAAGCACTACACACAGCGACTTACCCTTGAGGACTTCTACTTTTTCGGTGACCGTCACTGTTTCCGTTACAGTTTTGCTTGTAGTCTGAAATAAGGCAAACAACTTTATGAGTCAACTTCCAGGGTACTAATAGAAGCTTCAACACTTGAACTTTTGTCCAACACAGCTATACTACCTAAAGTATATTTCCAGGGCGATGAGATAACGTCAATAATGTACATTTGAGTATCAATTTTCATATTTTAGAATATTTTTATTGTAAAACCAAAAAAAAATCAAATGAAACACCCAATTTTGAAGTTTTATGACTTGGTTAATGTATAAAGGACGTTAATTTTATAAAATCATAAAATTAGTATAATTCGAAAACGGCTAATTTTCGGACAGTAGTTCCTATAGCAAAATCGACTCAGATTGGCTTGTACTGTCTCCCTCCACCGGCTCGGCATCTATTTTTCCATCACCCTGTATAAACACTGTCAAAATGTGCGGACTGGCCGGCTATACATTGAATCATCTATAACTCCACATTCAATCATCAGAGCGCCTAAGTACGTATGTTATATCAATCCTTTTTACTTGGCAGAATTTATCCGAATATCTCATAAAATATGTGACATATTTAAAAAATTTGGATAGCTTTTCCCTTCCGACGTTTATTCTTTAATTTACAAGCTACTAGTAAAATGCTTCCAAATGAACTATGTACCATACGACCCTCCATTCGATTTCCATGCTCCAATATGGCTTCTGTGCGCCATCTTGGAATTCATAATCGTTTAACGTGAAAATATAGTAGTATTAATGCATCAATTTTATCGAAACGTTCAAATAATACATTTTTGAAATGCATTAATATAGCTCTTATTCACATGTTTTGCCTTAACAATAATTCGATGAGACTTTTTCTGTGAAGCTTGAATGTTAGCAATGCTTTGGTGAAACTCATAACTGTGTACACCTTACAGGTTCTCAAGACTGGCTAAATCAGCGTAAGTAAGTATTGTTTTTGATAATAGTGATATAACCTGCATGATACTTTTAACGAAATGCTCACTCACCTCTGTGACTTCAGTTGATTCCCAAGCACGCTGAATGAAATCTTCAGGTGTAAACTGAGTGATGACTTCCTCGATAGTGACGTAGTTAGCTTCGACCATCTTCATGAAAGCCCTGAATCCGACCGTGGCAGCTAACTTGCTTTCGTCTACCCCAGTTTCTTCAGTTATAACTTCAGAAATTAATGCACCGTGTCCTTTTCTCTCCACAACATTTACCATAGCAGACTGAGCATGTGGTGACTTTAAAGATGGGAATTTGTCTTCTTCGTATAGCACTGTTACTTCCTTGACTGTGATGCCGTTCCTTAGGAGGTAACCAATTTCAGCGATTTCTCTGAGGGGGCTTTCACCAGGTCCAAACTCCTTGGCACGGATGAAGTTCAAAGTACTAGACACTTCTTTCGCCATTTTAAGTTCACCTTGGTGTATGATCTTCTCGCATCTTTCGATGATCTGTTCTAGTTTGATTTCGGTGATGTCGGCAAATTGAGACACGCCTTCTTGAACTGCCGGCTTAGCTTGGAAAGAAGCCGGTATCAACTTCGCAATGTCTTTTATGATTTCTTCAGCTAAGATTTGTTCAGAGTATGTAGGTTCTGCGGGAGATAGCTTCTCCATAGCTTTCTCCAAAGGCACACCTTCCGGCGATTTATCAATTTTCTTAGCAGTTGCAACGGCCTCCGTGCTCAAGGGTTCTAGGATATCTAGTGTAGGTCTCGCCTTAGCTTCTTCCTTTGGCTTCTCTGTGATCTCTTCTGTCGTTTCGATAGGTTGCACCTCAGTTACACGGAGAGGCTTAATCTCCTCTTCAGTAGCACTGGAAAGGCGCTGCTTTCTCTCAAGTCTCTTTTTCTCTAGAGTAACGCGTTCCTTCTTCACCCTTTCTTCTTCTTCTTTGGCCCTCTTGATACGGAGTTCTTTCTTCTTGCTTTCTGGAATTTCCTGCACATATAGCTTCGCCTTGGTTACAGTAGTGCCTAGATCGCTGACAGCTTTGCAGGTGTACTGACCAACGTCGTCATTTGTTACGTCTGTAATTGTAACACTTGTTCTGTTGTCTTCGATCTTTACCTTGACACGCTTCGTGTTGCGGATGATCTTGTCATTTTGATACCATATTACATCTGGAATAAAAAAATGGCGTCAGGTAGTTTGACTCTGCCTTCTCACGCAACGCTGTCATCACTTCATAAAGGATTACGTTTGGCACAAGCTAGTCCCTCTTAGCTAGCTACAAACATGTATAACAAAAAATTAAATGGATTGAGTCAGCCCCAGTCCTAACCCCGTGTAATAACGCTAACGCTAGTTTGTTTCATGCCCTAAGTATCTACCATCGCAGACGGTGCTAAACCACACCAGTCAGCCATGCCATAAGCGCCAATCATGATACTATAACTCCAGAACGAGAACGCAGGCAGATGCGGAATCTGATGCAAGAAGGTTGCCATCGTCCCGACTGTGTATGCCGTCTGTAAACATTTATTTAATCTTTAAGAGCAAATGTACGGAGGAATATGTGTTGTGTAAAATTACGGGGGCTGAAAGCAGCAAGCTAAAAAATAGATACACCCTTTCCCACCCCCTGTCCCTGCAATATCCAAACCCCTATTTTTAATACGTACAAAAAATTTTCTGAAAATGATCAGGAGCCTCTGAAACGGCAAAAACGAAATTTGAGCGATTTTTTTTTCTATTTTGCCCTCAGAAACTAAAAAAGCTTTTACGTCCTTTGCATAGAAGTTATCTCGTCTAAAAAATTCTACAAAGGCCAAGGATTAACGGACAGACAGTCCGGCAGACCAACGGAAATGTGTGGCATGGTTTTTCGTGATGTACATTTTAAATAACATCCAAAAACATAATATTTCATTTTCTATATTTTTCGTGACCACAATACTTCCTCGCCAATAGGCATGGGAAGTAAAAAAAGATCAAGTGAAAAGTTTGTCAAGATGCCAGTACTTGGTTGAAGAAAAAACATAAACGTCAAGATTACGTAAAGTTGTGAATTCCTTCGCTCTTGTGGTAGTATACAGGGTGTAAACGTTATGGTAGTCATTATTGAAATGGGTAATAGGGCGGTCAAAACAAGTCAAAAAGTTCATATGACCGATGGTCCAAAAGTCAATAGATTTTTGTCTAAATGGCTTTATAGTTTACAGCTTTAAGTGCTTTATATCGACACAATCTTACTAATTTTTATAATCTAATCTAAAACGTTTTTAAATTGGGTAATTAACAAATAAATGGCATTAAGTTTTTCTAAGTTAAGCCAAAATTTGTAGTCAGTAAGTAAGTAAGTTTCATTACATTGAGTATTTAAAACACACATGACAACAGCGCGTCGGTCATCATCACTCTTATCGAACCGGCAATCGATCGCAAACGGTAACACTAACCATAGTATGTTGTTTTGTTTTTGTTTGCGTACGTGGTCGTGTTGATTGATTTACAATGTTCTCGAATCAAGAGTTCGCCGACATGTTGTTAGTTTACGGTGAAGCTCGTCAGAATTCAAACCTTGCAGCTCAAATTTTTCGCGACAGATTTCGCCAACGGGTACACCCAGACAGAACGACATTTGTGCAAGTGTACCAAAGACTTCGAGATACAGGAAGTATTCAGCCCACTAATATTCGCACTCGTGAAAGACAAGTTACTGTAGAGCAGGAGGAACAAATTTTAAATATCGTGGAAATCAATGCAGATATCAGCACTCGGGAATTAGGCCGCCGCGTAGGACTATCGCATACCATATTCTATAGAATCCTACGGGAAAATTTGCTTTATCCCAGCATGTACAACGAGTGCAGGCCTTGTTACCAGAAGACTATCCTCGCAGACTAACATTGTGTCAGTGGTTTTTGCACAAAAACATTGAAAATCCGGATTTTTTTAAAAACATTCTAGCGTCGGACGAATGTACTTTTACGCGAGATGGGATATTAAATTCCCATAATACTCACACGTGGGCACAAGAAAATCCTCATACCATCCGTGAAAGTCATTTCCAACAACGTTTTAAAACAAATATTTTGGCGGGTATTCTTGACGATCAGGATACCTTAGCTTTCTAGCCAATAACCTACCAGAACTTCTGGAACAGACCTTATACAACATGCCATTACAACGGAGACAGAATTTGTGGTTTCTTCAGGACGGGGCACCACCGCACATTTTTAGAGGTGTCAATCAGTATTTGAATGAACATTATCCAAATTGCTGGATCGGCGAAATGTTCCTGATCCTCAAAAATGGCCAGCAAGATCTCCTGACCTCAATCCGATAGATTTCTGGTATTGGGGAGAACTTAAAGGGATGGTTTATGGGGTTGGTCCAATAACAACTGAAGCAGAACTTTGCGAATAAATTTTTAATGCAGCTGAAATAGTAAATGGACAACTTTCGAGGACCTAGAGTAAGAAGAAACTGGGTTCGTCGTAATGAAGCTTGTGTGGAAAGTGGAGGACGACATTTTGAACACCTTCTTTGAATACAAAAAAGTGCAGTGTAGGTTTAAAAAGAAAAAAAATGTATCTATCAAAATGGTGTTCCCTATTTATAAGTGTTTTTTTAATACGTTAAATAAACTTTCACACACCAGGTGAAGCGCTGAGACAGTTAGTGGTAAGTCCTCTTTTTGTAATTGTTTTCATTTTGCAAGTACATTATCAAATAATGAAATAATACCTAAGAGCCAAAAATAACACTACCTCCATCTTTATTTACACTGCATTCCGTCATATTTCGCATCTGGCATTGCGGTGTTGTCAGATTTTATTTTACTTAAAAGTCGCTTTTCTCTAAAAAATGCCGTTTTGATCCCCATGTTATATGAAACTTTTTGCTCCTTTTAACCCCCTCTATCACACATTTAAATAATGACTATCATAACGTTTACACCCTGTATATGGTCGTTGACAGCACAATAGAAGCTAAATGAAAATTAAGGAACATTTGTAGGATCTCTAGGAGGTATCTGTATCTGTACATACCTGGTGTTGGTGTTCCAGAGAACATGCATTCAAATTTGACCGTGTCCGCTTCTGTAGTTCGAATGTCCGTGATCTCCTTGACAAACGTTGGGGGGCTCTGGGCAGCTAAAAACGATTATAGATATGATTAATCAGTTATCATTACAATAGCCTTGATTCTTGGGATTGAATACAGATCAAATGTTTCACAACAGTATGCATCATGCTTCGGTGTTGGGACAAAATTTCTTTTCAATTAGTATAGTTGGAAAACATTTTGAATCTTATTGTGTCTTCTAATCGCACAAGCATAACTACATGAACCCAGGGAAACTCATACCCAATTTTGGAAGCAAACAAAAACCTCGGGAGGATACTCTAAAACTTCGTTGTGCCTTTTTTTGTCCTATTTTTAAGGTTTTTCACCGTAACTTATGTTAAACTGTAAATTCTTGGAAAAAATTACCTGTTTGAAACACGGTCACTCCAGGCCATCGTGCAGGATACTCTATCTATTCGTCTACACAAAATGCAAAGACACACATCAAATAATTAGTAGCAACACACAAATGCACCAAAACTTGTCTTTCAGAAGCTAGTTCAAGGTGTACTCACAAATATCGTATGACTGAAATTCTATTAATTTTCATGAGTAACTGATAAAAATGATAGTACTAGAAGAATTGGATCCAAAATCACTTCAAATCCAAAGCTGGGACTTTCCTTTACAGTGTGTATAGGTGAGGCAACAACAAGCAAGTTTTCTTAATATACTGAGTGACAAATAAAGCTAAACACCTACGTATGTTTATACGATTTTAATAATTTTTGGCATATATGTTTAGTGTCCCTTACTAGTAAAATGATTAAATTTTTAGCTTGATTCGTCCGATGACTGCAGAAGCTGGATCAATAATGTGTTGAGGATCCACGATTTTTTATACACTCATTGACATCGTGCTGATAAGGTGGTGGATATCCTGTTGGGGTATCTAAATCCAGGCTACTGCAACTTCATCAGTAAGAGCTGTTAAAGTCTGTGGAGGGTGAGCCTACGACCTATCATGTCCTAGACATGTTCAATTGGAGTTAGGTCACGCGATCGTGGTGGCCAAGGTAAACGGTTGATGCGATGCAGCAACATGGAGTCTGAATTCTTTCTCCACACCAGAGCAAACGGTTTTTAGTACTTGCTGTTCATGGCAAGATGAATCGATATGTAAAAAATTCTTGAATTCTAATAAATATGCGTAGGTGCTTACCATTTTTGTCACTCAGCATAAAACATATACCAAAGCCTTAAGACAACCGAGATGCTGAGTTCCGAAAAACTATAAACAAGCCAATCCGACCCTTCCTCCCTCCCCTCCTACGTCAGAGGATATGATGTTTTGTTGTATTATGACTATGTGGGCCAGTATCCAAATCAGGCACCACGCGGTGCCTAGGTTAACTTAGTTTATAAAAAGCGCAATTTGAAAACCGAAATTGGCACATTTCTTCAACAATAACGTAGCTATCGATTTGATGTTAGTTTACTATGAGCGTGTTGAATAATTATGATGATACTTCGCGAGTGTAAGTAAACAAACTCCGGTTCTTGAATCGAACAGCGATAACTTCAAGCAGTAATTACAAGCAAAATATGTGATAGTACTTGAAATGCCGTACTAAATAAATGGTGAGTATTTTACTTCAATTTATTTTTTACGACTTCGATGCTGGTTTAACTTGAATTAACTTTGTTATTTCAAACGTAGTTCTTTCTGTAAAAGAAAGTCCCAACGTCCATCACATCCTTTATAATCAGGAATCTGAGAAACGAACAAAAATAGATTATAGCTTCGCCCGAATTTTCAAGCTTCAGACCAACTAGCACCTGAAACATCATGAAGAAGAGTTAGTTTACCTTTAGGTCGAGATACATCGTACTCGTAATCATCGGGCATAAACGCGGATGCTAGTCCTTTTCCATTTTCTGCCATGCATTCACTTTCCAATAGAAGAAATTCTTGTAGTTCTTCTTGACTATCAGCGGTATGAAGTTGATAAAATGCGCTAGGATCCAGCTCTCTTGGTTCCAATGGAAACATAGTATTATAGGCTTGATTGTCGGATTGTGCATTGTCACTTTTCGTTCTAGGGAATGTCTGGCATTTATCTGGTAAGTTTCTAACGTTTGACTTGTCAGACGATATTGCATTACAGGAGCTTGACAGCTTAGAGACAGATTCATATTTTCGTCTTTCTGATCCGTTACTATCCCTAAAGCTGCTGCTTCTGGTGGATGGCTCACTTTTCTCTTCAATTGGGGATAGTACGAAAAATGGTTCTGCGACGTATTCTTCTTCGTACTCATCGCAAACCTCCAATCTTCCCTCAGGTTCCGTACATAGTTCGCTAGATTCGCAACTTCTGCTTTGATTGTTGGTATAAGCGGCAGAGTCTATCAATTCCATAACAGAACTCAAAGAGTGTCTGTGTGAGCTCAAATAATCCGATATTGCTGAGTTCACAAAGACATCTTTCATCTGGCGTGATGGCAAGCTACGTACGGAAAGATGTGAAAACGATTCTTCCGTTTTGTCCTTGTTCAATCGGAAAGGTTCACTCTCAGAAGTTCTAGCCTCGTATGCCACAGCACTAGCTGGCTTACCTTCGATGGTCTGGTTGTGTATCGTTGACGTAGACAAAGCTTCTAAGCTATCAGCAGATAAGTCATACGAGCAAGCATGCGTCATTTTTTCAGTCTTATTACCTTTTAAAGCAGCCTCTAGCTCTTCCATGTGAGTTACCCATTCTGGCTTACGGTACTCCTTGGTACCGATAATGCCTGTGAAGGAAAAATGATCCATTAGCATATTTGAAAATGTGTCAAAGATGTTCTAGCTAGAATTGTGCAAAACAAATGCCAGTGAAGCTATATCCTTACAACTACTGAAAAAGGCGGTAAATACAGTGCTTTTAAAAAGCTGAAATTCGGAGTGATGCAGCTGATGCATGAATACTACATCTTAGCGTAAACATGCAGGTCAAAAATTTCAAGATGGCAATTGAGCACAACATTTGAAGTTTTTGAATTACGCGGCAACCGTATACGCGAGGAAGCAGGGAGAGGTCTTGATCGACGCGTTCGGCGTGCGGGTTAAATAGTCACAATGGAACGTTGGACCGGAGCGCAGCATAGTTTTACTATCGAGGCTTACTTTAAGAGTGGTGATTCATACGTAGCTGCCCTTAGGAAATTCGAAAAGTGGATCAAGAGGTTCCTTGAAACAGGCGCTATTCTTAGTCAACCTATTCCTGGCCTCCCAGCTACTGTATCAACCGAAGATAATGTGCGTCGAGTAAGTGATTCGGTCATTGCAAATCCTCGGCGTTCTGTACGGAAGCATTCCGCTGCTGTGGGAATCCCTAGGTCAACACTGCATGGCATAATGAAGAAAAAATGGGTTTTCATCCTTATAATATCCAATCAGTTCATGCTTATAGAGGAAAGCGATTACGAATTACGGAAAACTTGTGCTGAACGGATGTTGAATCTTTTTCCTACGCAGCGCAGACTCGAGAACGATGTTTTCAGTGACAAGGCTCATTTTTACTTAGACCGTTATGTGAACAAGCAAAATTGCAGATATTGGGAACCAACGAAACCAAAAGAGAAACATCAACAGCAGCTCCATAGTCCAAAGGTGGCTGTTTGGTGCGCCATATCATGTAGTGATATTATTGGGCCGTATTTCTTTGAAGATGAAAACGGTCATGCATTGACAGTCAATTCCGAGCGATACAAGGATATACGAGTAATTGACACCTTTTTTTGCTCCTGTTGTAAGAACAGAACGTCGATTTTAAAGAAACGCATGGTTCCAGCCAGAGAATCCATGGACGCGGTGAAAGGTTATCTCGAAGTTTGGAGACATTTACTGGCCTCCTAGGTCACCCGACCTCAGTCCATGCGATTATTTTTTGTGAAGTTATCTAAAGTCAAAAGTGTATTCCAATAATTCATGAACACTGGACGAGGTTAAAGACAACATTTGACGATAAATAAACAACATCACTCCGGAACTCTGTGGGAGAGTGTTTCAGAATTTGATGATATTTAAGAAATAAAACCCGCCGAATCTACGAATATGTTGATAGTAATAAATAATTTCTTTTCACTAAGTTTGCGTTTTTTTCTTAAATCAACGGCCTGTAGTATTTATGAATCAATTATATCACCCGTTTAAAAAAAGTTGTGTGAAACTTTTTGAAAAGCACTGTTTGACAACCACCTGAAGGGTAATATAAATACATTGTAAATCGAGACTTAACGTGAAGATTTCTTCTGAACTTAAAGGGAAAACTAATGACTGATCATAGCTCTTTCTTAGTGCTTTTATGGTAATATTTTTAATGTTTTGCATAAATCTAGCCCAGCATATGTACTCGTATTGGATATCGTTTGAAAATGTTTGTGTCGGGTTGTTCAATGGTGGTTTCAAGGAGAAAGGGGTTTTATATTGACTACCCAGATCAGCTGCACAAGCTGCAAAATAACCAGTAAATTAATTGAAAATTGAAATTTCATATGAGCGTCTCATAGCGTCTCGTCGCTGAAAATAAGATAATCAACTTTATCGCTCAAGGTTACTGATAATGTGTATGTGCTTCTGAAAAGCTTTATTCCAGTGTTCATAGCACATTAACGACGACGAAAAGCTAAGATCTCAGATAAATAGTGAATACACTATATTTACATAACTTACCTTGTGGTGTTTCAACAAGTAAGTGGGTGGTGGTGACAGCCACACCAAGTGGGTTATGTGCTTCATAGACAATGTCTCCTGTGTCGTCTGGATAAGCTTCGGTAATTGTAAGAATCGAAGTTCCGTCTTCCAGGTTCTCAATGATAAACTCGTTGGATGGAATGATTTCTTCGCCATGCTTCAACCACTTGCCTTGTGGCTTGGGTTTACCCACTGCGATTACTTCCAGTCTAAAACATGAATTTTAGTTTACCAACCAAATATAAATACGTCCAGTTGATCAAAAGAATGCCCAAAGTGATTTCACGTAGTGCCTTATGCAATAATACGTATGTTGAGGCATTCAGTAGTGGATCCAGATTTGCTTGACCTTACGCGGAAACATTGTTTGTGCTGGATGTAAAGGCAAGGTTGTTTCCATCTGATCCAATTTATAAGGTGGGATTCAACTAACAATTTTTGCATATATACTGAGTGACAGAAAAGGTAAACACCTACTTATGTGTATCCGATTCTAATAATTTTTGCCATATATGTTCAGTGTCCCTCACTAGTAAAATGATTGAATTTTCAGCATGTTTCGTCAGCTTACTGCAGAAGCTAGTTCAATAATGTGTTGAGGATCCTCGATTTCTTATACAGGGTGTTTCAGTTTATTGTTGCATTACTTTAAGATTCGATAGAACTTTTAAAATTAATGCATAAAGTCTATATAAACATGGGTCGAAGAATGCGTGGCTTCCGAAATACAGGGTGTTTAAATTTACTTTTTAAAATAGTTTTTTTTAAATATTTCGAACAATATTTGATGTATAACAGTGAAAATTGGTATACAAGGGTTTTTTGGTACGACAAAACGAACCATAGTTTTACTGTAGCCGCTAGAGGGCGCTCTCTACTGTACCTGTAGTGTATTAAAATGACAGAAAAATTTTTCTTAGTACAATTTTTTGCTTTTTGAATAAAAAAACTGATTCTTCGCACTTTTCTGCATAAAAAAGCTCTCCTGTGAGTTTTCGTTATAGTTGGCCGTTTTTGAGATATTTCGATTTTTAAGGTTCGATGCATTTTTAATTATTTATGGGAAAATAATATTTTTTTTACATTTTCGATTTGGGCATTACAAGTAATTAAGATGATCGTTTGGATTGTGTTTTTAAACACAGCAATAATTCCTAACTCCAAATAAACACAAAAAAACAGAATATCAATTTGTTTAATTTTCCAATATTATTTTTAACAAATTAAATTAATTATTTACAACTAAAATGCTATTGGATAGTTAGGACAAACATACAAAATCTAAAGTAGTTGTTCGAAATGTAAACCTAATTGTTCAATACACAATTCACATCTACGAATGATCGAACGTGGTATAGCATTATTCAAATAAGGCCTTATTTCATCACATGCATTCCTCATTCTGCCTATTAGCATATCTCTTGTGGTTACGGGAGTCTGGTACACTTTTTCTTTTAGAAATCCCCACACAAAGAAATCTAATGGATTTAGGTCAGGGGATCGTGGAGGCCAGGCGACTGGTCCTCCACGGCCGATCCATCTTTCTGGATAATTTTCGTCCAGCCAGTTTCTAACTATTCTCGAATAATGAGCTGGACAACCATCAAGCTGGAACCAGACCAATCTTCTTAAATCTAACATAACATCATCCCACATATTTGCATGTTCAGCCTTTAAAAATTCCAAGAAGGTCGCAGCATTTAACCTTGCAGGCAAAAGGTATGGTCCGAATAGTCGATTACGGTAGATACCAATCCACACGTTCACACTAAATTCATGCTGAAAATTTCTTTCCCGAACTGCATGCAGATTTGCATGCGACCAAATATGTTCATTATGAAAATTTACCACTCCACGTCTAGTGAAGCATGACTCATCGGTCCATAAAACGTTACTTAAAAACTCCCTATTATTATCAGTTCTATCAAGAATCCACTGACAAAATGTGATTCTTCGTTCTCCGTCCCCTGGCTGTAGTCCTTGCACAGGTTGCAAATGGTAAGGATGTCTATGGTCATTTCTAAGAATACGGTGAACATGGCTTGCTGAAATTCCCAAGGCACCAGAAACTCTCCTAACACTTGTGGTCGGATCTCTATCAAACTCACGCAGAATCATACGGGTAAATCTGCGCTGACTAACATTTATGTTTTGATCCCTTTGGCGATTTCCAAAACCATTTTCAATTATTTGGCGATGCACTCTTACAAATACTGAGCGAGTTGGATGTCGTCTGTTTGGAAATCTTCGTGCGTATTCTCTGGCTGCTTCTGCTGCGTTTCCATTTACAAAGCCATAAACAAAATGAATATCCGCTAACTCTTGATTGGAGAATAAAAATGGCATTTTTATAAAACTTACAAAAAAAAACAGGTAAAAGAAACTAAATTTCGTGCATTCACAATTGCAAAAAAACGTTTCAGGTTTCAACAGACAACAAAACTAACTGTCAACTAATTGACGTTTAACCTTATTCTGCTTTCAATTTCAAAAATATTTGCAAGCACAGCCTACTTCTAGAAATTATCGAGATACTGACTTTTTAACGTTGTTTTATCATAAATAATTAAAAATGCATCGAACCTTAAAAATCGAAATATCTCAAAAACGGCAAACTATAACGAAAATTCACAAGAGAGCTTTTTTATGTTGAAAAGTGCGAAGAATCAGTTTTTTATTCAAAAAACAAAGAATTGCACTAAGAAAAAATTTTCGGTCATTTTAATACACTACAGGTACAGTAGAGAGCGCCCTCTAGCGGCTACAGTAAAACTATGCCCATGGTTCGTTTTGTTGTACCAAAAGACCCTTGTATACCAATTTCATCACTTGTTGTTCATGGCAAGATAAGTCGATATGTCAAAAATTTTTGAATTCTAAAAAATATACGCAGGTGTTCACCTTTTTTGGCACTCAGTATACGTTAAGATGCAGCGATCCAACTGACTGAGATGGAACAGATAGATACGGTAACATAGATGTCTGGATTCACAAAAATGAGACAACAAAAAATATTGCTGAATTGCGTCTTACATATGTCTTGTTGCTACTGTCATTCTATATAATTATTGAAAACAAATTAAATCGACAAATTAAAATGGCGCGATTTCTATTTGTGTCAATTGCAAATATGTAAACCACAAACCTTGTAACATCGCCATCTTTGGTGTGCACTACTTCGGGTAGTTTCTGGATGATTTTAGGAGCAGTCTCTTCAGTATCAGAAATTAAGTCAGTCTCGCTGATTGTCTGGAAAAAATATTATTTATCAGTTGTTCATCACACACTATTACAGAATTAGCGTTGAATTCAGAAGTAGTCAGCTCGACACATTGTATGATTTTTTGTTTTGCTTCAGCAGCTTTGACGGCTAGGGTCATTAGCTACGATTTTTTTAAAATATCAAGAAGTTATGTCCTGGCTCTTTTTGACTACATATAAAAACTGAATACTCCTTTTATACTAAGTGACATATAAATCCGAACACCCAGTTTAAATGGTTTTATTTTAATAAAAGTTGGTGAATGTATTTATCTTACTGTTAATAACAAGTGAAAAAATTTTCAGCCTTATCAGTTGGACATTCCGGTTTTTAAACTGTTTTTTTTTTAATTTACTAACGCTCTAAAAATGAATATTTCAGCCGCAGTAAAGAATCAACGTTGGCGGATTTTGGTTCTTGACATCCTTTACGATCGGTTACGATGCCTTGAGTACGGAGACCTCTACGATTTCGTCAACTTAGTGAGTTTGATAGGGGCCGTATAATGGGACTTCGGGAAGCTGGACTTTCTTTTCGGGCAATTGCAGTTAGAGTGCAAAGAAGTGTAGACACTGTGGTTAGGTGTTGTCAGGCATGGCTTCGAGATGGCCGTGCGCAAAGAGCAAGGGGCACTGGACGCCGCCGTAGAACAACAGACCGTGAAGATCGCCGCCTAAGATTATTGGCCTTAAGGGACCGTTTCTCCACTACCAGGTCCATTGCAAATGAATGGCATGCGAAGTGTTTACCGACGAATGAGAAGTTTTGGCTTGTTTTCATACCGGCCATACTGGGTCCTCCCTTTAACTCGAGAACACCGACGTAATCGCCTTGAGTGGTGCAGACAACGGTCACTCTGGGATCAGGAATGGAACAGTATTGTCTTTAGTGACGAGTCTCGATTTTGTTTAGGCATGCACGATGGTCGTGCCAGGGTTCGAAGGCGACGCGGTGAAAGGAGGAATCCACAGTTTTTTGTTGAAAGACATGTTCATCACACTATTGGAGTTATGCTTTGGGCTGCTATAGCTTATGGTTCCAGGTCACCTTTAATCTTCATCAGAGGTAACATGAACGCGCAGCGTTATATCCACGAAGTTCTAGAACCCCATCTTTTACCCTATCTTGACACCTTGGCAGATCCAACTTTCCAACAAGATAATGCCCAACCACATGTTGCAAGAGTCACAATAGACTTCTTTCAACATAATGATGTCACATTGTTACCATGGCCACCAAGATCTCCCGACTTATCCCCAATTCAGCACGCGTGGGATATGATGGGTAGGAGATTGCTCAATTTGCAACGTCCTCCTCAGACTCTAGAAGCACTTCGAGAGGAGTTGGTGGTTGCCTGGAATAAGATACCACAGGAGGACATTGACCACCTGATCAGAAGCATGCCTAGGCGCGTTGGAGAATGCGTAGCACATCAGGGTGCATCCACACATTATTAAAGGTCAAAGGGCTTTAAAGCAGTGCAATCATTTTGAAATTTTTATCATTTACTTATTATGCTTCATTAAGTACTTATACAAAATTTTATTAAAATAAAACCATTTAAACTGCGTGTTCGGATTTATATGTCACTTAGTATATTTTGCTGATTCCATCGATATGGCTTCCGAAGGTATCTATTGGTATCTTACCTTATCAGCTAGCAGGTCTTCTTCAGAGCCCGTTAAGTGAGCCAGCTCTGAATCAGGTACATATTCATAGGATTCAACAGCAAGAGGTGCGGTACAGGTAGCCTCGCCAACTCTACTGACTGCCTTACAAGTGTATTCTCCAGCATTTTCTGGGAAGACTTCTGCGATCTGCAAGGTACACACGCCCTCTGTGTCTTGGGTGATGACGACGTCCTTAGCTTCCCGCACTGGTATGTCATTATGGTACCATTGTACCTTTGGAATTGGTTTGCCCGTAACTACACAACTGAATTTCACCTAGAAAATAGATAGAGCAATTTGAAAACTACGTTTTAGGGAAAAAAACTTGATAACCGCTTCTTAGAACCATTTACAGTGAAAGCTCCCATAAGCGGATACTCACGGTTCCGTAACTTTTATCCGCTTATGGGAGGTGTCCGTTTAAAAGAGAGTATGTAAGTATAGAGTATAAATAACGGGGTATATAATTATGAGGAAATGAGGTATTATAATCATGAGAAAAATGAAACAGAAACTCGCCACATTTTTAAAGTATGTATTTATGCTATATATCTATATAATATATGTACATATACGCATACAAAAACATAAATGCTTCAATACATGGTACGAGAATTTAAAAAAAACATTATTCTTTAGCTTGTTGAAAAAAGTTTAAAATGTTTGTCTGACGAAATTTCACCATCTTTTGCTGAAGGAGACAATTTTCGTAATAACTTTCTAAATTTTTCAAATGTTGAAATGCAGTGAAATCATCTTTAGCAAATTTTTTCAATATAGAAATATGATTTAGAGCTTCCCCATATGAATTTATCGTTTTTGAACCGCTTAGTGAGTCCACCAGTTCCACTTCTTCTTCTGAGTCGTTTGGACTACCATATTCAAGTTGGCCTGGGCTTTCTACATCCAAATTCGAAAAGTTGCCAATGGCATTTTCTTCTGTTGTTATGTTATTGTCTATGGCCAGGAAATCATCTACTTTCTGGGAATCTGCTACTCCTAAATGTTTGGCATGTCGCAGTAACTGAGCAAGTGTCGCTAAGGGCAGATCGTCTTCAGCATCGCAATAATTTTGCTCAGTAAATTCTGAGCTACATTCACTTTTTCTGAATCCAGCTTTGCCAAAACAGTTTTTAATTGTAGAGGAATTTACTTTATTCCATGCTGTTTTTATAAAATACAAAGCTTCTAACACATTGATAGACTTTGTAAGCTCAGATAAGCTTTGACCATCGTCAATTTTTGTTAAAATATGTTTTAAAATCAAGTGCCGATAATAAAATTTAAAGTTCTGTATGACACCTTGATCCATGGGCTGACAAACAGAAGTTGTGTTTGGCGGTAGAAATATAATTTTCGCATTTTTCATTTTCATATCACGAGGATGAGAGCATGCATTGTCTAAAAATAAAAGAACTTGCCTTTTTTGGATTCTCATTTTCCGGTCGAATTCGACTAACCACTCAGACATGATTTCTCGGGTCATCCATGCCTTTTTGTTGGATTTCCAAGTCGCTGGTAGATCCTTAATAGCAACGTTTTTTAAAGCACGGGGACGAGCCGCTTTCCCGATCACAATCAAATCGCATTTTTCACCGGCCATATTTGCACAGAATAAAATGGTTAGTCTATCTTTAGACAACTTTCCACCCACACATGTTTCTCCTTTAAAGGACAGAGTTTTGTCGGGCAATGCGCGAAAAAAAAGTCCACTCTCATCTGCGTTGTATATGTACACATCTTCTGGTTTGTAGCCAAGCAACATGGACGGAAGTTTCTCCAAAAATTGTGACACATCAACTTGATCTACTGCAGCAGCTTCGCCAGATATGCATTTGAAACTCACACTATGTCTCTTGCGCCACTTTTGCAGCCACCCGTCGGACGCACTGAAATTATTATAGCCCAAAGTAGTGGCGATTTCTTTAGTTTTCATTTTCACTAACGGCCCTGAGATTGCAATGTTCTGACTTCTAGCTTTCACAAACCACTCAAAACATGTTTTGTCTATAGCAAAACCTTCCTTTTTTAAAAAATCCTTCTTTTGATTTATATTAGTTCCTGATTGCCATTTACTCCTGATATCTTCCTTATTTCTGGCAATTTCAGCTGCTTGCGTTTTCCCAATATTAAACCTCTTTGCCAAATGACGAACTGAAACACTTTCTCTGTCTAATACGTTAACAACTTCCATCTTTTCCTTTAACGAGAGCATCCTTTTTTTTGGTGCCATTTTACAGTTACAATAATAAAATACGTAACTCAATCAACTACGAATTTGCCTGAACTGAAGACAAGCCACAAGATTACATACAGGCTACCCAACGAAATGCGTAAATGGGGAATCACTTAATATAAATCGGGGAATTACCGAATTTTATGTATGTAGATATGTGCATTGCAATAAGCGGAACTAAAAAATCGTCCGGGTATTAGAGTTTCGCGTCCGCTTATGGGAGATTTTTTGATCACATACAGGAAAATCTAGTGTCCGCATCCGTTTATAAGAGCGTCCGTTTATCGGAATGCATTTAACATTGAAAATTGATGGCTGAAATTCGGTTCCAGGAACTTTGTCCGGTTAAAAGAGATGTCCGCTTATAGGAGCTGTCCGCAAGGAGAGCTTTCAGTGTACTTCATTTTAGGGCCATATGAGAGCCTAAATTTTTACCTTCGAAATTGAACAGGATGAACGTTTTAATTTTTTTATTGTGAAAACTAGTGTCAAGTTTATTGACTCTATATTTTGTCATGCCTTTATTTAACATCTTTTAATTCCAAAGTAAAGACGTAATCGAGCCCTGGCTAGCTAGGTTCGCTTAAGCACTATAGTTACACCGAAACATTAATTTTCAAAAACGACAACTACTACGTGCTTTTCCATCCTTAGCATAGAAGCCACATTCTGTCAAAATATCATCGAAGCGGTACTTTCCGACTTATAGAGGAGGTGAAGACTAGGGAACAAACAGACAGACCTTACCCTCTTTCTTGGCTAAGTAGCAACCAGGTGTCTCGCCACTACTCGGTATGAATGCATGGAAGGTTCACAAGGACAGCATAAATGATGAAAACATTGCAGTTGCAAAAATGTTCAATCTTCATTAAACAAGTTTTTTGTTGGTTAAAGATATCTGTATCACACAAATACCCTTGTCAATCATTTCCGTTGATTTGTCAGTTTGTGTCTGTCCTATGTAATTTCAGAAATTCCTGCACCAAATATTAATGAAATTTGTGGAGCATTACGTTGTGACGAAGCTAATTTTATTTCACAGGCGGAAGAGTAATGAGCAGAAAACGCTTAGGCAACAAACCATTTAATATCCACGCTTTCGCATGTTCTCCAAATTTCTGCTACTACTGGGCATAATGGAAACATTTCCTATCGGAGTTGATGTTTTGAAAAATAACCAAACTGTTTTTCACCATTTCGCGGGACTTTAATCGATTAAATATTCGAATCTTGTAAATATGTATTAGGAGTCATCAGAAACTAAAACTATATTATAGTTCACATTCGGTACTCGGTACTCAGAAATACGTAGTTGAAAGGGGTTTGAAAATAATTGGATATGAACGTATGAGAAGTACTGAGTCAACCTACTTGACAACGTTTCCTTCCTGTATTACGCTCTTGAGAGTTATTTTCATAACTACGGAAATATGTGAGTAGTATGTAGTAAGTACTAACTTATATCCACCCCTGATACCCCAATACTCCCCGATTATAAACATTTGAGTCAAACTTAGCCCATCAGCCTCACTTTCTCGTTAATCCTACGATTGCAGATAGTATTGGGAATTGTGAGAACATTATTCATTTGTCTATCATTCATTTTCCGCTCTTACCGAGGTCAGAAGCTTCTTAGCGATAGAATGTCATTTACTGGTACCAAACAAACAACATCTACAACCCCTCACCCCTATACTCTTTTCGCACCATAATTTATTACAACTTTCAGAGACAATTATCGCCACAAGGATGCCTTGCTGAGTTACTGCCTGTTTTAGGCAACGAAGCGCCACATCAGTCGACAATTTCCCGTTGGTAAGGAGAATTCAAACGTGGACGGGTGAGTCTTAGCGACGATCCCAGGGTGGGTGCACCCAGGAAAACATCGATGCTGTGCGCAAACTCATCATTGAAGATAGACATGTGACATGTCGCGAGGTTGAGGCATCCTTGAAGATCTCAAAGACCTCAATTCAAAAAATTTTACTTGAAGAATTAGGAGTAAGAAAATTAGTTTATCTCTGCCCCACCTGTTGACTGAAGAGCAGAAAGCAGTCAGGGTTAATTGGTGTCAAAACACGCTTGACCGTTTCAATTCCGGAATCTCAAAAAATGTGTACAGCATTGTTAGTGGTGATGTATCGTGGATTTACTGTTATGAACCAGAAAATAAACGACAGTCGGTTGTTTGGGTGTTCCAAGGTGAAGAAAAGCCAACAAGTCATCTGGCGTACTGGATTTTCTCTATCTATCAGATCACCCCATCTTCACTTACCATTTCTCCGTCCATTACTCGTACAGGTGACATCCTCTTAACGAATCTAGGATATTCGACCTCCTGGGTCTCTTCCCATTCCGTCTCCTCAGTAACGTTGACTGTTGCTGTGCAAGTAACCGAGCCGACAGCATTTTCTGCTCTGCAAGTGATCTGGCCAGCGTATTCTGGCTTTACTTCGCTTATTATCAAGCTGGACTTGTTATCTTCAGTGACAATGCGCATGTCAGGGGTAGATTCTATAGGGGTAGTGTCATGGAACCATTGGAATGTAGCAGCTGGAATGGCTTCGGTGACAGCTTCTAAGATGATCACATCTCCTACAGTTGCTTTCTGAGGTTTGATTGGTTCGATGAACTTGGGTGGTTGAGCTTCAGTCTTTTGTTCGATGATATTGACAGAACCAGAAGAGCGTGCTTCACCTTTCTCATTGACAGCTCTGACTTCGTATTTACCTCCTTTTTGCTTTTTGCTAACCTTTTTCATCACCCTTAAAACAGTCTTTTTGTCATCGGTCTTTATTTCATAGCTCTCGCTAGGTTTGATTTCCACCCCATTCCTTAACCAGGTGATTTCAGGGTGAGGCACTCCCTCAAATTCAGCTTCAAGGACAATATCTTCTTCGTTAGTCGCAGTCATCGCTTGGATTGGCTTGGTGATCTTCGGAGCTCTCATCACCACTGGATGTGTCACCTCCACAGCTTTGGTGATGACTAGGTTAGCGCGACATTCTGCTTTTCCAAACTTATTCATCGCTTCAACTGTGTAGAATGTTTCGTCTGCAGGAGTAGGTTTCAGTAACTCCAAGGTAGCCACTCCAGTTTCTGGATTGAAACTTACTTTTGTAGCGCGGTTAGGTTTTACTTCTGTTTTGTCCTTGAACCATTTGACCAAAGGAGTGGGCTGGCCAGTCACTGTGCAGGTTAAGGTAGCTTTGGATTCTTCTTTCACGATTTGTGGTTTCAGTGGTTGTGTGAAATGTGGCGCAATGCCAGATTCCTCTTTTTCTGAAAAGATAACAAGATCATTAGTTCTCTTCGTGTAAAAAAAACAATATTCATAGACATTAAAAAGATGCAACTGTTTAGCATGATGTAGCGATACTTTAGCATTTTTCTGGAAAACAGAAAATGGTGAGGCTATGCAACTGTTATATATCGTACTCCTTGAAAAAAATTAGAAGCGTATGATTCATAAGATAAGCAGGCTTCACTCGGGTATTTCAATTATAAAATGCGATCTTGAGCTGCCGCAAAATGGCGTTGGCATGATCAAACTTGTCACACAAAGCGAAGTTTCAAACAGCAGCACACGAAAATACCTAAAATGACAAGGTTGGCTGTAGATGTCGCTACTCCAGCGGGATTGGATGCTTTACAAGAGTAGATAGCTACATCCTGAGGCTGAACTTTGTCGAATTCCAAAGTGACAGTATTTTCATCAACGTTGATGAGCATTCTTTCCGTAGCATGAAGAACTTTTTCGTTTTTGTACCATGTAATTTCGGGGAAAGGCGTTCCTTCAACCTTGCAAGTCAGACGTGCTGGCTTGCCAATTTCTGCCACTGTGGGCTCTACTCTCTTGCTAAATCTAGGAGCGATTGTTTTGATTTCTGCTTTTTCGTGAATCATCTTGGTTACAACCGATTTGCGAACAGTCTTTTCTTCTTTGATGTCAACATCTTCGATAAGGCTTTCATCGGGAACCTTATCAGTGACTTCTGTTGTTCTCTTTTGTGATATAATTTCCAACTCAGGTATTGGCTGAGGAGTGTCTTCAAACGATACAGTTTTCTTCTTAGTAAGCGTTACTTTCTTGGAGGCTATCTTGACGTCCATGTCTTTAGTGAGTGGTGTTACTTCTTCATCGGGTACCTTTTCTTCTACCTTCTCTGTCTTCTTAACTTTCTTTCGTTTGTCTACCAATGTAATTTCTTTCTCTGATTTCTCAACGGGCGCAACAGGAGCTTCCTCAACTTCTTCAGCTTTGGTTGGTATGAGTTCTGGCGCTGCGTCTTCAACAGCTGGTTTTTCTTCCTTTGGTTTTCCTCTGCGCCAAGATTTAACTTCAGGCTGTTGTGGGACTTCTTGATCTGCAGGTTGCAGTGGCACTTCTTCCACAGCCGTTGGCTGTAGCTCTACTTCTTCTACATCCTTATCCTTCTTCTTTGTTTTGATTATCGTCTTTTTGCGTTTGATTATCTCTGTCTCAGTGTCTTCTGTTGGTTTGACTTCCAATTGGTCTTCGCGTTCCTTTATATCATATGAAGTAGCAGTTTCACGTTTTACCTCTTCAAACTCCGTAACGAAGGTTGGAACTTCTTCTTTTTCTTTGCGGATTGGCTTCAATTTTATCTCAGGAGTTTCTTCATCAGGCGCAGGTTTTCTTTTTCCTGCAGGCCATACTTTTTCCTCCGGAACTTCCTCCGTAGGTTTCTTTGGCGTTCTTCTCCATGGTGCTCTTTCTTCCGGTACAGGTTGTTCTTCTGTGCGTATTTCTTGAAGTACCGTTTTACCTTCTAGTTGAACAATTTCCAACTCTTTTTCTTCCTCTTTAGGGGTAACTTTGAATTCCGGCTTCTCGTACTCACGTGGCTTATGATCTACATCTGAGATTGGCATTGGCTTAGATACTTCAGGTATTTTGATTTCTGGCCTCTCACCTTTTTTGACTGGCTTGAGCTTGATGTCATCTTTTTCTTCCTTCTCGGTTGGAATCTTACCTTTTCCAATCTTTAGTGGGATTTTTTCCTCCTCAGGTACTTCTTTTTTAGGCTTAGCCTCCCTTCGCCATGGTGCAGGTGCAGCTTCTTCCTTCTCCCTTTGGGGCTTCTCAAATTCTGGTTTTTCGAATATTTCTGGTTCATACTTCTCTGGCTCCTCAATTTCAGGGAGCTCTTCATATTTTTTCGGCTTCTTAACTTTCCTTTTCTCCACAACTTCCTTTTCTGATGCAGCTTCCTCAGGTTTTACATGTTTTAAAGCTGGCTTCTCAAATTCGGATTCATAAGTCTCGGTTTTCTCCTTCTTAGGCGTTGGTTTGAGCTTTACTTCTTTCATTACAGCTTCTTCTATATCTATCCTCCTTGCTGTCTTTGGTCTTGGTACTAACTCTTCAGACACTTTCAGAACAATAGTATCTTCAACCTCTGTTATTGTCTCCACTACCACAGATTCTTTTATAGGTACGTCTTCTTCCTTAGCAATTTCTGGACGAGTATCAACAGTCTCAGTTTCCTTTTCTGGTACTTGTTCTTCATGCACCTTCTTTCTAGGCTTCCTGCGTTTTTTGATTCTCTTAACTTCACCACGCCTTTCTTCTTCCTCTTCTTCTTCTGAAGAAGACAGTTGAACTTTCGGCTGTTCAGGCTTCTTAACGGGCTTAAGCGAAACTTCCTCCAATTTTTCTTTTTCCTGGGGTAGTTTCGTAACTTTTGTTCTCTTTAGCTTTACAGCTTCTTCTGTCCAAGGAACAACCTTTTCTTCTACTTCTTTTCTCACTTCTTCAGTGACTTCTTTCGGTTTTTCTTCAGTGACCTCTGTAGGTTTTACTTCAATTACTTCTGCCAGTTTTTGTTCTGGCGCATCTTTGAGTTCTCCCCATTGCTTAGCTTCTGGCTGCGGTTTATCTTCCTTTACTTCATCTGGTACTTGTTGAAGTACTTCTTCTATCTTCTCTTTCGGCTTCCGCCATGGTCTAACTTCAGGCCTCTCAGGTGCTTTAGGTAATTTTTCCTCCATAGCAACTTCTGTTGGTTTTTCTTCCTTTGGTTTCTTTTTCATTGTTACTACTTCTGGATGGATCTCTTCAAGTTCTAATCCGCTAACTTTTGCCGTAGTCTCTGATGCCTGACCTACAGTCCTTTTTACTGGCTTAAGCAAAACTTCTTCGACTGTTTCCTTTGGAATAGGTTGTGTTTTGGTTTTTGCTTTCTTCAATTTGACTTGTTCTGTCCAAGGTAGATCTTTCTCTTGAACAGGTTGTGTAACTTCCTCAGGAATATGTTCCTTTGGCTTTTCTTCTGATACTTCTTTGGGCTTACGCCAAGGCTTCACTTCTGGTTGCGGCTGAACTTCCTCAGCCACTTTTTCTGGATGACTTTTTTCTATTGCAGCCTTTTCCGTTGGCTTCTCTTCTTCTTTCACTTTTAGTTTTCTCCACTGCTTAGCTTCTGGTTGGGGCTTAATTTCTTCAGCTGGTTTACTAATACTTTCAGCAGTCTCCTTTGGTTTAACCTTTTCAAGTTGTGGTTTAATCTCCTCTATACTCTCTGTATGCTTCCTGAATGGTTTCAGTGTTACTGCTTCTTCTTCTGTCTCTACCTCAGGCTTCTTGACCTTAGGCGCTTTTTTCAGCTCAATTTTTTGTTTATTCCAAGCGATAACTTCCTCAGCAACTGGTACCTCAACCTTCGGTTTTCGCTCTTTTGGCTTAATCATTTCTGCTTCACCTGGCACAACTGTGGGCATCTCTTGTGGCTTAAGTAGCTCTTCTCTTGGTATCATTGGTCGACGCCAATCTTTGGTTTCAATTTTCTCTTTTTCTTCAACACGTTCTTCCTTCTTCGCAGCTAGAGTTATCTGGGTTTCGTCTTCGACTTTTTTGAATGGCTGGGTAACGATCTCTTCTCTTTCTTCGATCTTTTCTGCCTTAGTCTTTTTGACTGTTACTTTTTGTTCACCCCATGGTAAGACCACTTCTTGTGGTTGTACGTCATGAGGCTTTTTCTCACTCACAGCCTCTACAGCTTCAGGTTTCTTTTCTTTAGGCTTACGCCAATCCTTTGTCTCAGGCTGCACCTCCTGCTTGGTACCAGTATCTGTTATAGTTGTCTCTTCCTTGCGATGTTTCAGTTCAACTTCTGGCAATTTTTCTTTTTCTATAACCTTCTGTTCCTTCACAGTTTTCTTCAGAACAACCTTCTGCTCGGTCCATGGCACATGCTCAGTTGGCTGCAATGGCTGTTTAAGCTCTTCATCTGGCTTCAATTCTTTCCTGGGTTTACGCCAGCCTCTTGTTTCAACTTCTTCTTTTGTTTGGACCGCTTCTGTTTCAACTAGTTTCAATAAAGTGGTGTCTTCAATCATCTCTTGGCGCTGAGCACCTTCGACCATCTTATCCGCAGTTATTTGTTTCTTCTTAATAATCTTTGTGTTATCTTGCTCGACTTCGACCGTAGTCTGAGATGGTTGCTTGACCTGCTCCTCTACCGGCATGAGCTCCTTCCTAGGACGACGCCATAGCTTCGGCTGGAGTTCTTCCTTCGACTTGACAACCTCTTTTTCATCTAGTCTAAGGTGTGTAGAGTCTTCAACTACTTGCTGTCTCTGAGTACCTTCTATAACATCTTCTCTGACCTCTTTTCCCTTAGTTAGCTTCGCTTTTTTTGTTAGGTCTTTCTGCGCTTCAGATACTTCCAATACTGAAACTTCTTCGGTCTTGTGCTTAAGACTTACTCCTGGAATCGTTTCTTTGGGTAACTCCTTCTTTTCTACTTTAGTGTGTTTGAGCTTGACGGCTTCTTGGGTCCAAGGTATACTTTCCTCTTTCGGTTTTCGTTGATCTAGTTCTACGGGTTGTCCTTCCACTGGTTTCAAAGAATCATCTTTAGGCATTTCAATAGTCTTGCCTTCGAGTTTTACAGGTTTCAAGCTAACAGATTCTAGTTGCTCTTTTGGAATTTCTTTGACATCCTGAGATGTTTTTCGAAGCTTTACTTTTTCTTGTGTCCAAGGTATCGTATCTGGTTTTTGAGATGGCTTCAACTTTTCCAATTGTTCCTCAGTAAGCTCTTTAACATCAGTGGATGCTTTCCGTAGAACCAGTTTTTCTTCTGTCCATGGGACCGCTTTCGGCTTGTCTGATGGATGCAATCTAGCTAGTTGCTCTTCAGTAAGCTCCTTGACATCAGCAGATGGTTTTCTCAATGTCACTTTTTCTTCTGTCCATGGTGTTGCCTTAGGTTTATCAGCAGGTTGAAGTTTAGCTAACTGCTCTTCACTGAGCGGTTTCACGTCAGCAGATGGCTTTCTCAACATCACCTTTTCTTCTGTCCAGGGTACTGCTTTGGGTTTATCAGTAGGTTGCAGTTTTGCCAACTGCTCTTCAGTGAGTGGTTTCACTTCAGCAGATGGTTTTCTCAGGATCACCTTTTCTTCAGTCCACGGTACAGCTTTAGGTTTGTCGGTAGGCTGAAGTTTGGCTAGCTGCTCTTCAGTAAGCTCTTTAACATCAGCCGATGGCTTCCGCAACATAACTTTTTCTTCTGTCCAAGGCACTGCTTTGGGCTTACCAGCAGGTTGAAGTTTGGCTAACTGCTCTTCAGTTAGCTGTTTAACATCAGCAGACGGTTTCCGTAGAACGACTTTTTCTGCTGTCCATGGCTTCACCTCAGGCTTTTCGATTTCCTTCTGAGGTATTTGAGGTTTTCGCCAATCTTTAGCTTTCAGTTTTTCTTCTTCCGTTTCCATTTGTCTCTTATCTAGAGAAATCAGTGTGATATCTTCCACGTGAGTACGTTTATCAAGATCCTCCTTGGGACCACGTGGTTTTCGCCAATCTCTTCTGTGCAGAGTTTCCTGTTCAGCCTGTTGCACCCGTTCACGTTCATTTATAGATATCATAGTTGTGTCCTCAACGTGTGTACGTCTATCGACATCTTCTTGGGGTCTTCGGAGTTTGCGCCAATCTTTCATCTTCAAGGTATCCTTCTGTGCTTGGTCTATCTGATCTCTTTCTTCAATGGAAATCATTGTGGTGTCTTCAACATGGGCACGTCTATCGATAGCCTCTTTTTCACCTCTCTGTGTCCTCCAACTCTGAGCTGTCAGACGACGAGACTCATCAGTTTCTTCTCTTTCCTCAATACGCAGCATCGCAGAATCGGCTGTGTGAACGAGTTGATCTTTGATGGTAACCTTTTTGTCTATTGTTGTAGCTTTTTGGGTAACGACTTTCCTCCGCCATGGTAAAGTTTCATCTCCAACTGGAAGTTCATTTTCTTCCAATGGTTGTCCTCCTTTTGAACCTGGTGTAGCTCTGAGTGTAGTCTTACCAGGACCTCCTGGACCAGCTGGTCCATATTGCTGCTTAGAGAATTGTGTAATCTCTTCTTTTCCTGTCACTTCAGTCTTTGAGGATTTGCGGAATGTTCCGGGACGACCTAAATTTAATAACTATTATAGAATAAGAAATAAATAGTCCCTGAAATTTAACTATGCAAGTACTGTACCAGATCAAATGTTATATCCAGCTCTGAACGAACGATATGAGAAGAATGAGTATAGTAGTTGATGATGAATCTTTCTTGGAAAGCTTTACAAGAGTTGATGGTTCTATAATTTCGAGGTTTTAAAATGAACCTTACGCGAGAAATCACCGTTATTGACCGCAATGCTTTACTGAGTGACATAAAACAACAAAAAAATAATACCTCATTTTCGGAATTTCTTGCGGTTACAATGCTTCCCGTCAGTGGCGTGGGAAGTAAAAAGAAACATTTACTAATAGCAATACCTCCAAAGATGCTTTGGGATTTCGTTAATGGATGTTTAAGGAGATTTAGGAACTTTGTCAAAATTTTCTGATTGTCATTCGGGATCGAATATGACATATTTCACACCTCTTCAAAGATTAAATCGCTTATATCTCGAAAGCAGTCAACTTGAGAGAAGTTCATGAGAATCTTTTTCGTTTAGAGTGATACAAAATACCTAAAAAAGCTTTATATTAAAAAATAAATTTTTTTGAATCTGTTTGAAAAAATTGTTTCAACAACGTTTTACGCAATTTTGGCCTTGGCAACATGCAGATTCGCTAAAAAGCGCGATTTTGAATAAGATGAAGAAATCCGTTAAATATTTTGCCGAGCGGACGCGAAGTAGACTAAATGTAGAAGTTCAATGTTGAGTTTCATTTCAAACTATCCAAAATTTGGAATTTGCTTATATGGTGAAGGCGTGGGCTTACGAGATTTGGAACATAATGTACAGTTGTTGGCAATAACAGAGTTGATGCATTTAACAACTGAACATTTGGTTGAAAATATTGCTGCCAAAATATTTTTATAAAAAATACTGCTACGTGGGTAACGATGACATATCGTTGAACTGCAGGTATACCTGAAATGTTGCGACTAAAACTACAGGTAGTCACATAGAGTATCTAAAAATATGTTACTATATTCCAAGCGATAAAAATAGAATATCATCTTAAGAGCGGCGTTCAATTGGGTCCTGTATGGACAGTCGCAAGTTCACGTGAAAACCATAGAATAAGCACCAATAAAATGAGCTTGGGTAACAAGACACTAGTGTTCGAGTAAGATTAAGGCATATTTTTTTAAGGATCGTTGCAAGCTAGTCCATACACTGTGGTTTCCACAGAAAAGCTCCCCATACTGATAGTGGCCATGCTTACACTGTAGGCCGCTATCATCAGAGCTATGCTAGCTCATTTACACTTGACATTACGTCTTACTTCGCGATGCCTTCTGACTCGTGTCTGTCTATTACCTACGCATTCCTTAACAGAACCGAAATCATCACGAAGAACAACGTTATAAAATTTATCATTCCAATTTCCTCGGTATGAGTTTTGTTTTGGGGATGCATGGTGGTCGGGCACGAGTCAGGAGCTGTCTCTGAGAAAGACATGAAGTAAAGCTTTTAGTTTGGGGCGCCATCATCGATCAATCAGCTTAACTTTTTTCCAGTAGCTGCCGCTATTGACGAGATGTGTCCGCGCCAGATCAAGTCGTGGGATAAGATGGAAAGAAAAGAGAACTCTTCGACGCGCCCTCCACAAACGCCAAACAGCTTTTGGGAATCAAGCACAGCTAGCTTGGTATGAGATACCTCCAGAGCACATGAAGCATGTTATCAGCAACGTGTCCCGACGACTGAAAAAATCTTTATGTCATCAAGGTGGTTCAGCGGTGTCAAACTTGGTCATATTCTATGGGGTATCTATGAAAATACACTGGAAAACAAGAAATATAGGCAACTGATGCTCGGGTGCTATCGGAAGGCGTGATCTGCGCCTATAGAATTGCATTGACCCAGGCTCTGCTGGTGGTGGCTAGAATCCCGCCAATCGATTTGCTGCCTGAGGAAAGAAGCACCCTCTATGACAAGGGTGCAGAAGCTTAAAATGATGAATGGAGGCACTATACAGTAAGTGGCAGCGAAGATAGGATACGATCAGCTATGAATCATAGTTTAGGAAAATGAGTCCATAGATTACGGGACATGATTGCCTTGGAAGCTAAGGTGTATTGGACAGAAGGAATACGCAAACTGCACGTGTTGCTTTGATAAAGAGGGTCCCCTCCTGAGCAAGTACTCGATGGATTGACTACTGGTAGTGACGATGGGCGAGTGGCTCACTGCTGACAACCACGCCAAGCATGTAGGCGAAGGAATATGGGTTGAAATTCAACCAGTTGTGAGGTGAATGTGCTGAGCAAGGTATGTGATGGGAAAAACAGAGGGGAAACCAACAATAGGTTGCCCTTTCTGCTGGGTACGTACAATATATGTGTATATATAGAGGAAGGCCACGAGATGAGACAAATACCTTTGATATGAATCCTAGCGAGACCCTTCTCACCAGATGGGATGCTTTCATGCAGTTCTATGGTGGGATGTATGGCGAGCGACTGAGAAGTTTTGGTCGGTATGTCATATGTTAAATAAACAGTAGCTTAGCACATTAATAGCGAAATCTATCGATACCGTACATATTTTGACCAAAAATGCAATCAAAACTTCCTTTTGCTTACTTCTATTTACAAAATTTCAGTCAAATCAAATCATTTTTACTGGCTGCTCTATTTATTTAGTCATTGAGTATAATTAACGCCCCGTAGAGTGTGTTGATCTGGCTAGTAAACCTGCATATTTCTATGTTAATTGTTCATAAAGTGTAATAATACTGTTGACACTGTTTTTATTTATACATGCCTAAATGTACCATTGACCTAGTTAGTGTTCCAATTCTGAGAACAAATTATGTGTGAAGCCGTTTGTCAACGAATGCTTCTCTCAGCATAGAAACTGATTTGTGAATTGTCTCTCTGTTTTTGATGTGTTGCGAGATACATATTGCACAATTGAGTCACTGTCCGAGGTAATTTCAAAAAGAAAAGATTGATTGATTGATCGTTTATTGTCTTCGGATCATAGATATGATATCAGGCTCGTCAGATATACTTATATAAGTATATAATCATTACCAAAATTCAAAAATATGTCTAATTATTAATATTCAAATTTGTTAAAAAAGTTGCGGATGAAATAAAAAGAATCACAATTAGTATAAAAAAAGACAAACATTAAATGCGCACGCGGCACGCAAATACACAAAGAAAATCGACACAAAAATCAACAGGACAAGGTGTATAAAGATTGAGTACCTATTACAATAAAAGATAAGGTATTCAGAACGTTAAAAGGATATACCATATACACAGCTTTAGTCTGTTATTTAATTTTAGGAATTGAGGTGCATCACTCTTACAGAGAAAGATACTTGGCTACATAATAGTAGCATTTTTTTATTAGCAGATTCCTCAGTCCTGTCTGGAGCCTACTTGGGCATCTGTTAGCTTTTAGCATAGATGAAAACTTATTGAATACCTTGGTGTAGGCGTAGGCTGCTGATTTTTCGAATACTGACGGTGTTTGCGAAGGTATACTCAGGTAATATTTTGCTCTAGTGACCCAGTAAAATCATTAGTGCCGAGAAAGCCAAAATTTTGGCATATGGTATTAAACCTGTCGCTATCGTGCTCGACGCGTAATCATTGTTTTACTTAGTTTTAATTTGACTACTGGTGATAGCGGTACGGCCTAGCGTGCGTTCATTGTTTACTATTTATTCATTGTGTATTAAGTATAGTACCTAGTAATGTCATCACAAACTCAGAAGCGAAAGCGCAAAACGTTGACAATTAAAGAAAAATGTGATATTTTAGACCGCTTAAATCACAATGAAACTTTCAGTAGTTTAGCAAGTGAATACGGCGTAAACCGATCTACAATTTATGACATTAAAAGAAACCACAAAAAGATCAAGAAGTTCGTGTCAACTACTGACTGCGGGTCAGGCAAGAGACAGACACTCAAGAAAGCTGTACATCCAGAAGTGGAAGAAGCTTTGTACATGTGGTTTCTGCAGGAAAGAAGTAGGCATGCACCAATTTCAGGACCCATGTTGGCCATGAAAGCTAAGTTTTTTTATAAGGATATAACAAAAAAAGATGATTTTGTGACCAGCAAAGGATAGGTAGAATGTTTTAAAAGTCGTCATGGCATACGTTTAATGACACTATTACAGGAGAGAAACTTTCTAACGATGCCACCTGCATAGAGCCCTTTAAATTAAGATTTTTGCAAAAGGTGAACGATTTAAATCTTGACCCGTCACAGGTGTACAATGCAGACAAATCAGGGCTTCTTTGGCGTGTGATGCCTAACAAAACTTTCGTTTCTTGTAACGAAAAATCCGTACGAAAAGTAACTAAAGAGCGTGTAACCATACTACCATGTGCTAACGCTGCGGGCACACACGCGCTTAAGATGATGGTCATTGGGAAATGTAATAAACCACGGGCATTCAAAAACATTGATTTACCTGTACACTATTACGGACAAAAAAGTGCATGGATGACAAAAGACCTTTTCAAAAGGTGTTTTGATGAATGCTTCGTACCTGAAGTTAGAAAATGGTTAAAAGATCATAATTTTCCTCAAAAAGCGTTGTTGCTTCTTGATAACGCTCCCGGTCATCCGTCTGAAGAAGAACTAACAACTGAGGATAAATGCATCACTGCGATGTTTCTTCCGCTAAATTGCACTGCACTGATTCAACCAATAGACCAGAATATCATTCAGTTTGTCAAGCAAGACTATAAGAAAAACCTACTTCTGAGAGCCGTATCAAAAGACCAACCAATAGAACAAACTTTAAAAGAATTTAATATAAAAGACTTGGTTTTTGCTCTTTGTCAGTCGTGGAATGCCTTACCGTCATCAACTATTAAATCGTCTTGGAAAAAGTTATGGCCAAATATAGTCACCACTCCTAGCAACGTTACACAAATCAGTGTTACTTCGGAAGTTATAGAACAAGTCGCTACTGAAACACAGATAAGTCCGGAAG